ATGACACTATACGATTTTTCATCTATGGTGTTTTTTTTTTTTTTTTTTTTTTTTCTTTCTATGATATCATATATATTGCAATTTTCTATCATATTGTAATTTTAATTGTGTTCACCTTAAAAAAATTAGAAAATATTTTGTTGTAGTTTTAAGCTATCACCTAAATATTATACTATCAATGTGTCGAAACAAACAAGAAAATATTTGGAGCATAAAATGAAAAAAAAAAATACAGAAAAAATTATAGAAATCAGGAGTATGAGATCAAAGTTTATTTTTTAAAGTAAAAAATTATACGAGTTGAAGGCTTGAAGCATTGGTTTGTCACATAAATCACATCTACACATTCTCTGATAGACTAAGCATTATTTTAGGCTAATGACTATTTTAGTGACTATTTTTTAAAAGTTATACATAATTTTACATGATACTATATAATTTTAGTGACTATTTTTAAAAATATAACATATGTCAACTACTTAGAAAGAAATATATCACTTATGGAAAATAAAATCATTTTAGTATAGATAGTGTATTTCTAGCAAAGAATAAAAGTCAACGTGGTGAATAGGCGCATCAGTATTTTACCAATTTTGACTCTTTAGCGAAAAGAGTGGAGCCAATTTTTTTTTTCATTCAAATTTATATAACAGGCACATGAAGAAACTTTTCAAATTGGTATAATCATCTTATCCCATCAAGAATTACCACAACATCTCGTAAGAGAAGGCTTCCTTCAAGTGCTAATTTAAAAGGATTTGAGAGATAAGATAGTTTATGTTAAGAATTCTCTCTTGTATAGAGATCAGTCATCTCCAAAACCACCATCTCTTTCGAAAAGAATCTCGACAAATAGCAATGCCTCGAGTTATAAACCAGTCATCTATCGATGAAAATGTAGCGATGTTCTTACAATATGGTTTATCAGAAGATTCAGAACACACGATTAATGATGATATTATTGCTCGGGAGATTCAACAACAATATCAGAACAATTTTTTGTTTAACGATGTTGCTATTGCTTTAGAGATTCAGCAAGAAGAAGGTACACAAATCGTTCAGAGCTTCAAAGTTTCAATAGCAATAATTTTTTTTGTGCGTGTGTAACATAGGTATTTCAAAACCAAAAAAGGGCCTATATAAATCAGTTTATGGTGCTGCCACTTTTTTTTGTTGTTTTGTAGGTAATCTTCCGACCTCTCTAAGCGATGATGAAAACCTTGCTAGATATTTGCAACAACAAGATGAATGTAAGTATATGAATTTTTTCACCTTTAGGTTTCATTTCATAATTTTTCATTTACTTGAGAAATGATTTTGTCATTGACCAAATGAAAACGTTGTACTGTTTTGCGATCCCTAGCGGCAAATAATACGGATGAAGATATCCAAGAAACACAGCAATACCACCCCGTGCAAGGTACTAAAATAACGAGTCTATTATGTTATTATGTCTATATTTTTGTATATGTCTTAGATTCAGATTAAAACAAAAACTCCAATTAAGTTGGTTTTAAATTTTATTATTCTTTTTTAATTAAAAGTAATACTCGAGTTACTTAACTTTAGAAAAAAAAATGTTCCAAGGAAGAAATATGAAATAGAAGCATTATTGAATTGTAATTCGTCAAAACTATTATTTGCGAATTTGTTCTATACTTATTACTTGACATCAAGCTTTTGTGTTTCCTTCAATATGCAGTGAATCGTTCGTACATACCTCAACGTGATGCTCCCTCGGTAATATTGACTTTTTAGTTTTTATGGTTTTCTTCTGAATTTTCCAACTCACAAATGGTTACATACGTGTGTTAAATGCGTAATAGTGACACTGCATATAGATTAATTCACGTGCATGTCTTTACTTCCATCAGATTTATTGTTTTATGCTTACCGAGACAAATATTTATGTATAAGTATAACGTTTTATATTTTTAACCCGTTGAATTGACACATATGTTACTGACTTGAATAGTTTTTTGTTATTGCAAAACATTTGCTATGTTTTATTATTTAGACTAGCAGAGCATTTGTTCGCTATGACGATGGTGATCACATCTCGGGTCATCATACACATACCCGTAGTTCTTCGAATATCTCATCAACTAGTTCCCAAAACGCTCTTGGTAATGAGAACATTGATTTCGAAGATATGACATATGAGGTAACTCAACATGTCAATCTAAATACTTGTATATATGGTATTTGTGATCCCCCCAGTTAACACTTATATATGAATATTACTTGCTTATGATTTGGATGTAAAGGACTTGAATGAGTTAGAAGACTCGATCGGAGATGTAAGTAGAGGACTATCGCAATTAAAGATCTCTCGATTGCCGACTCATAATTATGGTACTAAAACCAAAACTCGGTGGTGGAAAATCAAGAAAAAGAAGTTTGTTGCCGATGATACTCAGTAAGATCTTCACTTATATACTAAACCAAATTAATTCATGTAATTAATGGTTATTGCTATTTTATATAAATTCTGGTTTAAACTATGATTACTTATTTTGTTTGGATGTTATTAATTACAGGTGTTCGATATGTCTAGTCGACTACGTGAAGGGTGATAAGATAACAACGTTGCCATGTAATCATATATACCACAAGGATTGTATTTCACACTGGCTGAAACAAAAAAACGTACGTATGAACATAATTCTGTATTTTTCCTGGCACATACAAAACATATTCTGATTTAAATATACTAATGAATAGAATATTAATTTTGTTTATGCAGGTATGCTGCGTTTGCAAAGCCGAAGTGTAGTCCATACCGATGTTCGTCGGAACATAATGTTTAGGAGTCTACAATGTTTGGGTTTTAGACTTTATTATCTGCCAATCATATTCCGTAATTTTAGAATATTGTTTCCATTATTATAAATCCTCGTTTCGCTGGTGCGATAATTTTTTTATATGATAGCTTAGGTCAGTGGTTTGATGGGTAGCTTATAAGTTCTGACAGTTTTATTTTATTTTATTATTACTAGCTTAGACGTGATTCACGTTAATCAATTATTTATGCAGGGATAATAATCTAGGTGTCTCCAAGTCTTTAATCAATCATCGTAGTAAGGTTATAATTAAATTTATCACTAGGAATTAGTCTAGTAGCTTAAAGAATTATGCAGGACGTCGCATCTATCTTTTATGCTAAGAATCGTATATTTTCTTCTAAAAAGGCTAACTGAAATGAACTTAATGGTCCACCATATACATTTTGTTTTTTGATAGTGGTTAAATTTAAACGTCCGTGAATAAGAAGCTTTAAATCTAACCACCCACAGAAATGTGACACAGCCCACTAGACGAGGGAACTTCACGCTATATACGTGAATTTTATAAAATTTAAATCTATTTTTTTGATAAAAAAATCTATGTTATGAAACATTTGACAAATGATTAAATCGAAATCTTGCCTTTCTATTGGCCAGTATGCGTTGGCCACAACGCCCATCACTATTTCTAGATTTTTTGCACCCACTAGATCTAGATATATAGCATTTTATTTTAATTATAACTATTCAAAATTTATTTCATTGTGTATAGGAAACATATATATATGATATTTTTAATAGGTAAAGCTCATTATCAAATTTTCAACGTTGAACTAAAATTTATATATATATATATATATAGTATATTATGAGATCCAAAATGTTTTCAGAAATTTTTTTATGTTTTTATGTATTTTGTAAAATGTATCGGAAAAATTATAGATTTATGAATAATATTATATATTTTTGCCCAAATAACACATCCACATTTTAATTCCACCTTGTATAATTAGTGATTGCATGTCTTTATGTCTTTATGCCATAGTTCTCTTTGTTTATTCATCATTATATGGAATAGACTCTGTTTTCCATCATCACTTTTCGTTAGATATTTAATAGTGATTCAAGATGGAAGCTGAAGTATAATAATTTTAAATTAATAAAGTGGTTTAAATTACAACAAAGTAAAATATTTAGCAAATAAATAAGATTGATTAAAATTATTAACTGAAAGGAAAATGAAAATCCATACCATGTATCAATTACAAGAGTGTCCACATGTCACATATATGAAGAGAGTTGGCCTCTTTTTATATATATATATATATATATATATGATTACATGAATAATTTTTTTTGTTATAAATACAAAACAATCCATTAATTTGTAATGTTTATAGATAGATAAAATTTCTTATACTTAATTAATTTCATTTACGGTAATCAGGATTGTGATATGATTGGTATCTTTCATGGGGACAACTTTGTCACATGAATGAAACCATACACTTTGTTATATATTCCATATTAGATCCCCACATCATGTCTTTCTCTTTTGTTTTTATAATGTTTTGTAATATCCACTTTTTAGTAACCGTTCGCTTTAACTCTACATGTGTTCTTACGAGTACAAAGTACAAACCAAATTTGAGGAAAAAACACATATTCAGATAAGATTTTTGTCCCATAATTTTGCTTATTGACTAAAATTTTTAGTTAAGTTTTCTTGAACTTTAATTTTCTTGTACTAGTACTAAATATTCGAATCACCATATCGTCTAATTAATCATGGATCAAGGTTTCTATAAACAAAAAGTGCACAAAAACATTGTCAGAAAACGACTAGTTCAACAAATATAGTCGAAAAGTCATTATAAATCGAATTCACATTCAACAAAATGGAACGTGTTGATAGAAGCAGATTTAACTTCACCAAATCACAAAATTTCTTACTCAGAAAATAATTAAATAATTTTCAGTTCACATTAATTTTCTTTTCCCTGCGTACCACGTTCTCTCTCTCCTTTAAAACCAAGAAAGCCATTAACTTCTCCCATTAGACAAAGAACAAAAGAATCACAAATATGACAAACCCATTTCTTTCATCCCTATATTTTCTACTTCTCCACCACATCAAACCCGAATCTTGAATACAAACATATAAAAAAAAGAAAGATCTAAGAAGACTCGTAAATATCATCCGATCTTTCATCTATGGGGGCTACTTCGTCGAGCCTCGCCGGATCCGATCCTTACGCCAGAAAACTATGCGGTCTTGAAGACGTGCCGGAGAACTGTATAACGGCAATGTTCATGTACATGGAACCACCGGAGATATGCCTACTTGCCAGGGTAAATCGGTCATTTCATAGGGCGTCAATATCGGACACGGTATGGGAGCACAAGCTTCCTCGTAACTACAAGTTTCTGGTCCAAAGAATTCTTGAAGATCAAGAACAAGAAGAAAGAAAGGACAAACTAATCAGCCGCAAGAAAGAGATCTATGCAAAACTTTGCCGACCAAACCTATTCGACGCCGGCACAAAGGTTCTATCTTCAACTAACATTTTTGTGTTGAGAAATCTTTTGATATTTCGCACAAAAAAAAAAAAAAAAAAAAAAAAAAATCCGATGGTCAATTACGTCACCTCTAATTAGTGAGAAGTGGTTCTCGTTTGAGAACCTTTGAAATATCCATGAAAATCCCTCCAAATCACACTTAACTACTTAAGTTCGTCTTTTATTCATTGGATCAAATTCTTTTTAATTCTAAATGTAATTCTTTTAAAACAGTACTTTTTTGTTTTGGAACTCCTTTGTATCTCATGGATGGAGATGCTAGCTTTTGGATATTTTTTGGGGGTGGAGTAGAGGAGGAAAAATATATTCGGGGAAATTATAAAAATATATATTCTTTGGAGCGTTTTGTGAATGTGTATTTTTAGACTATTAGTTCATTTAATTTTCATGACCAAAAGAAAAAGTGTTAGAAAGGCTTCTAAAGACAGTAGAATAAGTTTTCTACAAGTCCATTGATAATGTTATGTATTCATGCCTAAAGTATAATAGTTATACAGTAGAAACTCTATAAATTAATAATGTCGGGACTTTGATATTTTATTAATTTATAGAGTTATTAATATATAGATTTTGACTAAAAATATTTTTCAAAAAAAAATAAAATTCAATATTAATAATCTTTTAAATTTTCTTCAAATTAAATAAGAACTTTCCTTTACATATATTTTCTTAATTTTTGATGTTTCTATATTTGCTTTACATTTTCTCATACTTGCCATATTATTCTAATTTTTTTATACATATTTGTGGCTGAGAATTCATATTTTATTAGTTAGATATCTTACGTGTATATATAAAAGTTTTTATATGATAATTATTAATTTATGATATTATTGGGACCATATTTTACATAGGAGTTTAAAAAATGTATTATCTTATTATCTTATCGAATTGTGCCATCTTTTACACCGACCCAACTTGGGACCTGAAAAATTTATTAATTTATCGTGTTTATTAATTTATCGAGTATTAATTTATAGAGTTTCTACTGTATATTTTGTTACAAAAAATGTATAATAGTTATTCTGGTCATGTCTAGAAAATATATATTAATTATTATATCAAAGCTATAACTATTTTCCACACATTTATTTTTTGGTATAGTGACATATATTGGGGAGCTGTATTATTCGAATATAGTCTTATGAGTTGTATAATAGTTATCCCATCATACATAAAAAAAATATTAATTTGTAGTACATAAAAGCTATTACTATTTTCCAAACTTTTACTTTTTGGTGTATAAAAATATAACTATAGTTGTTGACAAAGACAAAATATTAACACTTTCGTACTTTTTGGTTGAGATTTTCTTTAAATATAAATAGGAATATGTATAGAAACAGGATATTGGAATTCGCCAAGTTGAAATAAATATCAAGAATATTATAGAGGATAAAATGCATCACTAGTTTGAAAGATATTTTTTTTTTTTTCAAAAGTTGGTTTCCCAAAGGTTTTCTAGGCCCACGGACTAATCCAACCTGGCCTTGCATCCGGTTACGCGTTAACCCATCGTTAAGGGCGCGGCTAGGTGGTCAAGGGGACTTGAACCCGGATGGCGGTACTCACAGCTGTGAGTCCATTACCACTGGGCTAAGGCCACTTAGTTTGAAAGATATTTTTGGTAACTCCGTTTTCATTCTTTTGGATCTGATTCGGTTTCGTTACAGATTCTTTTTATTGTGGAGAAGATTTTTTTTTGCCATCAATTGTGGAGAAGATAAAAGTGTAAAATGCGAATAAAATCTGGTTCCCGTATGTTTGGGTTTGACTTGCGAATCGAACAAATGGGGTTTATATGTACGAAAGAAGAAACCAAAATTACAATATTTTTTTTATAATATGAAAATATTGTAAAGTTTGTTGCGGGTTTTTTTTTGTTTTTTTTTTCGATTTATAGTTGGTTAACTTATTGATAAAAGTAAACGTTTGGATTGTAATTAAAAAAGGAAGCATGGTTGGACAAGAGGAGTGGGAAAGTGTGTTTGGCGATATCACCAAAGGCAATGAAGATAACTGGAATTGATGATCGCCGATATTGGGAAATTATGTCTTCCGATGAATCCAGGTCATTTTAACATCTCTATCTTTCTTTTGTGATCTTTCTATTAATAAAATATACACCTAGTCTATCTAACGGGGATGGTCCCAGGCTAAATAGATCCTTTCTATGAAGAGTTTCCTGTTGATATTTTCCTCAACTCTCGGCTCTTGCTATCGTTATTTTTAGTAGAAGACTTTTTTTTTTTTTTTTTTTTTTAGAAGACTTTGCAAAAGCTAATCATTGGAAAATAATCAAAATATCAACAAGAAACCCTTTAGCAAAAAAAGAAAGAAAGAAGATATCAACAAGAAATGACAACGTGTTTAATGGCTACAAATTATATAAAACATGCCATGACTTTGGTCAAAGTTGAAGATTACACATATCGTATTCACACCCTCTTCTACGTTGAAACTTAAGACAAAAGTATATATGTTTTGTGTTTAAAATTTAATTTCTAAAAGTTTATAAGAATATACATTGTAAGAGAGAATATACATCATATTTATATTTCGAAATGTAATTACATAACCGAATTAATTAAGCTGATAAAAAAAGGTAATGCAATAATTCTTTTTATTTAAAATGCAAAGGATAACAAACTTAAATAAAAACAAATATATTACGAAACTGGTCCGTCTTGGCCACCTAGTTGCATTTTTAATTTTAGAATACTTTCAAATGTTTATCCGGATGCAAAAACGTCATGGAATTAGTGTTTAGGTACTAGAAAGCATTTGTGATCCCCATAGTATATAAAAAAATGTTTTCATTTGAGATCGAGACATAAATAAAAATTACCAAGTGTCTTAAAAAGGGAGAAAAAGAGTATCATAATTAAGTTCACAACTCTGTTTAACCCGATAGGAAGTAAAAGAGTATCTTGATATAAGAGTGCCGCTGATAATGCTCAAGTTGTATCATAACATTATTATAATTGATTTTCTCAAATAGATGAGAGAACTGTGTAGTGAAAATAATGATAGATTTTGGATTTTTCTAAGAATCTTAGAGATAGAATCTCAAACTATTGGCTTCGTTAATTATCTGCCAAGAAGATATATAAACACGTATACGAAATGTATAATGACGTATACATATACACACAGTTGAGGCTATAAAGTTTAAACACATAGAAATAGAATCTTTAGATAAGCTCGAATTGGTTTGATTAGTGAACAGATTGGGGCCTGGACCAAAATGTCATTTTCTCTTATCCCAAATTGCTCCATCATATTAATAATTGGATGGCTTTCTTTCAACTACAATAATATATATTTCTCCACATATCTAACTTTATTTCCCATAACATTCTTTAATGAATATAAGTTGGCGACTTTATCCAAATTCTATCCACATAGTTCAAATAGAAACTAAGAAAATAGTAATATATATATACAATCATTAGCCATAACATCACCTTAATACATATTTATCATTAACCATAGCATCACCTTAATACATATTTATCATTAGCCATAACATCACAAATCATTAGCCTTGTTGCTAATCTATATCGTAAGCGTGTAATTATCTAAAGTCTATTAGATGAGATCGAATATTTCCTCCATTTGTGATATCATAATTACCTAAAGTCTATAGATTACCTAAGTGGTAGCTAGAGTCTAGAGAGCCTAATCAACATTGTCCTCTTGGACCAATTCGCAGTATGAATGTTATTTTCACTGTTAATTTCTTCGAAAACTCACATTTTATTTAACCTTTTGGTCCTTCAGATTTGGATCAATAGCATATCTCCGGCAAATATGGTGGTTAGAGGCGGTTGGAAATATAAGATTCGAATTTACACCCGGTAAATACAGTATACTTTTCAAGATACAATTAGGAAAACCTTTGAGAAAGTGTGGGAGAAAAACATGCAATTTGGACCAAGTTCATGGTTGGGACATTAAACCTGTCAAGTTTCAACTATCTACGTCGGATGGCCAATGCTCTATGTCTGAACGACATTTGGACGAATCGGGGAGGTGGGTTTATCATCATGTTGGTGACTTCGTCGTAGAGAATCAGAACTCACCTGTTTGGCTCAAGTTCTCTATGCTCCAGATAGACTGTACACATACCAAAGGTGGGTTATGTTTAGATTGTGTGATCATATGCCCATTTGAGTGTAGAGGGAAATATACATGTTTAGATTAGCTTTTTGAATTTTTTTCATTTGCGATGTTAAATTTTAGGATAATTTTTGTTTTTTGTCAATAGAAAAAGTATGTAAATCTTATTATATAAAGTTGGATGCGCACTGGTTGCGACACGTATAATTTTTATAAAATTCAGGATCGCGACATGTGTTACTTTTAAGTTTATGTCTGTTAAGATCGTGACACGTGTCTTAGAAAAAAAGGAGGACTTAAAAAAAAGAATTCCAGATAAATGTTAATTAAAAAAAAAACGAATTTTAATTTAATCTATTATACCAAAAAGGAAAAATAATATTTGCCATATCCAAACAGAAAAAGGTTTCCCATTCATCAAAAAATTTTATTATATAAAGTTGGATGCTTTTAGATAAAGGAATTTTTAAAAAAAATTAATCCATTACAGTTAAAAGAAATAAAAATATATTTGTCATATCCTAATAGAGAAAGATTTTCCATTCATCAAATTAATATTATCCAAAAAAATAATAAAATCAAAATAATGTAATAAATAAAATCATATTTGTATAATGTTATGTAATCAAATTAATATTATCCAAACAAATAATAAAATCAAAATAATGTAATAAATAAAATCATATTTGTATAATGAAATAAATAATGTTATGTAAACTAAATTTCATATAACTGAATAGGTTACTTGAATCCCTATAAAAGAGAGTCAAAGGGGATGATTGGTAGGGGCTGTGGTTGCTCTGCACAGCCCTAAATCTCTCTACAGCAATACAAAATTACCAATCAAGCTCTCATTTTATCTCTTTCCATTTTTGAAACACAGAGCAATTTTATTTATTTATGGAAGTTCAGTGGCTTTGGAAAGCAATTTTTCTAGAGCACCAAATTAAGTGCTCTTAGAATTCTCTCTCTTCTCTTTCCTTAATAATCTTTCAACATTTATTTTTTAATCTATTATTTCTATATCTTAACTTTTTTGTTTTAATGTTATATTTAATGACACAATCTATAATAAAAAATCTTACAGCACTAAAATCTAGAATCACAGCCAAAATTTCTACAGCATTAATTCTACAGCAAAAAAATTAAAGCTACAGCCACAACCAATCAGGCCCAAAGTTTCTCAATCATAAATTCATCAAAGCAAATTCATCAAATCCCTTTGATTCTATTTCTCCAATTTAAAAATCATGTTTTTGAAAGTTTTGCGATACATATGATTTTTATAACTCACAAAATTGTGACATTGTTTTAGAAAAAAAAAATTATGAAAGTATGAAGATCGTAACATGTGTCATGAATAAAAATAAAAAAAATTAATATGTATAAGACTAAATAAAAATTAGAAAATCAGATAACAAATAATTAAAATGAAAAAATAATAAATCCATTAAAAGTAATAAAAAAACAGAAAACAAATAATTTAAATTCTTTTGTTACATCTATTAAGAAAAGGAAAAAAATCATTTCGAAAAGGAAAAATATCAATATATATTATTTATAATGGTATGAGGCAAAAAAAAATTGAGAAAGAAAAAATATAAATAGAAAACTAACAAAATAATATCAAGCAATTAACTAATATTAAAAAATTATAATCGATATTCTAATTTTAAATAGTTTGATTTTCAATTTTTGTTAGGTAAAAAAAATTGAAATAAAGATTTCATCAATTAAAATCTCTTGAATGGAATAATAAAAGTTTGATTAATTAATCAGTTGATCAGATTTAGACATGTGTAAGTGTTTATGTATTGGATAAAAATAATAGTAAAACAAATTAATTCATTTTGTCATATCATAAATTCAAAAGAAAAATCAATTATAATAAAAATGTAAAAGTATTACCAATTTATTTTATTTAAATATTTTTTATCGGGTTTTCAATATTATTTTGTTTACGTTTAAAAATGATCAAATTTTGTTTAATATTTTCCATGCTTTTATTATAAAATCTTAAAATATACCCGCGTATACGCGGGCCTAGTATATAATACAACTAGAACTATGCAATATATAAATAATTTGAAAGATTTTGGTGGCAGGGACCGCCTGAAACTATGATCCAAATCAACAACACTAAATTAAAAGCTGAATAATAGTAATAACCCATTGTTAGTCAATCCCTCTGAAAACCCACTAAAAACCTGAAATCCCAGATTTATAAAATCCTGTTTGTTATTTAATGCAAGTCCACAATGCTTCAATTCCAAATCAGTATTGTCACACATTTCCGAAGCTCGTTCTTCTTCTTCAACGTTCGTTTCCTGTACATGATTTTAATGCCGAATTTAATAAATGAAAGACCCAAAATATTTTGAATGGATTTCGCTTACTAGAGAGTAGGGATTTTCACGATATGCTACAACAAGGTCCAATTTTTGGGAATGAGAGTAATAGAGAAAAGATTTAATCGGAGAAGAAGATGAAAATGGATAAAATCATTTCTGTTATTCATCTTAGTTTCCTTTGATTACAACGTACACTTTATATAGAGCCGGTACATTAATCTAACTCAATAACCAACATGGTTAGTGTAAACCAGTCCAATGCACTATATATGTCTAATACCCCTCCTCAAGATGGCAAATATATAGAAGTTAAAGCCATCTTGGACATGAAAGCATTGAACTGATTGGGAAACAGAGGTTTAATAAACGCATCAGCAAGCTGTTGACCGGTCCTGACGTGAATAGTCTTGATCAAGCCAGAAGCAATCCGATCACGAACTTGATGACAATCCTTTTCAATATGTTTCTGCGTTCGTGAAACACAGGATTGCTAGCAATATGGATAGCAGCTGTAGAATCTCAGAACAAAGCAACAGGATGTGATTGAGGAGCCTGCAACTCTTCCACTAAGCCACGCAACCACACCACTTCCCGTGAAGCAAACTCCATGGCATGATACTCCGATTCAGCAGAGGAGTTAGAGACCACTTGTTGCTTCTTTAAGTTCCAGGAAATGAGAGAGTTTCCCAGAAACATACAATAACCTGATGTAGAACAGCGACTATCGGCACAAGACATCCAGTCGACATCAGTGAAACCCGTGAGAACCAAGTTTGAATCAGCAGAGTAAAACAAGCCAAGTCCAATTGTGCTTTTTAGGTAATGAAGCACTTTGTAAGCGGCTTTAAGATGAGATTGCTTCGGAGCCGAAGCAAACTGACATAACTTGGTGACAGCATACGTGATATCGGGTCGAGTGATCGTAAGATACATCATCTTCCCAACGAGTCGACGATATAACTTGATGTTTTCTATGACTGGCTCAGCTGAATCTTGAACCAATTTGACACTAGGATCCATTGGAAAGCTAGATGGTTTGCAAGCCAAAAGACCAGTATCCTCCAATAACTCCAAAATGTACTTGCGTTGGCAAACAGAAATGCCTCTCTTGGATCTCGCAATCTCTAATCCAAGAAAGTAACGCAAAGCACCCAAATCTCGTAAACGGAAAGCTTTCTTCAAATCCTCTTTAAGCTGATCAACCTCAGAATCACAGTTGCTCGTGATAATGATGTCATTGACATAAACAAGGACAGCCAAATACTTCCCATTAACATTCCGCACAAACAAAAGTGTGATCAGAGTGAGACTTGTGAAAACCCAACTTCATCAAAACAGAACTAAACTTCAGAAACCATTGCCTTGAAGCCTGTTTTAAACCATATAAAGACTTCTTCAAACGACAGACTGCATTAGGAGGCAGAGTTTCACCTGATTTAGCTGTGTATCCAGGTGGTAAAGTCATGTAAATTTCTTCATCGAGATCTCCATTAAGAAATGCATTTGAGATGTCAAGCTAAGTGAGACTCCAATTCTTTGCAGCAGCTACAACCAAAAGAGTCTTCACAACAGGGGAAAAGGTATCAACAAAATCAACTCCTTCTTGTTGAGTATAGCCCTTTGCAACGAGACGAGCCTTATATCGCTCCAAGCTTCCATCTGCATTCAGTTTTGTTTTATAAACACAACGACATCCAATTGCATGCTTGTCATCTGGCAAGCTACAAATTTCCTAAGTATCAGATTTTTTCAGAGCTATTAGTTCCTCATTCATAGCCTGTAACCATTCTTCAAACTTCTTGGCCTGAGTAAAGGAGCTTGGTTCAGCGTGAAGATTGACAGAACAGATGTAAGCCTTGTAATCGTCTGATAACTCATCATAAGAGAGGTAATTCGCCAGAGGATATGGAATGTCCACCTTTTGCATATTACAGAAATAATCTTGCAAATAAGCCAGAGTCTTAGAAGATCTCTTCTTCTTCTTTTCCTTGTCCACACTATGCACTGATTCTTCCGTAGTACTAGGTTCTATAGAAATTTCATCATTCACAACTACAGGAGTATCACCACTCACAACTGTAGGAACTCCATTATCTACAGAAGTAGTACTAGAAGATGAAGAGGAATCATCCATAGGTGAAAAAATGTCAAAGGGAGACTCACAATGAGCTGTGGCAAACGGGAATATTTCTTCATGAAACACCACATGACGTGAGATATGAATCTTGTTTGTCTCCAGATCAAGGAGTTTGTATCCCTTGTAACCAGATGGATATCCGAGAAAAACACAAGGTCGAGCTCGCGGCTGAAATTTAGTTCTGTTCTTGGACGATGTAGAGCAGAAGGCAAGACAGCCAAAAACGCGAAGACCCGTATAATCCATCTTCTTTCCATGTAAAATTTCAAAAGGCGTCTTGTTTTTGAGCAATGGCGTTGGAAGACGATTGATTAAGAAAACGGCTGTGAGAATACAATCACCCCAATGCTCTAAAGGTACCTTTGCCTGAAACATAAGAGATCTTGCAACATTGAGTATGTGTTGATGCTTTCTCTCCACAACTGAATTCTGCTATGCAGTTTCAGGACAAGAGTGATAAGCAACAATCCCTTTGTCCTTGTATAATGCATCAAACTTCAACTCCGGTGCATTATCAGATATCACGCCTCGGACCTTACATTTGAACTGATTCTCAATCATCGTCAAAAACTCAGGAAAGATTTTGAGTACCTCGTCTTTGGTTCTCAGCAAGTAGACCCAAGTCACACGTGTGTGGTCATCGACAATTGTAAGGAAATACCTATACCCGACCCCAAATGTCAATGTGTAAAAGATCAAAGGCATTGGCACACATATTATTCTTGGAATCAAAAGAAAGATGTTTCTGCTTGGCTAAAGGGCAAATTGCACAAGGTAAATGACTTTTATTTCTTTGCTTGATTCCAAGTACATCACTGACAAAATCTGTCTTATAATCTGATGGATGACCAAGCCTATTATGCCATAAAGCAGAGTCAGCAACAATATTTGTGCAGAAACTAGTATTTAGAGAAGATGTCTTCAAAAGGGAGCTAACATCCAGCACATATAAGTTTGAGATCTCTTCACCCTGAGCAATCATCAATCCCTTGATAGGATCCTGTATAACACAAGAGGAATGATCAAAAGAAATCCGATAACCCAAATCCTTCGTAAGTTGACTTATACTCAGCAGATTAAGACGAAAATCTGGAATGTAGAGAACATTGTTCAGAATCATATAATCTGACATCTTGATTCTGCCTATTCCTGCAATCTGAACACCTAAACCCGTAGGTAAAGTGACGGAAGTGTTCATTGCAGTAGAAATATCCTCAAAAAGACTCTTGTCATGACAAACATGGTGAGTCGCACCACTATCAATAATCCATCATTTTGTGTTAAGAACATGTCCTGTAGCTCGCAAAGCTCCAACAAAATGAAGCGTCGAGGAAGAAAAGGCCATACCAGGTAGTGCAGTTATCATACCACCAGAAGTAGAAGCGGTAGTTGAGAGCTGATTGATAGACGGTTGTAGCTGAGAGTTGAAGTAGTCAATAACGCCCTGAATATTGTCTTTAGAAAGCTGCTTCAAGGTATCAGAAATGTTTTCAGAAGTCGCAGAGGGAACTGACATTTGCGCAACAACAGGTTTGGAATATTGTGGCTTCGCAGATGACAGCTTCTCAAGAACATTTTTCTGATACTTGTGCTTGAAACCAGGAGGGTAGCCATGAATTTTGAAACAAGTCTCAGCAGTATGACCCGTGTAACCACAGTGACTACAAAGAAGTTTGTTCATCTTCTGAGGATAGTGAGCTACCTGAGTCGCGTTAACAGAGACCGGTATAGGATCAGGGACAACAACGTTGCACGCAGAAGCATTTGGAACAGTTAAGATGCTTCGTTGACTGTGATCTTGATCTAAAAGATTGTAGATCTCAGATAACATAGGGACATGTTTCTTCATTATGATTTGGCTTCGAATAACGGAATAAGATTAATTTAAGCCAGCTAAAAACTTGATCACCTTTGAATGCTCAGATTTAGTATCCGTAGCCTTGCAACATTTACAAGCGTGACAAGTTTCTTCACAAGATGTACCATCCAATTCATCTGAAAGAGTTTTCAGCTTCGTATAATAAGTAGATAAATCCATGGAGCCTTGGTGTAGGGACCATATTTGCTGAGACAATTGATAAAATCTCGGCAAGCTTGTGATATGAAAACGAGTAGATAGATCTTTCCAGATTTCAGAAGCATCGTTGAAACGAAGAATGCTTTTGTAGATCTCTTTAGAAACAGAATTCAACAACCAGGATTTAACCATCGAATTACATCTAGACCATATCCGGAAGTACTGATCTGATTCGCTAGGTCTAACTATAGATCCATCGATGAAAGCGATTTTGTTCTTAGCGTCTAAGGCAATATTCATCGCTATTCTCCAACTATCATAGTTAGATCCATCAAGTACCTCTGAGATAATAGATAGTCCACGATTGTCGCCATTAGTGAGATAGAACGGCGAATGAATGCTATCCGGTGAGATGTTGAGAAATCTGGAGGAGATCGGAGATTCAGGTTCCGAAGTTTCTGGAATCGGAGATTTGCGAGCTGAGGAGCTTGTCCTGTTGATGCGACGCGTAACTTTGCGACTGACCACCATTATAACAAAGATCCGAGCTCAAATCGAAGATAAGACGACGAAATTTGTGATTTCCGGTGAAAATAACCAAAAAATCTTTCGCGTGAGAAGAAGATAAGATCGGGAGAATCACCGATCAAATCGAGGTCAAAGAAGCGGAATAGAAAAAAATCAGAAGGATCGTTCGAGGTTTCTGCCTCGAAGCTCTGATACCATAATAGAGAAAAGATTCAATCGGAGAAGAAGATGAAAATGGATAAAATCATTTATGTTATTCATCTTAGTTTCCTTTGATTACAACGTACACTTTATATAGAGCTTGTACATTAATCTAACTCAATAACCAACATGGTTAGTGTAAACCGGTCCAATGCACTATATATGTCTAATAGAGAGCTAAAATAGAAAAGGGAATCGCAAACCAAAGCTGGTCAGCTACCTGACCAGTCTTCATCGTGTGCAAATTTCATGTCTTACGAAGTTGAATCAAGAGTCGATTTGGAACAACAAATCTGCGATACACTTGGCTACTAATTCGGTGTGCCATGAACATACAAAATTCATTGAGAACAATTGTCACCCTGTTCGTGATCAGATCAAAGCAAAACGTTCCAAGGTGTTTCATGTTTCTACTATTAATCAGCTGATATCTTCACTAAACCATTGCATCCCAGCCCAGTTTACAATCTCCTGCAGTGGATGCACTTGTCAAGTTTTTATCTTCTTAATTCTCCTGATAACTCTGCTTTAAGTTTACGTTAGCTTAATCAGGTTATATATATATATATATATGAACAATGTACAGTGAGAAGCTCATTATTTGGAAATAACAAACTTTTATCTTCATCTTCTTCCTTTCCATTTACTTACTTGAAGCTTTTTTTTTTTTTGTCGACAACCTTTGCTTCTAAACCAACTCGGAAATCCAAGTCGGAGAAACAAAGTTTACATAAAATACATCTGTAGGTAGAACTCTAGCACTCTGTGCTAACTTGTCCACCTTAGTGTTCTTCTTTCTTGGAATATGCACTATGGAGAAGGAGGTGAACTCTGTCCGGCATCTACAGAATTCTTCTAGTATTGTTGCAAAAGCTGGCCACTCCTCGGGTTTAGACACCATCTTTACCACATCAGAACATTCCGTTTGAAACACTATTGTTAACTTCTTCTGCCGTAACATGCACTGTATAGCCCATACCAGCGCTTCAAGCTCTGCTTGGAGTGGTGATATACCCCGCCTTAAGTTATATGTACCGATGAGCTTTTCGCCCGTTTCCGTATTGAAATTATACCAACCTAGACCTGCTCGGGGGTCTGTGGCTTTTCATGATCCATCAATTTGACAAATTTCACCTTTGGCAGATAACTCAGCTGGATTCCCCACCAGAGCTGGGGTTACCTCCTGTTTTTCTTGTGCCGTTCTCCACGCTACCGCCTTACTTGCCGCATGACTTACTTGAAGCTTAGATTCATTGAAAGAGATTATATTGGAGAAGAAGAAAAAGACTTGTTATATAATATGGCCGTTTTTTTTGATTTTTTTAAAGAAAAAATAAATATAAATTAACCAAATCACCAATACGACGTCCTTCAGCGTGTATCACAGAAACTTCAGAACGACGTCGTTTAGTTAAATATAAAATGCATTGAAAATCAAATTAGTCAAATCCCTCAAAACTTTCCAACCGGTGTCCGTCGTCCATTCTTGTTTTTTCAGCCACATTCAGCTGAGAGAAATGAGTATTCAAATTTGTAATTCCCCGTTCCTTCCAAAGTTCGCACACACTCCTCGCGCCCAAATCTCAACGAGGTCTACACGAATCTTCGCTCGCACTGAATCAAATTCATCTGATCAGCAGCAACAACTCAATCTCTCCGTTCTTCGCTTCACTTTCGGTAACTTACTCCCTTCTGGGTTTGCTTTCCGTTTCGACTCTATCAAAGTAATTTTTGAGAACTGGTTTTGTGTCTGAGTTTTGTAGGGATTCCTGGGTTTGACGAATCTTACCTACCCAGATGGATCGGGTACGGGTTTGGATCTCTTCTTCTTCTCAACGACTTATCAGCTTCAGCTCCAATCACCGAATCTCAGCTGGTAACGAACAAACAAAAAACAGTGTTTTTTTGTTTTGCTGTATTTGATTCGATTCGATGAATTTATAATAAATTTCATCAATTTTTTTTTGTTGTTGGTGAAATAGAGATCAGAGGCTTTGGGGTTATCACTATCTGCATTTTCCATAGCTTTACCTTACATTGGAAAATTCCTCAAGGTAATTACAAATTAAAGAAGCTTTTGTTGTTCAATGATATGAAAATAGATAGATAAATTTGAAAATATTGTTTTTAAGGGATCTGAAACAGAGGAGAGAACTCTACCTGAGGAAGGAGAACAGGTTTTTGTGATATCATCAGAAATTGGAGACTCTTTGAAGGAGGATTTAGCATGGGGAACATATGTTTTGTTGAGGAATACAAGTACTGTAGCTGTGGTAATATGGTGTTGTTGTTTCTTGTTCTTGGATATGAGTTTTTCGTCAATTGAATCATATCTTGGTGCTTATTTTGTGTGTTTCATCAGATGATATCGGTTAAAGGCGAGCTTTGTGTACGCGGTTACTGGAATTGTCCAGGTGAGATGTCAAAGAATCAACTACATGATTGGTTCAAGAGAAAGGTTGATGAAAACGGCCTGGCTGATGTGAAGGAGACACTTTATTTCCCTGAGTATGGAGGTAATTGTGTAATTCTTGAATCTCGCACAAATCTTGGATTTGTTTCAGCAGTATGGTAACTGTTTCTTGATTTATAGGTTCTGATTTATCTTGGGATATTCTTCCTGATGGGACACGCTCTCTCTTTGTGCAACCTCTTGTGCAAAATGTAAATGAACCGCAAGGGTTTTTGCTGGTGGCTTCTACTGCTGGATATGCGTATAGTGATAAAGATAGAGCTTGGATTGGAGCTATAGCTGAGAAATTCAGAGGTTAGATTCGATTGTTTTCATGGATCTAAATGAAATAAGAATTTGTTGCTTCTTCTTTTTTTTTCTCTTTTTTTTGTGTCTCTGTGTCGTTGCTGTTTCATCTGAATATGAGAGGACTTTTCACATTTTGATGCACTTTAATTAGACTAGAGACCAATCGTTTATTTACTTTTTCTTTGATGATCCTTGCGTGCCACGGGAGAGATCCAAACTTAAGTTGAACTGAAACTTGAAAATGTTTTGATATCCATAACCAAAACCTTGGATCATTTGATTTGCAAGGTCTTAAGATAATGATTTTCTGATTTGAGTTTGTTAGTGTCCTCACGTTATCATCATGTCAAGAAATATGAACCTATTTCTAAACTTGATGTTTATTGTGTGTCCTCCTTCATATGACTTGCAGGATGAAATGAGCTGTTCATGATAATGTAATCTTTGACCTTGACTGGCGAAAACACTTGAGTTCCTAGAGGAATTTCTCGAGGCCATAAACCAAATTCTGTAAAACCAAAGGAGGATAATGGCAAATGATTAGGTAACAGTAAGTAATACATGGACGGATGGAGAATTCTTGCTGTTACCTTGAGACGTACCACCTTTCTGATACTTAGGAGTAGGCCAGGCATTAGGGACCTTACATCAATTATGTCATGTTTGACAGTGTAAACCTGCATACATCAGTTTGTGCCGTGAGGATTCTTGTGAGCAATGAAGCTTAAATTATAAGATGTAGAGAAACAATTTTCAGTTTGATGGCAGTATTAATAATTACATCTCCTGGACTTGAGAAATAGACTTGTGTACTAGATGGAAGTCCTGGTAGAACCATACTGTGAACACGAACCCCGTCTTCTCCGATTACTTGACCTCTTGCCTGCAAATATGAGGATCTGTTCTTAATGGGTCCAACCTTTTTTTAAGCCCTTTTGACATTTTTTGCTGCAAGCTTATTCATGATTTACCTGAACATCAGTTGAACTATCCTCTCTGTTGTAGATCTGACCAAGGTTTGAAATGTTGTTTGCAATTTGTATAGCTTCTGGTGAAGGAAGGTCCTGCATTTCATATAGGTATCTTTTGAATCACTTTTTGTGATTTAATGTCAAAAGCTGCTTTTGAGTTTCTGTCATATATAGCTTCATTCATGCAAATGCTTTCTTAATCAACATTCTGGAAACCTAAGTTAGTTTTTTGTGGTCATACCGCTGCATTAGGCCTTGACTCCACGAGTTCTACATTGTTGTAGTGGAAGGAGGCCATGATCACAGCTTGTTGGAGAAGTATAGCTCCTATGGACAGAGTTGGTGCTACAAGGCATCCCTATAACGCAATCAGAGAGAAAGTTATATCAATCTCTCTAACAATTGATGCATCAGGAAAATCGCAACCTCGGAAAGAAAATTTGCTGCTGAGTATCTCACCCTGTGCTCACCATGGTGGCCTTGTCACATAGTGCAGATAAAGCTGATACGGTCTCTGGCTTAATCCGAGGTACATACACCACACTCTTCATCCCAAATGCCGTTGCCTTGATAGGTTCAGAAACCATATTAGTGAATATAAGGCGCTTCACTTGATAGACTAAGAAGTTAATCTGTCACCTGTTTTACATTCTCGTATACTGTTGATGGGTCTGTAAAGTCGATCACAACTCCGACTTCTTTTCCCTACAAACGATTTTTCGTTAAGGCTGTTCCTTAGAACTTCCATCTGAGAGAGAAAGAAAGGGAGGGTTTGGAAATAATGGAACCTGAGATATTGAGCCTAAGACCATTGTTAGATCACTCACGACAGGTATCTCTAAAGGCTCTTCCATGTTACATAGCTAATTCAAGAGAGTTTGTGAGTCAAAACAAGTAGATAAACTAATAATAATATGGAGATGGGTTTTGAGTTTAAGTCACCAAGCCAATATCTTCGCCAACAAAATGGTTATCGACAGCACCAGCTAACTCCATTCCCCTAGCTTTAGTGACAGCAACCACGGCCGCTCTTCCGATTTCCTTTGCTGCTCCATTTATGATAACCTGATGAGGAAATTAGAAGCATTGTCATATCAAACCTTGCATTGTATATGGGTTCTGATGATGTTGATGATGATGTAATTTACTTTGATGTTGTTTTGTGAAGGCTGAGACGCGGAGCAGGTAAAGGAAGGCCTTGAGGGTTTGAGATGTCGTGATAGCTTGAAGAAATGGCAGTTCACAGCTGCCATTGCTATTAGCTCGAGATAAGAGTTTTTTTCTAGCTTGATTGTTGTTGATAAGAGTGTGTGCATTGTTCTGTCATTCATTATGAAACGATGTCGTTTTGAGGCTTTTTGGATGGATAAGGTACTTGCTTGGCTCTTTTGATTGCAGTTCACTCTTGCTTTTTTCTTTAAGAAGATAATTTATTATTGGAAAGGAAAAAATATATTCTTTTTAGATTGCTACATTCATTTAAAATATTAGGGTGTATATATAATTTGTATAAAAATTATATTGTAACCTCTATAAATTGTGATTCATAAATTAGTAATCCGATAAAATAATGAATTTTTTTGGTGCCAGATTAAGTTCTTGATCCAATTTATGAAAAAGCATATCAAATCTTACATTACTTGTTGGGTGTTTGTTGTAAGTTGGTAGAAGAATAAGAATTAGAGTAAGGTGTTTTTTTTTAAACATCCAAGATAAAAACACCATACTTTACATTCAGATAAAAAAATCTAGTTTTGAAAATAGCACCCTAAAAATATAGGTTTGAAAATGTACACAAAAAAATGTGTAGTTTTAAAATTTTCCCTAGTATTCTTGAATAAAATATACTCCCTCCGTTTCAAATTAGTTGTCGTTTTGGCAAAATGTATCTGCAAATATTTGGACGTATCTAGACATGTTTTGCATTGCAGATACATCTAAATAATTACATATACATTTTCCCAAAACGACAATTAATTTGAAACAGAGGGAGTAAAATATATTACATTTGAATGAAATTTGAAAATATAAAAAATATGAATGGAGATGAGCCATGAGACTTGCATATAATGCTCAAAGGTCATATATGTAAACTGAAAGTTTGGGAATCTATCAACATTCCAGTTCTATGGCTGACAAAATGAAATCACAAATTTTATTCAGATATAGAGCAGATCCACATTTGACAATCTAGTTTCATCCGGAGATGGCACAAATACAAAATACAGAAGAGAAAGTAGCTAGAAGAAGAAAATGTCAAGAACGTTTACCTCTGCAGCGGAAACAACAAAAGCAGTAAGAGAGAACCATGGATAGATCTCTGCAGACGACATCAAACCCCAACATATGAAATCTTTGGGACAGATTTTTTGTCGTCGCCGCGGTGGAGTTTCTGCTGATTGCTTTGGCTTTGTTTCCGCTGTTGATCCTTTGAAATCTCATCTGGCTAGTGCCCTTGAAGGAATTTCGAAGTTTCAATGATGGCCATAGATGCATCTCTTCTAAAAGCCTCAAGATGTTGAAAACGCTAAAACAGTTCTTAAGTTTAATAAGCAAGGGAAAGAAAACACAGAACGATCTTGAGCTGTTATGTCACTAGACACTAGGTCTAGTATCTTCCGAGTTCTCAACAGATCTTCTTCTACTACCAAAAAAAAAACAGCTTTGACATTTTTGTGCAAAGAAATCAGCATGACAAGAAGAACAAAGAAACAGCTTTGACATTTTTGAATCTCATATCTTCACAAAAACCATATGCCCAGGAAGAGTAGTTCAACCAAAGGAACAAATTTTATAGAAGAAAACATGTAAACCGAATAGAAATAGTCTGTAATTTGCAAATCTTCAAAGTTACACGACAAGAAACTAAATGCACTATGACTTGCAATTCTTCAAAATAAGCAAGAAACAATAATCTAAAAGTCATCCAGGAATTAATCTCTAATGCGAGATTATGTCTATAATATTATCTTCACGAAAAAACCACCTACAAACAACCAGAGATCACTCACACACAGAGAAATCGAGGGTAAAATGGTGGAATAGACAAACAAAGAATCATGGAAGTTGGAATCGATACCATACGTCTGAAGCAACAATCTGGACGGCATGGAGGTGTAGCATTATCTCCATCTTCTACAATATTCGAAGCTGGCTCTGCATCAAATCTCATTTCTTCCATATCTGGTTATCAAATTGTTGTCATAGAATTATCCAAAGTGAAACACAAGAAATTACTACGGGTTTTAACAAAAAAAAAAAAGAAATTACTCCGGTTAAGCTTATTCCAACAACAAAAGATTGAACCAAACTAGAAACCATCTACAGTATAAACTCTATAAATTAATAAAGTTGGGACTTTGATATTTTATTAATTTATAGAGTTATTAAATTATCGATTTTGAATAAAATAGTTGTTTTATTTAAAAAAAAATCAATTAAATATTAAACTAAATAAAAATAAGAAATTCTAAAAGTTTTTATATTTTGTATAGGTTCATTCTAAAATTAGGGATGAATTCTAAATATATTTGAGTTTTAGTAGAAAAGAAGTGAAAGTTATACTTATATTTTAGTATATTATCATAGATATGTATTTACATAAATTTGTATTTATGGTAATTATTAATTTATGATATTAATGGGACCATATATTTACATAGGAGTTTCAAAAATATTATTATCTTATTATTTTATCGAATTTTGCTAATTTTTACACTGGCCCGACTTGGGACCGGAAAAAATTATTATTTTATAGAGTTTATTAATTTATCGAGTATCAATTTATAGAGTTTCTACTGTAGTTATCAGGGAATCGTAAGTGAACCAATTTTAGAGATAGAACCAGTTCTCAACAATATATTTCTTCTTTAATGTTTTGAGCTGTACGTTGTACATAAAAAAAAACAATATATTTTTGTTCTTGCATATATTCACTAGATTTCGATAAATAAATAGATCAGATGTTTAACGTTTTGTCATTCGTATTTCAGAAGTTTAACATGAAAATTTCATCATAAAATGTTAGTATAAGCTTTAGGCTTCCACAATTTATTTTCTGAGTTCAATCACAATAGAAACTCTTGCTGACTCTTTTCTCTTATGTAAAACTTTCATGCATGTTACCAGCAAGAAAGAAAGATTTCTCGCTTTTGTTTAATGTACTTTATTAAAAACAATTCAACCTACAGAAAAAAAACTACTTAAATTAAAGTTTAATTATAACCAAACTTAGTTTAACATTTTTTGTTTTTTTTGCCGCCGTTTAACACAACCTAAATCCCAGTTGAGCCTTACAAGCCTAAGAAGATTGTTGGGAAGGATCAAAGATCTGACCAACGAACAAAACAGTTCCAGTTGTGTCTTCGCTAATCAAGAACAAGAATGGATGATCTGCCACAAAATCTATCATCTTAGGAGGAGCAAAACATCCCCCATCAAAACCTGTAAAAGTGGCAGCAGCAGCTTCAGCGCCTTCTTCATCGATGTCAATACAAGCTTTATGGTGCAAGGGCATTCCGCTAAATCCCAAATCTTCACCGCTTAATCCATCAGCGATCTTAAACTTTGGGATTCTGAATTTATTAACAAGAACTTTCTCTATTGGAACGTGACTATCCAAGAATCCAGAAGTAGATGCCAATGTCGTCAGAAGATCGTCCAATCCATCCTTTTTGTCTGGGAGATAAAAATACATTGAGAAACCCCGATTGGTATCATCACCGCCTTGTCGATAAGGGGAGATTCGATCGGTATCACCATGGCTTTGTCGATAAGGTATCCTGAGGACCTTGAAACCATCGTAAGTCAAACCAACGTAAGCCTTTATGTATTGGTTCTTGTTGCTGCTCATGAATGGCACAGACACTGAGGTTCCATCGACAAGGTGAAACTCTCCGTCTCTCGTATAGGACTTGTCGAATGGTTTTTTCCATTGACCTTTGAAGTACAATGCGTTTCCATAAACGACATCGGTTTCTTCTGTAATGGATCCATGAGGAAGAAGATCTTTGATGAGACCATTGGTATGGTTTGATGCCCATGTATTCAATTCCAACCGCAACTCTTCAGCCTTTTATAAAAAAATCACAAAGAAAAAAAAAACTATGTTAGAAGATCAATTATGAAGAAGAGAATTAATAAATTTGAATCATTCTGTAGAACTGAAACAACGAAAAAATCAAGAATAGAAAAAAAAAAAAAAAAAAAAAGACTTTTGGTAATTATTATATCTTCGTCTAGGGTTAAAAAGTGAGAAAAATATTTAGGTTACCTTTGATCGGAAGTCTACGCGGTCGAAAGTAGCCTTGAAGGTTTTCTCAAAGAGAACCTTGAACGATGAATCATCAATCGGTAGCGACTGCTCGATCCAGACGCCATTGACCGACGAGATCTTTGGACCGCCGTTCGCGCTATGGTCCGCAAAGACTACGCTGAAGACGGCGTTGAGCTCTTCGACTGAAGAAGAGCCTAGGAAGGAGAGGATCTTCTTGGAGGCTAAAGAATCGAATGGACCAGAGGCCGCCAAAGTGAGTGCGGCGCTGATCGACGCTGGCGAGAAAACGGTATTGGAGTGTTTGGCTTTAGTAGAGAAGAGCTGCTGCGCATGGATCAACGCTACGTCGGTTTGATTCTTTATAGCTTCTTCGGTAGTTGACTTCCGGGTGCTAAAGAGATCGTCGGTAAACATTGTGATCGCAGAAAGATGTTATGCGTCTTTCTCCTTTTCGTTCGATGTGAATGTGATTAAAGTGAAAATCTTAATGGCTAAACAATATATATAGACCATAAATCATAAACATGTTCCTTTTTAGGATTGGAATAGTCGTAGTCGGTTGTATAATTTTCCCTTTTCATTTTTTTTTTCTTTCTTCGGTTGTATTTGCTTCTTGTTTTTATTTTCCCTTTCTAGCATTGGGATTTACATTGCCTTAAATATATATCTTATTTACTTTTATATAAATCTGTTATCGAGTAGTATAATGTTTCATTTCTTAACTCTGAGAGTAATATATAGTAGATTGTTTACTTTAAAAGAATAATATTTTTATTTTTGGAATATATCTCTTAACTATATCTTATTTACTTTTCTCTAATCTGCTACAGTTTATCTTTTACTACTTTTTCTACTTTTTTTACTTTTTCTAACAAATTTTGGCTAAAGTATATGTGAAGTGTTGTGGACAGAATATGGGTGGTGTTATTAGATGTTGTATTTTAAATGAACTGAAATCCAATTACAATTCATTTTTATTCGTATATGATTTGTAATCCATCATTAAAAGATTTTCAAATCCAGTGAAAGAAGCCCTATTCAATCAAGATTTCAAATCCGGTTTTAAAATCTAGTGTTATTCAAAATTATTATGTACTAGATTAAGCTCCGCGTATATTTTAAGATTTTTTAATAAAACCACAGAAAAATATTAAACAAAATTTGATCACTTTTAAAAGTAAGAAGAATAATATTAGAAATCTGATAACAAATATTTAAATAAAATAAGATTAGTAATCTTTTTACATTTTTATTAATTGATTTTTTTTTTTTTTGAATTCATGATATGAAAAATGAATTAAGTTGTTTTATTTTTATTTCTATCCAATATAGAAAGACTTATCCATGTCTAAATCTAATCAACTGATTATTTCATCAAAATTCTATTATTCCATTCAAGAGATTTCAATTGATGAAATATTTATTTAATATTGTTTTACCTAACAAAAAAAATGAAAATTAAACTATTTAAAATTAGAATATCGGTTCATTATATATATTTTTTTAATATTACTTAGTTGCTTGATAATTATTTTGTTAGTTTTCTATTTATATTGTTTATTTTTCAATTTTTTTACCTCAGATCATTATCATTTTTCATTTTCATTATTACTTAGTTTTTTTTTATAATTATTTTGCTAGTTTTTATTTCTGTTATTATATTTTTCCAATTTACTTGTGTTAACACATGTCTTCACCGGATCAAATTTTATTCACAATAATTTTGATTTTGATCCAAATGATATATAGTTAACTATTATTCATTGATATCTAGAATTTTAAAGACATAATTTTCTATTTCTTAATGGAAGAGAAATCATGAACATTATAGATTATTATATATTGATTATTTTCCTTTTCGTATTGGGAATAATTTTTTTTCCTTTTCTTAATAGATGTAACATATTTTTTGAAATTATTTTTTTCCTATTTTTATGATATTTGTTTTCTTCTTTATGGATGTAAATTTTTTTCATTCTAATTGTTTGTTTCATGTTTTTCTTTTTTTTTTGTTTTATTCGATGACACATGTCCCGTTCTTAATACTTTCAGATTTTAAAAAAAATTGTCGCAATTTGTGGAGTTATAAAAATCATACGTATCGCGACCACATTATGAACTTTCAAAAACATGATTTTTAAATTAGCCAAAGAGAATCAAAGAGATTTGATGAATTTGCTTTGATGAGTTTGTGAATGAGAAAAAAAGAGACCACAATAACTCTCTTTTTATATGAGTTCTTGTAACATATTTCATGCAGTTATAGCAAATTTAGTTTACATAACCTATTCCATGTACTAATAGGATTTTATCTATTACATTATTTTTAATTTAATATGTGTTTAGATAATAGAAAATTGTAATGAGAAACTTTTTTCTATTATGATATGACAAATAGAAATGTTTTTCTTTTTAACTATAATAGTTTAATTTTTTTTCCTTTATTTAACATTTTTTTAGTTATTATTTTTTTTTTCCGGAATACACATGTCACGATCTTAACGGACGTAACATTAAAAGTGACACATATAGCAATCCTGTAAATTATATAAACAAATATGTGTCGCAACTACGTTACGCGCATCTAACTTTATATAATAAGATTTGGAATCAATTATATATATATAGGTTTATAATCCTTTTGATTTAAATTTTTGTCTTATTTTAAAATCCATATCAATTAATTCTAAAATCTCTACAATATCTCATTGATTCTATTTTCAATAATTTACTCATAGAACTCTATTGGAATTCATTTCAAATAACTCAATAAATAAAGTTTTTTTTTTTTTTTTTTTTTTTTTTTTTTTTTGTCAACAGCCTATGCTCCTAGATCGCTTCAAGAAGCGAAACTGGTGGAACTGAGTTTATGTAGTACACATCATGAGGCTGATCTCGAGCACTCCGTGCTAACTTGTCTGCCTTCGTGTTTTTTTTCCTGGGAATGTGTGTGAGGGAGAACGCCTGGAACATCCTTCTGCATTTCTCCACTTCTTCTAGCAAAATCGCAAACACTGGCCACTCTGCAGGTTTGGACACCATCTTCACCAACTGAGCGCAATCTGTTTGGAAATTCATCCGGCGTTTATTGTGGGCTAACATGCATTGCATAGCCCAAATCAGTGCCTCCACCTCTGTCTGCAATGGAGATAATCCATGCCGTAGGTTGCAGGATCCAACCAGAGTTGATCCCGATTCCGGATCGAAATTATACTACCCGAGTCCTGCCCAATCCTCTGTCACTTTCCATGTTCCATCAATCTGGCACCGCTCTCCCAATGGGACGGGCCTAGATTTGGCCGAGTAAACGGTATGCACCCTTTCTGGTACCGTTTGTGCCGTCTGGTACAAAGATTTTATAAGTCATTTAGTTTTGAATAACACTGGATTTGAAATCTGTTAATGATATATTACAAATCAGATATCGAATAACACTAGATTTTAAAACCAGATTTGATATCTTGATTGAATAACACTGGATTGTAATTCAATATCAGTTCATTTCAAATACAACATCCATTAACACCCCTAAATGACTTTTAAAATCTTTGTTTATTGAGTCATTTGAAATGAATTCCACTGGAGTTCTATGAATAAATTATTAAACTAGATACCATAAGATATTGTAGAGATTTTAGAATCAACTAATAAATATAGATACCAGTGTGATTTAGGGTGATTTCATTTTTAATAAGAATCTAGAGTGAGATAATGTTCACTAGGGTTTTGTCCCTCAATCCCAACTATCTATTTGCATCAAATTCAGACCACAACTACATGAATATTACAAGTCAGAATAAAAAAACACACACACACACACAAAACTTGATGTTTTGATTAAGCATTAAGCTATCACTTGGCTGAATAAGCAGAGAACTTGACAACACTATTTTCCAAAACACCGGCACACCGTGTTCCCTTTTTATTAGAAATCTTTCAAGATGTTTACACACAACTGGCATTAAACACAGCCTAAAATAACCCTTAGCTTGTTACCAGTTGATTTCTAATGTACACTAAACACACACTAACTACAGAGTTAATGTTGTGTTTCTAATCACTGATCTGCAATAAATGCCTTAACGGTTTTACAACAAGAACATAAAGCTTATCATGTAACTTTTGTTCTCTAAACGGCTGACGTTTAGAACGCCTCCTTTCTCCGTATTTATATCAGTCGAAAGGCACGGCTTCTAGGTCTTGGGATCTGTCCGAGTCCACCTCAGCACTCAAGACACGTCATTAAAATGTTCCAGGTTTAACTGTTCAGCAGAACATCCTTCGTGTTCCAACACTTTGTTTGTTGTTCCAGCAACACTCATAGTTCAGCCTTCACTGCTTCACACCACTACATCGAGACAGCACTTTCAGTCTCCCCATTTTTGACTGAATATGTCAATCCAAGCTTTCCTGTAAAGCGAACAGGCAGACAACAACAATATATGCACACAAGATAACCAGGAGGAAAGAAGAGCTGAACCAAAAGCAAGCTTCTTAACATTTAACTTGGGCCCTGTCCGTTTCCTCATTTGAATCCATGATCCATTTGAATCCTCCATTTGGATGAATCATTTGGATGATGTTTATTTTTTTCCATCTTTATTAAAATGGTTCAGCTAAATGGTTCATTCAAATATTACCTGTTGTTCATGTATTTATTCAAATGGTACATCTAGATGATTTTAATAAAAAAGACCAAAATACCTAGATTTTTTTGTTTAATCAAATTTTTTATCTAAATTAATTTTCTAACCATATCAATATTGAATCTAAAATAATATTGAAGCCATAAAGCGTGATTTTACAATTCTGACGAAAATGTAATTTTGCAGTTTTGAAAGAAAAAACAAGATTTCACAGTTTTGGCCGGAAAATAAGACTTCGGCCGGTTTTAGCTGAAAAAAACGAAATCATGTTTGCGATTTAAGCAGAAAACACGATTTTGTGGTACCAGCAAAAAACATGATTTCTCGGTTTAAGCGGAAAACGCGATTTTTCGGTTTATGCGGAAAAATATGAATTTGCTGTTTAATTGAAAAACTGCGATTTTGCGGTTTTGAACGGAAAATGTAATTTCACTGTTTCGGTGGAAATTTCGAGGCTTTGCGTTTTAAGCAGAAACCCACAAGTTTCTGATTTCAACAGAAAAACATGATTTTTCAGTTCAGACTGGAAAACACGATTTCCCGGTTTTTGCGAAAATATATGATTTTAGGGTTTAAGCAGAAAACTGCAATTTTGCGGTTTTGGCAGAATAATGTGATTTCTAGGTTTCAGTGAAAATTTTGTGGTTAAAGCGGAAAACCGCAATTTTGCGGTTTCGCCAGACAAACACAGTTTCTAGGTTTTGGCGGAAAATGTGATTTTGCGATTTCGGCGGAAAAAAGTTGTTTTGCGGTTTTGGCGGTAAAACGCAATTTTGCGATTTCGACGGTAAATTGCAATTTTGCGATTTCGGCGGAAAAACGTTATTTTGCGATTTCGGCGGAAAAACGTTATTTTGCGGTTTTGGCAAAAAAACGTTATTTTGCTATTTGGCAGTAAAACTCAATTTTAGTGATTTCATTGGAAAAACATTATTTTGCGGTTTTGGCGGTAAATTGTAGTTTTGCGATTTCGGCGGTTAAAACGTTATTTCACGATTTTGGCAGAAAAATGTTATTATTGCGGTTTTGGCGGGAAAATATTATTTTGCTGCTAATTTTGATCTTAGTTTGGATTAAAAAAAAAGAAGAAAAAAAAGAATTTTGGGGTTTTGCTCATCATGGCAATGAGTGGCGGATCTAGCTTGAAGGAAGGTGGGGCAACTGCCCATACAGATTTAAGATTTCTTTTTTAAAATTGTAACCAAATATTAACAAAAATAATAGCCTAACTAGATCCTGACCCGTGCTTGGGAAGCACAGGATGAAAAGTTTTTTGTAAATGTTTTTATAATATTGATACGGTAATTATTTAAATAAAAGTTTGTTATGTTTTCATGCAAGATACTGACTCTGAGGCAGTCTTGCTCAAACCGCCTTCAATATGTTTTGACAGTATAACATACAGATATGTTGTTTTACGGGGTTTGCACAGTTTCATTTGGTGAGTTATATTTTGGTTATATACGTATATCTCATTCGGTTTAAAGATTTACCGTTTTGCTTGGTTTCATAATGTATGGTTTTGCGGGTTTGATTTGGTGAGTTATAAGTATAGATTAATATTTTAAATTTGATAACCCCTATTTATTATTTCCATTTGTTCCAAAAGTTAATTCAGTTGCAGAAATCATAAAAGAAAATCAATACTCTTAAATTATAACTCCTTAATTTGGGTATATTCTTAAGTTTAATAGTATAGACTAGATCTTGACCCGTGCTTGGGAAGCACGGGTAGTTATAATTTATGTTGTGTTGATTTAAGTAATTAATTAATTAATTATGATTTTTAATATATTTGTTTTTCTATTTGGGCTCGGAAATGTGTAATTATGTTCAAATGGGTTGTATAATCTATATGGGCCTTAACTAAATTAACAGAATCGTTGCCAGACTGAGCAAAGTGACATCGTTTTATTAATTTCCAATTCAATAAAATTTCCAATTTAATAACGTTTTTCAAAATTGAATTGGGGGAAACAACTCACAAACCCTAGTTTGTCTGATTACGGTGACGACACAATCGTGATGTTGTGTTGATTTTTGAAGCACGGGATCAATTTTTGAAGATTTTAGGTTTTTGTGTTAATTTTAATTTGAGGTTAAATAAAAATAAGACAAAAAATGATAAATTAAGTAGTAAATATTTGGGCTGTAATAATTCCGCTCGAGTATGGCCCTAAAACGGATAAGTTCATTTCGCCTGTTTTGTATCCATCAAATTAACATCAGCATTTGCGGCATCTAGATCGTTTGTTTAACATCTTGCGCAAAACGAAAAGTCTCACAACTTAGGGGAATGGGAGAAATCGAATCCCAATTCGATTTAATATCTAGTCTTCAGATATGAAATTAATTTGGTGAATCCGTCGAATCTGTATAATTTAAATGAAAAAAAAAACTTGTAATAAGTCAGTAAATCCTTGAACACTTAAAATAATATATTCTCAATTTGATATCATATAAAAAAAATCTATAAATCCAATATTCTATTCTTTCCTTCAGTTATAAATTTGTCTATGAGACATATTAAAGTCAAGATTACAAATTCTCACATTTATCAGTCTTGTTCTTTCTTTATATTTTTTTTCCGAAAAGACCCGAATCTAAAAGAATGTTGCACTTACATGTGATGTTGCTAACATTTGAGTTAGTTAAATTTGTGAATATTAGATTTATAAGATTGAATATTGTTTTGACATTTTTTTATTCAAGAGAACTAAACCGTCTCCATCTGCATTAGTTTTTTGTGTTAGTGTAAAGCTCAGTTTTAAAAAAGAAAAATTGGCAATTTAGGGTCAAGAAACATACTCTATAATTTTTTTTTTTTTTTTTTTTTTGTATTAGTATGAAGCTCATTTTTATTTTTGAATTTGGTAATTTTTATATAACATAATAATAACCATAAAATAGATCACAACCTTATCCTTTCATAACTCGTGCGAATGGACTCTATAGTACGAAGGTCCAATTTTATTATTTTCTTCTCTTGTAAACTTATGTAACGCCCAACATTAATCTGGTTCATGAGAAAGTCTAAGTCAACATTACAATTTTCTTTGCTTTCTCCAAGTGAAAGAATTATGAATAATCGATTCATCTCTCTCTCATGTGTGTTGTGGATCTCAGACCGTCAAACGCCTCCAGCATCATCGTGATGTCTCTCCTCACGGCAACCTTCGCCCTGGCGACTCCGATGTCCAGCCATTTCCCTTTCCGAAGCAATCCTTCGATTTCTCCTTGCATGCGAAATCAGAGAACGCATACCCGCTTTATATTTCTTCTCTCTCTCAATCTATGAATCATCGTCTACGAATTCAGGTACCTTCGAGTTGATTCTCTTTCTGCTTAATCAACTTCTTGACCTGCAATTCCCCAATCTTCGATCGTCGGTCTGGGAATTATCCTTATTTGTTTTGCTATTCCATTTTCATGCAGGTAAAAGACTCAAGCTCCACCTGGTTTGTAAACCCAAGTAATTCTTTGAAAACACTCATCCCTGATTTGTTTGTTAAAGCCAAAGAACAGAACATGTGACTTCTTATTTTGTTATGCGTAACCAAAACATTTTGACATTATTTCTTATTTAACCTACAGATCAGACCCGAGAACTCAATCTCCCAACTCGACTCCACCTGCTTCAGAAATCGCAGGTAAACGACTTTACCTCACCTGGTAATTCTGTCTTAAGTCTTAACATATTACCACAATATATGTTTTTGCAAGCTTTTGAATCGGAAAATTGTTAATGCCCATTTTGAGATTGTCCTTTTTAGCCCAAATTCCTTATCTCAAAGATGGCTTATTTGATCACTACTTATTTGTTCATGTTAAGATCATGTGATCGTTGTTATTTTTGTTTAGTTCTTGGATCTAAAAATTCTCTTCAGTAAAAATTATCAGTTATATGTTTGTGACTTTTGCAGCTTGATTTGAATGTTTTTGCAATAAATTGGTATGTTTGACAACGATATCTTCATTTGGTAAGACATTTTGTCAAAAGTTGGGTTTAATCTCATTCATTAGTGATACACTCCAATGGCTTCAGTTTGAAGAGATCGTTTGTTAGAATGCCTTAATTTGTATTTGGATATTAGTTTGTTCCCTATTGATGCTCCAGTACTATCTTTTCTTGCTAAAGTACTATATTGATATCTTTAGAAGTCCTTTGGATATATTAGTTCTAACAGATCGACGTATTCAACCTTTTTTGGTTTCGTTGCAGTTACATTTGGAACGTTGGGGGTGGTGATGTAAGAGATGACTTTAGGATTAGCAAATGTTTTTGAGATTAATTCTGTTATAGTATCCTTTTGGATCAACATGTCACAAGGTAAAAACCTTTCTTCTTGTGTAGCCACTAAAAACAGTTGTTTAAAGATCACAAATACTTATAAAAAAAATTTGTTCCCTGATTTTTAGACTCGTTTGACTATGAGTTTCTTGATTTGCATCAGTTTGTCAATTACTACAATGAAACATCAAGCAAGCAGAGTCTGTTTACATTGAAATATTGGTAAGATTTGTCCAAAACAAACTCTTGCAAGTCAATACGATTGAAATATACTCATATAGCATGTTACATTTTTGTCTATCTGATTTTTTACTCAAATAAAATACTCGAATTCTGTTAAGAGACGAATTCTGAAAGAATGATCATATAATCATACACTTTGGAACTAAAAAGTTTGAAAACATACTTGTAGCAGAGAGTTGTGCTCTCTCTCTTTTTGGATTTACATGAAAACATAAAATACAAAAGGGTAACTGAATTTCTCTTTGAATAAATGAGATATGAGGAAGAAGCTCTATTGATAAATAACATAAAAAGAAACGCACAATAGTAAAAGAAAAGCTTTACAGACTAACACATAGAATTACATGGCATTGTTTATTCTTATTGTTGATTGCATTCATTCCATCTTTGCTCAGCTGATGTCCTTCAACACAGTTCCATCTCCTAGAGTCTACTCAAATGTATGTTTCTTCGTGTGCATTGTCTAAGCTACTTTGTTGGTCCTGCATATGTTAGTATGATTCAATATAAGGCATTAATAAACCATCTTCACAATTACACATAAAGCATGCAATCGATTCTTAAACTAACCAAGCAGATTCTCTTTCGTTGGTTCTTTGCAGGTGATTTCTCTGAGGTGAACAAACTGGAAAGTGGCATTGTTGATTAGGTGTGTTTCCATTGACTTTTTAATCCAGCGGATTTACATGCCCCAACACATCCTGAGCTAATATACCCTATAAGGTACATCAGATCCTCTCATCACTACAAAATAAGACATGATTCAACTCGTTTCACTAAATTAGAATTTATATGAGTTACCTTTTATCTCAGAGCTCAAATAGTAAGTTTTTTTTGTTGGCTTATTAGCGACATCCACACTTTCCATTTTTCCTACATTGATGACTTCTCCTAGAATGTCTGTATTTCATAGAAATCAATGCAATTAGTAGAGCTCCTCCAATAGGTTAATCGAAAACATTTTAATGTAGTGAAACAATATGATCTAACTCACCACAAAGAAAACTTTAGTTGTGTTTCCCATCATGGATGATCTTTGATGAATGCAATTTCGTAAGCATGTTTTGATGTCTTGTGATGACCCGTGGGATGTCTGATTTCTTCTTTTCCGGATAAACTTACATTGTCACTTCTCTTGTAAACTTGAATAGAGTTAGACATGCTCTTTCTTCATAGCAGCATGGATTTATATTCCCTACACTGCATATAGAAAATTAGGTTAAATCATCATAGATGCATATCATATAATACAAAAGGATAGATTCAATCACAATAATGATGATATTTTCCTTACATCAACGTTTAACAGAATTTTCAGTGGTCTCTAGCCATGATTCTACATTCGTTTTGCTTGCTTCTCAATTTCGAGGTAATTATATTTCCTCCTCCACCCTATTTATAGTGAAACACGATGGTCATTAGGGTCTTCTCATTTATTTTGGAATATCCGAATGAACTTTCCAATATTCAAGTTTCCATAGATATCTTCACAGCTAATATTTAGGGATATTTTCACCTATTTACTACCAATTACTCATATTATCTTCTTTCCCGTTTTTGAATTGTGTTTAGCGTAATATAAGGTTTGTTTAATGTGGTTGCGATTTTATTGCCTAATATATAGTTTCCCTGCTAATGCTCTTTATTTTTCTCGTTTGATTCGCAGAAAGATATCGGTTTGATTTCTGATAACCAATTAACCTACCAGCCGGTCTGATTTAAATATGTTTGAGATCCACGTGTTATTTCTCATCCTTTGGGTCGGGTTATTTCCTTGATTTAGTTCTTAATTTTGGGTTAAATCCTGTTTGGCTACAGGCGCTTGTTTAGTGTAATTTTCTCAGGTCGGGTCAATTTTTTAATTTTAGAATTAATCTCGGGTTTTTTTCTGTTTGGAAACAGGGATAGGCTCTTTTGAAATGTTGAATCCTTATTTTGTGCCTCTCCTTTAATAGTATAGATATTTTGGGTATATTCTTAAGTTTAATAGTATAGATTTAATAGTATAGATGATGACCAGAAATAGATTTGGTTCAATTCAGGTAAACCGAGCGATTGAATTCAATTTTGTTCGGTTTAGCTTAACCGACTGATTTACTTTACAATTTGTAATTGAGCCGACAATCGCCGTTACCATTTCTTTTCTTTGTTTCGCGATATCGTCGCAACATCTTCTCTTTCGACAAAAATCCGGTCGTCTCCTTCATCTTCTTCTTTTTCCTTTATGCTCCTCGCGTTAACACTTCTCCGCTCGTCTTCTTCATCTTCTTCTGTTACTGAAATTCTCCAATTGACGAAATCTCAATCGATCAATCTCAAACATTTTTGTGGTCTGACCTAATCCAGATCTTTTCAATGTTCGTGAAAATCCTATGCTCTACTCAAAAGAACCCAGCAAAATCGATCTCTGCAGCTGACGGGACTGTGCCCTTGCGTCTCCGTTCTGTAGGTCAGGTAAACCTCTAAGCTCTCGCAATTTCCTTCCCTGTAGCAAGACTTCGATTTTTACTTGCCTCCTAGATCAGATAACACAAATAAGATTCAATCCCGTCATAATGGTGAATTTATTTAACATTTCGTAATCACATTACTTGGTTGTATGTTTGACGGGCTGAGCGATCATGAGTGAAGCACGGATTGAAAAGGAGACATTGCTGTTGAATACCAAAAAACTTCACTGCAAAATACTCAGGTAAATATTTTTCTTGGACACCTTTTCGTATCTCTGTGGTATCCGTTAGAATTATTTTAGGTTTTTAGTTGTGATTTGAATTTGTTACCATAAGGGAAACTTGATTTCTCCGTTAGATTAACAATTTCGTTGTTAAGTTATTTGCATAAACTAAGAACAAATTAAGACAAACGTAAATACAATCACAATATATAGGTAGTTCTCAAAAATGGAAAAAAGTTTTAAAACATCATTCTCATAGACTAACAAAGTTCACAACGTTTGAAGAACATAGGATATTTTAAAACCATAGTTGAAATGAAAGGTGCATACTTAGATTCTCATAGCTAAACTGCAAACAAAAGCTCAAGAAATACTTAAACGGAAAAGATCTTCATACTTCGATGGGAATGATTCAGTGATTTATCTCCTTCATTACTCCTTCTCATCATTCATCGCTCAGGTCCTCTTCTTGGTGCAATCTGCAGTAAACCAGTACCTAAGAATGGTCATAAGGAGCAGCCTACATTCTAAAAAACTTTGTACTTCCGAATTATAATACTTACAATATGTTCGTGAAATGTACCACTTCGTGGTGTCCAGGAGGATCATACTCAAAAGTAGAAATCCCTTCTTCATCTTCGACTTGAATAGGACCTGGTAGTTTATAGAGTAATGGTTGATCATTATCTAGTTGATATTGAGATGCTATAGCGTAAGATGAAGGTAACTTAAGGTTTTCAAAGTTTACTAACCATCTCTTCCAACAACACGCCAATTGGTTAATAGGCATATGTTTGTTCCGGTTTCACCATAACATAGCCAATTACGTTTAAAGAGAACCGCCAAGATCCCCTTTGCACGACAGTTTAGATGATTTCCACTGCATAACCATCAAATTGTGACATTCATAATCATATAACATATCACGTTTCTTAGTTTGGAAAAGATCTAATAAGTAGTTATCAAATTCTTACTCGTTGTCTTCAAGAACAAAGTCAATCGATCCGGTGGTCTTAGGATCATAGTTATGTATGTTTCTAGGCATAGAGTCATCCACTGTGAGGCCGAAATCTGAAACAGAAGATATGACGCCTAGAAAGTCTACAAAAACCGTTTAAAACAAAGTATCAAACTTTAACAAAAGGATATTAATTAATCTTAAATTTTGCTCTTTGACAATAGTATTAGTAAGGAAAATTAACCTCTAGTGTAAGAAGTTCCATCGTGAACAGTTCCGTTCTTAACATCCTGAAATGGAACCAAATCTAGCGGAATAAAACCATTGAACAATTCTGAAACACCAACTTCTGTGTTTCGCTTGAGAACGATCTCTTTTCTTTGTTTAGTCATACGAATCTCATTCCGGACAATAACAACTGAGAAACCAGTTATCGTGAACCAGTCTCCTTTCTGAAGAAGTCTCTTAAATCTCTTGGCATCAGCAAAATGCTGGACGAATGCATGCATCCTTGTGCCCTGTTTGCAAAAATGAGTAGAGATTAAAACATTAAAATTTGTTACCTCTAAAATATACTAATGTTTAACTGTATAGGTTAACTATTCACAAACCTCATCATCAACCACCAGGAAACTGAGGCCTTCACCATTCTCGACATCTAGAGTAGACCACACGTTCTCAACTCTCACTCGAATCATTGAATCATCTCCATTGGGTGTAACCATGGCGAGTCTCTCAAAGTTTGCCATTGAAGTTGTTTTTTAGGTTTCTTTTCTTCTTTACAGAGTTTTGATTGAAATAGGATGAATTTTTCCGCTTATATATGATGTTCTTTCTAGGGTTGCGTTTATGTGGACGGTTGCATTTAATCATGGATTCTTAAATATTTCCTGAAGATTTTCTGAAGATTGAATATTTTCTTGTGATAATTAACTGAATATACGGATATTTTCAGAAAAGGAGAGTTCATTAAGTTGCGGAATCTACGTAACCGGCTAGAGAATCATTACATATTCGAATAGATGCAAAATACACCAAGGTAAATGTTTGTTGTTTTTCAATCCTTTCCAATCCGTGTTTTTCTGTTTGTTTCGTTTTAAGTTGTGACCTACTGTTATGTTATTAGAAAAGACTATGATCAAATCAAATCAAACATAGTTAAATAGAAGCCAGAAAAGTTTAAAAAGGTTCCCAAACATGAAACAAAGGTTTAATACATAGTTGATTCAAGATGAAACAAAATAAAGTTTAAAATACTGATTAAAATAATAGCCTAATTGATTCACTCTTTTGTTAAGGAACTTGTGCCCCATGCAAAATAAACAACACACACATCTTTAAATATACATATGTGTGTAACAACTAACAACACACACAACAAACACACATTTTAATCTGCCAAAACAATTGGTCAATTGTTTACCTGCAATATCGATCGCTTTTAGCTGATTTTAAAGCCTTTCTACGAGTCCTTTTCAAGGGACGCGATGGCGCAGTAACAGCTAGGGACCTGTTCGTTTGCACAGTTGGATGGTCCAGCTGGATGATTCAGTCAGATGAACCATTCAGATGAAGTAGTTGGATGTTGTTCGCTTTATTTTACTCTCATCCGGATGATTCAGCCAGATAATTCATTCAGATGATTCTTTTGTTTGTTTCTTCAGTCACATGGATCATTCAATTGCTTGTAATAGATAATGATGAAAATATCCTTATTTTAATTTGAGGAAAAAAAAACACAACTTTATAAACTATAATCCAATATTTTCACATATCAGATTTTTGTAATTCCAACAAGAATAAAACTTATAATCATTCTCAAAAATAAACACAACAAAATGTAGTTTCGTGGTTCTAACAGAAAATGAGATTTCACAGTTTTGGTCAAAAATACGATTTCACGCGGTTTTAACAAAAAAACGTGAAATTACATTTTAAGCAAAAAAATACGATTTTGGGGTATCAACAAAAATGTGTTTTCTCGGTTTAAGAAGAAAACCACGATTTTGTGATTTCAGCAGAAAAAAATAATATGAATTTACGGTTTAAGCGGAAAATTGTGATTTTAAGGTTTTAAACGGAAAATTGTGATTTTGCGGTTTTGAACGGAAAACGTAATTTCACTGTTTCGGTGAAAATTCTGTGACTTTTGCGGTTTAAGCGGAAAACCGCAATTTTGCGGTTTCGCCAGAAAAAAACGCAAAATTTAAGCGGAAAATCGCAATTTTGCGGTTTCGCCAGATAAATGTGATATTGTGATTTTGGCGGGAAAAAAATGATTTTACGATTTTAGCGGCATGCGGAAAATCGTAATTTTGCAGTTTAGACGGGAAAACACAATTCCGAGATTACGGCGGAAAAACGTTATTAGCGGTTTTTGTAGGAAAAGTGTTATTTTTGGTTTTGCAGGAAAATGTTTTTTCGCGGTTTTGGCGGGAAAATCATTATTTTTAATTTTGCGAAAAACATTATTTCACGGGTTTTGGCGGAAAAATTGTTATTTTGCGGTTTCGACGGGAAAACACAATTTTGCGATTTCGGCGGAAAAATGTTATTTCACGGTTTTGTCGGGAAAACCCAATTTTGCGATTTTGGCGGGAAAATGTTATTTCACGGTTTTGGCGGGAAAATCATTATTTTTGCTTTTGCGGAAAAATGTCATTTTGCGGTTTTGGAGGTAAATAACAATTTTGCGACTTTTGCGGAAAAAAACGTTATTTTTGCTTTTAGACGGAAAACATAATTTTGCGGTTCAGACGAGAAAATATAATTTTGCGAATAATTTTGATTTCGTAGTTTTGATAAAAAAAATGATTTTGATGTTTTGGATATATTTAGAAATAATAAATAGATCTATCATTTTATTTTTGTTTAAATATATTTTTAAGGATATTTTTGTCATTTGTACATTTGGAATGAAGATGGCTCAGTCAGATGGTTCAATTCGGATCAGCTGAATGGATCAGCTTAATATTAAAATTTTAGCCTAAATTTTTTAAATTTCAGATGATCCATCTGGATGATGTTTATTTTTTGTAATAAACGAAAATCATCCAACTACTCCATCCAGATGGATCAGCTGGATGAGCAAACAAACAAGGCCTAGTTTATGTTCATCCATCTCACTTCCACTAAGCTGGAGCACCTTCTCTCTTGCGCCCTCTCCCCGAACATATATGTAAGCAAAACTGTAACAAAATACAAGTTTTCTTAGCTAAAGCAAGCTTTAAAAAAACAAAGCGCTATTAAGGTCAAAACACAAGCACACACACCTTTTGATAGTAGAGCTATAAAAGGCATGAGGTATACAAACTGACAATATTTTTCAAGCAATTAACTCTTAGTCAGCAATTAACTATTTTTCAATTAACTACACATCAATTCGAACCCGAATCCAAAAAACCATGATTTTTCTGGTTTTTTGGATTGTGACCGTGATTGGCGTTAGAACTGTTAGGGCTTTAGAGCATTTAAAGGTCTTCTAAGTATTTTTTTTAGCCAATCAGGTTTTCATGACTGTAATTTTTTTTAAAGTTCTTAAAGTCTTTTTTTTTTCAGTTTTCCTTCTTTATTTTCAATTTTTTTCTAAAAATCTCTTTTGCAGACTTTTATTCTCTCTCCTCGGTGAGAACTCCTTTTTTTCCTTTAATTATTTTTATTCTTTCTTTTTTCTCTTATACATCAAAATTTATTTTTAACACAGAATCAATTTAATTATAAAAAGATTAAATAATAATAATATTTTTTTTCTCATTATTTTAAGATCCATATTATAATATTTTATAATTAATAATTATTATTAAACCAAAAATAATGATTTCCATTAAAAAAATTAGGATATTTAAAATAAAAGTTACAGTCCTCACAGCTTTTGTTACCAATCTATGGATCCTGATTAGGGGCCTGATTGGCAATGAGGCTGTGAAGACTTTGGACTCTAAAGTCTTTAAAGTTAATTTTTTTACCAATGGAGTTTTAAAGACTTTATTAATTCTTAAAGCCTTAAAAGTCTTTTTCTATTATTGTTTCAGTTTTCCTTAGTTGAATCAAAATTTTCTTAAAAGCCACTTTTTGGTACTTTCATTCTCTCTCTTCAAAACCAAAATTGCTTTTTATTTTTATTTTATTATTTTTTTCTCACCCAAATAAATCAAAGCTTATATTTTATATTATATTATTTTTATCACAACAAATTTTTAACGAATAAATAACTATTATCTTTTTCTCATTCTTTTGAGATCCATTTTTCTAACCTTTTAGTAATTTAAAAAATCTTATAAACTAAAAATTTGATGATTAAATGGATTTTAAATGCTAAAAATAAAATTTTGTTAGTTTTAATAAAAACTAATAGTAATAAGTAAAATTACATTTTTATATGTATTTATAGTTTATGATAAAATAATTTTTTGCAATATTTAAAAATAACAGTCACAATCTTCACAGCTTTCATTACCAATCTTCACTTTCAAAAATTTATAAAGTAACAATCATAGTCCTTACAGCCAAAATCTCTACAGCCAAAAGTCACAGCCTAGAACCTAAAGCCAAAGTCCTAAACAATCAGACCCTAAGTTTGTGGATTTGAAGACTGTTTGAAGTTTTAAAATCTTTAAAGTTAATTTTTTACGAATGAGACTTTTAGTTTCCTATTTTCTCTCTACAGCCCAACTGCTAGGCTTTTAAATTTTAACTCTTTAACTCCCCTTTTCTTTAAAAGCCACGTAAATGAGGCTGAAAAGACTTTAGGAATTGTTTTTTTCTTTTTTTTCTTGTACGAAAGCACTTTTTTATTTTCTGTTTAATTACTTTTAATTTTTCTTCTTTCCCAAAAACATCAAAACTCATTTTTAATATACAATTTAATTTTATTATAACTAAAATTTGACTAAGTAATTATTATTATTTTTTGTCATTCTTTTAAGATCCATTTTCTTATATTTTATAACTAAATATTATTATTAGATCAATAAAATAATGATTTAAATATATTTTAAATTATAATAATATATTTAAGATAATTATACTAAAAATAATAATATAAATAAATAAATAAACTTATCATTGAATATAATTTTTTTTAAATATGATATTTTAAAATAATAGTTACAGCTTTCACAGCTTTTGCTACCAATTTGACTTTTAGAAATTTTGAAAGTAACAGTAACAGTCTTTACAGCCAAATTCTCTACAGCCAAAAGTCAAAGCCTAAAGCCAAAATCATAAACAATCAGAGCTTATCTTTCAATTTTTTTTAAAAATAACCGTTTCTACAGTCAAAAACTAACAGTAACAGCCTAAAATCACAGTCGTTACCAATCGGGACTTGATTAAAAATGTTTTGAGTATTTTTGGGGTCTATACCTTAAAAAATCGTTTAAAAATATTCAGTTCAGATTTTTCGGATCAGATTCAAGTTCAGATTCAGGTTTCTGATAAAAATCTCAAGCCTATGTATCAGCGCCAGCATATAAACCACAACACTCTTTTTTTTTTTTTTTGTCAACAGCCTAAATTCCTAAGCCGGTCCGGGAAGCGGGGCCGGTGGAACTGAGTTTATATAGTACACATCATGAGGCTGAGCTCGAGCACTCCGTGCTAGCTTGTCTGCCTTCGTGTTCTTCGTATTGGGGATGTGTGTGAGCGAGAACTCCTGGAACATCCCTCTGTATTTCTCCACTTCTTCAAGTAAGATCGCAAAAGCTGGCCACTCTGCCGGTTTGGACACCATCTTCACCAACTGAGCACAGTCTGTTTGGAAATTTATCCGTCGTTTATCATGAGCTAGCATACTATGCATAGCCCAAATTAGTGCCTCCAATTCTGTCTGGAGAGGGGACAAACCCCGCCGTAGATTGCTGGATCCAATCAAAATTGACCCTGATACCGGATCAACATTGTACCATCCAAGTCCTGCCCGACTTTCCGTCACTTTCCATGCACCATCAATCTGACACCGTTCCCCAGCGGGGCTGATCCGGAGTGTGTGGACATATTACACCGCGTACTGTCTATCACCGTTTGGGCAGCTGCCCATGCTCTTGCTTCCGTTATAGCGGATTCCATTACCTCCTATGGGTTTTGATCATCATTTGAGAAAACCTTTAATTCCGAGCTTTCCAAATGAACCATAGCAACCATGGGTACATCGCCATATCATCATCATCTGGGAGGTTCCAAAATAGGTGTGCCATATTTGAAAAAAGTGCGTCCGTAGGAAAATGTTGAGGAGGTGTAGGTATGGGGGACAGTGCCCATGCCTGGCGCGCCGGAGGACACTCAAAGAGCATATGGTTGATAGTCTCCTCTCCCATACCACATCTCACACACTGCGGGTCCACCGCATTCCCCGACTGCATAACCACGCGCCAACCGATAGACACCCGGTGATAATTTGCCAAAGGAAATGTTGGAGTTTCGTAGTACATTTGACCTTCCAGGATTGCGCTTGCAACCGCCTAATATCCGGTCCAAATACTGGCAGTGTCCCCTCATCTGAGAGTTCCTGTAAGACACTATATCCCGATTTAACCGTATACCGACCCGTTGTTGTATAAAACCATCCCCAATGATCCGGTTTGTAGCCAATGGCCACAGGGATAACCCGTGATGCGAGTGATTTCCTCACTCTCGAACAATTGATGCAATAGTGGACGATTCCACGTTGATGTCTGGGAATTAATTAACTGATTCACCGTCAATGGGGATAGTAATTAACTCCTTTGCAGATAGCTGGCCTCGGGTGAGAGTCAGAAATCCAGAGATCATACCATACAGAGATAGATGAACCTGAACCAACTCTTTTAATAAGTCCTTTGTATACCAGAGGTCGAGCTGAGACGATACTCTGCCAGCCGAAGAGTATGATCGGATAGAGTCCAAGGGGGTTGAATTCCGATAGTTCATTTGTCCTACTAATTCATTTCATTTTGAGTTACATAAAAAATAACTACTACTCAAAATTTCCGTCAACCACTTAAAATTGTCAACAAACACGTTAGTTTCCAACTAAGATCAAAACCTGCGTACAAATCTTGAAGCATCATAAGGTTTTTTGGGGAAAAAATATGTACAACCAGCATGACGTAGTCATGTACTTTTACGTGTGCCAAAAAACTCATAAGCATACTAACGTGTCTCTCTTTCTCGTTTGACTCATCAGTTTCACCATCAGTCTCTTCATCTTCCATGGAAACACCTGAAAATTTTAAACAATACAATTAGAGAAGTGAGAGATTCACTAAAGGCATTCATGTAAAACGCACACATAAAACTATCAAGAGTTTAGAATGATAATGAGAAAATCTCAAACATACCAGTACAAATTCACATTCCTGAGGAAGATGGGCAGTAATCTTCATACTCCCAATACGAACCGTCTCCAACATCCGGAGTCAACAAGCCTTTTAGCCACTCGATCCGAACGATAAGCTCTTCCAAGTCAAAAACAGCTGCGTCAACGGACTTCGAGTCTGTGATGTTCAGTCGAAGACCTTCATTGCCTGTCAATAACCCCATCGCTCTTTCTCTTTTCTGCTTCTTTGCTCTCTCTGTTTGCTCTTCTACAGCCAAAATTTAATCACAAGTCAAAACAAAGAAACCCTAATAACCATTTGAAAACCTAATCTTACCTTCATTCTTACGTTTCAGGAGCTTAGCACATTGTCTTTTCTGCCCATTCTACAACACAAATCATTCAACAAGCATATGTTTTAGTGTCTAATCAAAAGATAATAGTGACAACATTTAGAAAGAACAAAAAAAAAATCACAAACTAACCAGAGAAGGCAATTTCCAACCATCTTTCAGTGACCAATCCAACGATGGACGCAAGTCCTTGCACAAAGCTTCGTAAATCTCTCCTTCACCAAGTGGAGGAGGAAGCAATTCAACCTGTACTGTTTCTTCATTCTCATTGGCTTCCAAAACCTTTCCAGACCAGAAAGCACCATCTTTGCACCAATCAACTAAGTCTCCAACTTTCCAAGAACCATTATCCACTAGAAGAGGCTCTTCTTGGTCGTCACTTTCGTGGTAATGTGATGGATATTTGGGTCGAATCATTAAGTGCCTTTTCCCATCTCGAGATTTCTCATAGACTCGTACTTTATCTATACCTGGAATATACAAAATTGAATATAGCTCCATTAGAGAAAATAAAAGTTAAGAAACAAGTCAAAAAAAAATTTACGGAGGGAGGATAAAGCTTGTTCACCATCCTCTGTATAGTCAATATACTCCAAGCTGTAGAACAATTCCTTCCTCTTTGTGCTTATATCTACTATCTGATAAATCATTCACAAAACAAAAACAACAAAGATGTTCATATATTAGTACGATCTGTTTCTAACGAGAAAGCACCTCCAACAACAACAAGAATGATTTTGAGTGACTAACGCATACTGATTTTCCTAATCAATAATGAGAGTTCTAATATGAATGGCTAGATTCAATAGATCATTTCACAGCTGGACAGAAATCAGGATGGTAGATCGTTGAAGTTTAGGAAATGAAAACAGAGCGTCCCAAACACATAGCAGAGATCCAACGTGATTGAAGCAGGTGTGAGGAGGAGAGTGTAGTTAAAAATAAACGACCCACAAGAATGATGAGTCACAATTGCAGTCAAAAGCAAGAGGGCTTATGTCTCGAATGGCACAGTCAGGCCAACCAAAGACTGCAGATACTGAGTTTGACAGGTATCACTTGGTTTAAGCTCCAATACTTTTAACTCCATCAATTGGTCTGACCTGCCATCACTGCTGGACTGTCACCGACGGGGGAGATGGCACAAACAAGTATTTATTCACGTCTTGAGGCCATGGAAGAAAATTTAGAAGAAACTGAGGCAGAAACAGATTGTCAAGCATAGAGATTAGAGAGGGATGTTGGCAGCTAAAGCGAACATGACTCCAGCACCACCACATTCCACCAGAACCTTCCAAATAGGCCCCAACTCTTATATAGGCTGTTTTACGGAGACGTCAGATATAAAAGTGCTATGCTACGTGTTCTTTTGGCATTTATCTGTATAGATGGACAGGTTTTCATATCCAGAAGACACAAGTGCACCTAAACTTGTCCTCAGAATTCGTCTGGACGGACAAGTTTCAAGCCGAGTTAATGGCCCCAATCGACCTAGCACCATCACCAGAGGAACAACTAGATGCCATTTGTCGAGTTAAGGTAGTGCATGCCTTATCAATAGGGGCAGAAACTCACATTTGTTCTGGCCTATAGCGAAAGAATCTTTGAAGTAAGGAACAATAATTAGTGTTCTCTCACCCACAAAAGAAAATCAATATCAACAAGAACGCCTTGGGTTTGCTGGATATGGCGAGGGTTATAGCTAAGGCATGAAGGTAAGCATAATAAATCCAGTCTCCTTCCACATACCCACCAAAACTGATCTCCCACCATCTGCATTCAGGTAAAGGTCATTCCACAACAATAGATCCCAATTCAATCAGATCTTCCTCTTATACATAACATAACTCTTCATGCCAAGAAAAAATCTATGGGAGACTTTTTCAACACAACACAACACAGCTCTTCCACATACCCTTTTCTCTACCAAAACTGATCTCCCATCAAGTCTGTCTTCAGAAAAAGGTCATACCACAACAACAATTCCCGATTCAACTGGATCTTCCAATCTTCCCTCTGAAAGCACATATAGTTTCAAGCTAAAAGACTTTGTTCTCGTTGCGAAGAAGAATGAAGCTCTACACACATTTACATGGACAGTCTTTATTAGGTTCCTTGGCACCACTGGGAATTGGATTTTATGAAAACAATGAACAAACCAAAAAAACAAATTTGGGATGTCCATAACTCCATTTCATATGATGTTAGCCTTACGAACAATGCTAACATCATAAGAAACATCATAAGAGCTAAGTCTCTATCAAAGAGCTTTGCCATTATTCCTAAAATCTTAGCTCTTAGCTCTTCCAAGAGAGGCATATCATACAGTCAATATAAGTCTTAATGTGGTTTCCTTGGCACCAAAGATAGGGAATTGGATTTTATAGAAACAGGAGAGAAAAAAACGATGTAAAGAACTCAATGCTATATGATGTTAGCCTTGCAAACAAGGCTAACATCACAAGAAGGCCCGGCCCAAACATAATCTAGGCCCCGTGCCCTGAAACTTTTTAAAATCAAATTTTTAGCTGAATTATTTGATAAATAAGAAACTCTGGACTCTTAAATGCACAACTACAGAAAATTCAGGACCTTAAAATGCAATAAAAATTAGCTTAAAAGTGATGGGACCAAGTGCTTTTGCACTGGTTGCACACCCCTAGGGCTAGGCCTGATCACAAAAGCTAAGTCTTTAAGAAAGGGCTTTGCCTATATTAAACTCTTCCAAGAGAGACATATCATACAGTCAATATAAGTATCTAAGGAACTTCTAAGTAGCTTCACTATATAAATGTATTGGAGTCTAGATACATTTATATAGGGAGTCAAATTACCTTGCATCGAAACCAAGCTCCACGATATCCCCTTTTGAAAGATTTCATCTCCACAATTTGACCAACTTTGAAAGGTAGGATGATTTGAGTCATTTCTTATTGGAAAAAGAACTGCACAAAGATTAAAATGCACCAAAGATTGAGTTGGAGTGAAAAAAGGATCCATCATAGTGTGATGTGCATAGTAATCACATCTTCTTGTTTTGGAAAGGTAGAAGAAGAGAAAACCATAACAAAACCTAGAATAACCAAACATAAAAAATTGGTCTCAATATTGAATAGATCTAAGGCTTAGATAGTTGTTGGTGCTGCGAATAGGCTTGCAAACTATAATCATTTATTGTAGGGTAAATCACAAGATAGATCTTTAATACTCTTGTGGATTAAACAAATAACAATTTTTTTGTTCTCCAACACATGTATCAAAATTTGAAAACTTGTGATACAAAAAGTGGTCTAACCACTAACTCACTAGTGGTTGAACTTGTAACAGAAAAAATAGAATTTCGATTCATCATATTGACTATATCATATAATTTGATTATCTGTATAAAATTTTGTTTCTAATACTAATTGATAATTTCTAAAAGAATAGCAACACTGATAATTATCAATATTGTATCAGATCAAAGTTTTATACAGACAACAAATCTCATAATATAGATTCATGTCAAAGTTCAAAAACAGTTTCAAATCATATCATAATCGACTTGGAAAAACATTTTAGGGAAAGTAAATCGGATCTACCATAGAAAAACAAACTCTGAGGCTAAATCTACGGTTCAATAAAAAAATCCAGTATGCAGAAGATGTATTCAAGACCTCAATTCATCACGACCACAAATCATCAGACCATAGAAAAAAAAAGAGTAACAAACCTGGTCGTATTTAACGGGAAGGTTCAGATCTGGAACCGAGAGATATGATTATTCTGAGGCGGCAGTTTCTGGCTGGAGCCGAGAAAGATGATCAGTAAACACGAAAACCCTAATTAAAAATCTATTTAATTATTTATACGTTTGACTTTCATGGGCTGGAGCCCATAATTTTAATCACAGATACATTGCCACGTTGGCACTTCTTTTGATTCAATTTGCGTGTGCTTTTATTGGGCTGGAGCCCATAAATTACGAGCACATATGTGAGTTGACACATATTTTGTTTATTTTTTTCCGTCACATTCATATTTTGTCTTATATATTTATATATCTTATTTAGATATGAGACTTCAAATATTCGGGTAGTTTTGAATCCTATTAGTTCCTATTTAGTATTTGAAAGGGTTTCAATTCGGTTTTGGTTAAAGATCGACTATTTGTTACCAGAAAACTGGGAAATATATTTGAAAATAAAATTAAAAAAACAGAAAAAACTATAAATAAATATATTCAAAATATTGAAAATCTTTTGCACGAGTTAAAAAATTAGTTACTTTATTAGCATAAGTTTGTTGAGATGTACAAATAAGTGTATCACAAAGAAATTGAAAAAGAAGAGTAAAGATGGAGAAGAAACTAAAGAAGAAAAAAAACGAATAAAATGAGAATAGACTTGTTAGGTGAAATAAATTCACTAACCGGTCACTCCTTAAACTCTATTGTAAATTAGAGATGTGACCGACTGACGACGAGATCGACCAGTCAGTCCTACCCCAAGTCGCCTACAAAGCCTCAAGCATCGACATGTGTCTATAACGAGGTACAACCGACGATATTCATTAATGGTCTACCAATGGCTAACGGTCTAGCAACGTCCCATAAATTTATATAATTTCCCAAGCCTATTGGAATTGTATAAAAAGACCGACGTGCATTTCTAATTAAAAGGAATTTATGACTGACGACCGACATAGAAAATAGAAGATTACAACCAACATCATGGCCCAACTCGACAAGGATTATGATCGATTAACAATTATAAATAAGGGGTCTTAGAACAAAGCTGGGGGGACAAGCAATAAACACAGAAAACCCTAATAGCTACTTATTCTACGCCTCTCTACAAGCAGCGACGAAGAACCAAGCCACGACGACCTACGATCTACGACGACCGACAGACAAGATTCTCTTAGGGCCTGATTGGTTCTCCCGCTACCACCCGCAAACGCAGCGTTTGCGGTTCGTAGCGGTTTTCAGCGGTTTATAACAATCACGACAACCACTTTGAATCGCTCTATACCACTCTGTACCGCTCTATATCGCTGAAAATCAAAAGCTCCTTTCCGCAAGCGTTTGCGGTTGCGGGCGGTTGCGGGTGGATAATTAAAAAAAAAAAAAAAAACACAAACTTATATAAAATCCGAAAATAAATAATAATATTATTAAAAAATAAGATTTGGATAATAAAATCACAATATAAATAAAAAATTAGTACTTTTAGTCAATATTCATTAAAATCATATAATACTTATATATTTATAAGTTCTACAAATCAAAATTCTCTTGATAAATATTCTTTTCATACTAATACATATATATCTAATAAATAAAATTGTAAAATAAATTTAATTTTCACATTAAATATATATTTTGAAAATAAAATCACATTTTTATTTAAATTATAGAAATTAAAAGATAGACGTAAGTATTATACACATATTATTCTTTATAAAAAAATTATTTTTAATTATGTTGAACCATAAATTTAAAATTTTCATTATAATATATTTTTGATATTTTTATAATTATATAATGTGTTTATATTATTAATTTATTGTTTAACCGCTATTGCATCCGCAAGTGAACCAGTCATAAGTAACCCGCAAACGCATCCATTTTCAATTGTTATGCCAGTCGTACAAACCGCTTAATAACGCTACTAATCACAACCGCCCGCTTCCGCAAACTCCCGCACCCGCAACCGCAACCGCAGCGGTTAAACCAGTCAGACCCTTAGTTTAATCTTTGATATTGACTTGTTGTAGCTCGATATTCAATTGATTAATAAGATATCTTCTCCTGCGTCATTCCGTTTATTGTACTTGCGAACCGGTTAAATTTTGCCCAAACAGTTTGGCGCTAGAAGGAGGGGCAATTTTAACTGCGTGAGACATGGCGGCGGGAGATGATACCGCACCGACCGAAACACCGACCGTCACCGTTGCTCAGCTGGAGGCTCTCACAGCTCAGATGAAGCAGAACGAAGAACGACTTGCGCAAATCCAGGCGGAGAACGCAACCCTACGAGCAGAAAACGCGTCATTGGCTCAGGCTCGCAATAGATATCGAGACCGGTTCCCTCCTATGCAATCGTTCGACACTCCACCACTTACGGGTGCAACAGGAGCAGCCCTAGGAACAGGAGCTACCGACGCTGCGCAAGGTAACCAAACATTGGTTCCACCCCTTGCACCAACGATGGAACATCAATCTGAAGACTCGCATACTATGTTCTCAAAGCGATTGGAGGCTATGGAGCTCTTGCTCGCGCGACTTCCAGGAGTAGCTCCTCCAATCACCAAAAGTGCTCCTAATTGCTATGCAGACACTCCCTTCACGGATGCCATCGCTTTGGTTGAGATGCCAAAGAAGTTCATCGTCCCTTCAATGAAGATGTACGACGGGACGACCGACCCTGATAATCATATAGCCCAGTACAAGCAACGCATGTTCACAACGGCAATAGCAAAAGAATATCGCGAAGCTAGTATGTGTAAAGGATTTGGATCTAGCCTCACGGGACCAGCTCTTCAGTGGTTTACGAACCTACCGAACGCGTCAATCGACTCGTTCGCGTCATTGACAGACCGCTTTGTTGAGCAATTCGCGAGCAGCAGGAACATAGAAAGGACAGCCGACGATCTCTATGAAGTGATACAGAAGAGAGGAGAACCGTTGCGCGATTACGTAGGTCGCTTCAACAAAGAGAAAGTATCCATTCCGGCATGTGTCACGTCCACTGCCATCTCTGCATTCAAAAGAGGATTGCTCCCAGACAGTGATTTGTACAAGGAACTGACGAAGTACCAGTGCAGAACGATGGAAGATGTGCTATCTAGAGCATGGGCTCAAATAAGGTGGGAGGAAGACCCTGCATATCGACACCTACTTTCCCCACGATCTGATTCGCGTGTTGTTAGGAACGAGCGTCCCTCTCGTAGAGTGAAAGCACTAGCAAGAGAAGCGACAGCAGAGAGCGACCAACGCTCATCATCCACATGGCCAGACATGAGTAACCTCGCAATATCTCCTGCAGAACTAGTCAATGTTCTTAATCATATATCTGGAGTAAGATGGCCTCAAAAGATGAAAGCACCAGGGGAACGAAGAGACACATCAAAGTGGTGCGACTTTCACTCTGACCATGGTCATAGAACAGAAGATTGCATCACGTTGAGAATGGAAGTAAACGAGCTACTAAAAAAAGGTCACTTGAGAGAATACTTGTCCGACAGGGCTAGGAGTCGCATCGACGACAGAAGCAATGACGAGGTGCAAAGAAAACCATCTCCTGCTCAATCTCCGGAGCATGATCGAATCATCAACGTGATATCGGGAGGATCAGAGGTTAGTGGAATTACTCATTCTGCTGCTAAAAAGAGTACTAGAATAGCTAGAACTCATCATGGAGATGTCAAAGCTATATGCGAGCGACTGTCGAAGTGCACGATTAGCTTTGCTTCAGATGAAGATAAGTGTGTCCTAGCTCCACATCATGATGCATTAGTCATATCTTTGACAATTGCTAATAGTCTGATGAAAAGGACACTCGTTGATAATGGGAGTTCGACCAACATTCTCTTCATGGATGCTTACAAAGGATTAGGGCTGGATGAGAATGCACTGACGCGAAAATCCACACCACTGGTAGGATTTAACGGTGATATTGACTTGTTGTAGCTCGATATTCAATTGATTAATAAGATATCTTCTCCTCCGTCATTCCGCTTATTGTACTTGCGAACCGGTTAAATTTTGCCCAAACAAGACCTAAGAAAAAATAAACAAAAGAAGAAGAATAAGAATATCGGTTTACTATAATCACCATGATCATTCTAGAAAAATAAACTCTAATAACTAATGTAACTTTTCCAATGAATGGGCCTCTATGCCGTACGAGAAAATATGAGAAAGGTTTGTAATATGTTTTTAATCAGAAACTATCATATTGAAATTCCTTTTATTATTGTGACTAATTATGAAATATAAAGAAACTATAATTATAAAAGAATTTTTTTAAAATATTAAAAAAAAAAATTTAAAGCATTTGTAAATATCAATATAATGAACTTTTTAAAGAACTGAAAATTAGAAAATTCATAAATGTTTTATATAAAAAACATAAAAACAGAACCTTCACGTAGCGCAGGTAAAATACCTAGTAGTTACTATATAAAAGTTGAGGTTATAAGCCATTAAGGACATCCACATAGGATTTCAAGACGCGTTCTTATTGGTCCATGTAAACATCTTCAAAATTAATAAAATTTCCAAATTTTAGACAAACAAAAGTATGAGTCCACATCATTATATAAATATTTGTTAAAATTAAATAGTTTCTTTTTAATATTTCAAGAAAGTTTCCTAATTAAAAGGTGTATACATTTTTTGTATTAAAAATTTTAAAAATAAAGGCTCTAATTGTTTACGACTGAAATAAATATTGAGGCTATAAGCCATTGAGTACGTCCACATATTATTTTAAGACGCGTTTTTATTGGTCGACACTTTCAAAATTAAGAAAGTTTCCAAATTTAAACAATCAACTAGATCTTGACCCATACTTGAGAAGCACGGGTTGTTGTAAATTTTGTTGAGAAAAGGGCAACTATCAACAGAGTAGTTCTGTAAATAATATCCCTAATATATTAAAAGAGAAAACACTAACTAAATAACCTTTGTCTAATGTGTTATTAACAAGAATGTCATTGCTTAGGTGTCATCACTAGGTTCACTCTTAGAGCAATTTCTAATTAAGACAAGCTTTACTAGACAAATTACAATATATGCCATTGCATATTATGCTTACAACCAAATAATGAAATTAAATTTATCATTCTCTTTCCTTAATTGGCAACTACGAAAATTAGTAAATAAGGAAGATATGAGATTCAATTTAATTCATCATAATAATTTCTTTTAAAATCAGTATACATCTTCTATCATCTTTGTTTAAATTTATTTAATAAAATAATTTGAATCACAATATAAAAAATCTATCAAAAAAATCTAAAACTTTTTCTGTACATGTTATGATTTGAATTTTTAAAAACAAAATAATATAAATTGTTTCGTATATAACCTCATTTAGTAGGTATCCAAAGGTAATTTTTTTTTCATTTAATATGGTTTTTTAATTAAAATCTATAATTAAATCGAATAAAAAAGTTCTTTTTATAAATATTTTATTTTGATTAAACTTTTGAATATTACTCTATCTGTTTCAACTTTCTATACAAAATTAATTATATTTTTGCTGTTTTGACAATTTGGATTCTGCATATTATTTTCTGATTGGTTGGATTGTTTTGAAATTATAATAAAGCATGTTTTAGTTTTGAAAGAAAGAAAAAAATTAGTTCTAATCCGTGTCCACACAGCTAAAACTTTTTATCTTATGAAATACATGATGTATAATTTTTCTAAAGAATAATGTTTTATTTTCAATTTTTTTCTTTAAACTATCTTATTATATTATAGTTATTTGAGTTTTATGTATCTCGGTTAAATCTATCATATTTAATATGTGGTTACGATCAATGCTTTAATTTATTTCTTTTTGGATTAAAATGCCTAATTTCCATACTATAAACGAATAACAAAGGTTAAAAATCTCTCGCATAAAATGTCGAAATATTTAAATATTTTTAATAAAAATACAAATTCAGAAACTATCACCCCGTGCAGGGCACGGGTCAAACCCTAGTTATGTTTGTAAAGTATAAGGTTGATATAAATGAGTTATTAACATTAAGTGAATTAGGAAATTGTAATTAATCCGGGTTTGTAATGCAGAGTTATACTGGGCCAAATACTGTAAATGAATTGGCCTTTATCCGTTACAGGTTGTAATTAGCAGTGTGCAGTCGTTTTTTTTTTTTTTTTGGAGAAATCAATTTTTCAGAAACGATTTGAGGGAAAAAATAATGAAGAAACCCTATATTTTGTTTATTTTGATTGTGTCGACGGAACAATTGGATCAACACCCACTCTTTAACCTCCTGATTCTAACTAAATCATGATCGAAATGGGATGTATTAAAATTATGGAAAGAGAACAATTTATCCGGGATTTTGATTCAAGGCAAAATGGCGATCAAATTTCGTTCCCGAGTCCTCATCCAGGTATTCGATTCTTAATCTAAAACAGTATAACTCCATATGATTTTATGGTTTCTTTAACAATTTCGACACATTCTTTCTCAATTACATATATAGAATTGTCGTAGATTGAATTATACAGAATTTGAAGTTCTGTGTTTCGTTTTAAAATACTTTCCTAACCGAGTTGTTGTTTGTTTGTCTGTTCTGTGTTTCGGTTTCGACGCATATTCTATATTATGATTAGTTTATCAAAAGACAATGGTTTTTGTAAAATGCTTATTTGAGTGAGTTGAGTAAAGTGTTTGAAAAATTCAGAATTAGTAGAACATAGACTAACAAAGTTCAGAACTTTTTGAAGAACATAGGATATTTTTATAACATACTTGAAATGAAAGGTGCATACGAAATTTCTCATAGTCAAATTGCAAACAAAAAGCTAAAGAAATACTTAAACGGAAAACATCTTCATACTTGATGGGATTGATTCAGTGATTTATCTCCTCTATTCCTCCTTCTCATCATTCATCGCTCATGTCCTCATGTTGCAATCTGCAGAAAACCATGAGCACCACACATTCTAAAAAACATTCTAGCTAAGAATTTAAATACTTACAATATGTTTGTGAAATGTACAACCTCGTGGTGTCCATGAGGATCATACTCAGATGAAGAAATTCCTTCTTCATCTTCAACTTGAATAGCACCTGGTAGTTTATAGAGTAATGCTTGATCAATAATTAGTTGGTATTGAGATTATCTAGCGTAAGATAAAAGCATAAAAGTTTATAAAGAAACTAAACATCTCTTCCAACAACAAGCCAATTGGTTAATAGGCATATGTTTGTTCCGGTTCGACCATAACATAGCCAATTGCGGTTAAAGAGAACCGCCAAGGTTCCCAAAGACGAACAAAGATGAAGACGCAGACTGAATAAGAAATCGCAAGGATGAACAAACTGAAATCAAAGAAGAAAACAAAAAACCGAATAAAGAAGATTGGACCGTAGAAAAATAAACAAAAAACTAGACAAGATAAGAAGAATAAGAACATTGATTCACTACAATCACCATAATCGCTATGACGATGCTATTGACTACAAAAGCTTATGAATAACAAAATATTAAATCAAATTATTAATACAGACCCGCGCGTAGCGCAGATAAAATACCTAGTAATAAATAAAAATTACCTTGATTGTGCTGGAGTCTTAAATCTTGATATGTGTAACTTGATTACTCTGATGAATCCTTCCTCTTGAGGTCCCTTGAAGTCTAGATGGTTGAGATCTTGAAGTGTTTCCCGGTGGTTAGCTTTAGAATCCTTTTCTTGCTCCATCTGCTCTCTTTTGGCTTCACAGCTTGTTCTTCTGATATCTTGATGTTTTTGTGTGATCTTTTGGAGATTCTAGATGTTTTTGATATCTATTTCCCGCCAAATAAACAATAATATCCTTGTTTGGTCGAGACTGATGTTCCTTGAGCCTCAAGAGTATGAAATTTGCTATATGTCTGGTTTGGGCTCATTGGTATTCTCAAGTTGACTTGGTTTGGAGTTTGAGTTGTGATATATCATGGTTTTTGAACTGCCTAGTTTTCAAACCTCTTTCACAGTTTAGTTATTTGTTTTGCTTGAGGGCAAGCAAAGGCTAAGTCTAGGGAAATTGATATATCATGGTTTTTATGGGTTTTTGCCATGATATAAGTCTTGTATATAGAGTCTTTTTGGTATTTTTGGAGTCTTTTTGAGTCTTTACAGGTTTAAGGTATGGGTGCATTTGGAGCAATTGGAGTTATATGGAGCTATTTGGAGCTATAATTTCATGCTGGAAAACAAGACAAACAGACGATACAGAGTCTTGCGTCGTTCACACAACTAGAAGACAAAAGACTTTTGAAGATTACTTTTGGCCCAGAAGTTCCACTTATTTACAAGAAGGCCCAATTCGTGTTTTAGACATTATTTAGGTTTTTAAAGCCATTGTTAGGCTAATACTTTTATACTTTATTCTATTGAGACTTAGAGAGAGATTTGTAGCAGAGCTTTGGAGAGATAGATCAAACTCCTTCAGAGAAGATTTTGAACTCCTTTATCTCTATTCTTATTTCTTTTATGCAATCTATTTATTCATGATGTTTGTCTCAATCACCATGTCTGAGTAGATTCCTTGTTAGGTTTAGGGTTTTTCAAAGGTTGAAGAAGAATTGCAATTGCTTAGGATAATCATTAGAGTTCTTCATCTGGATTGTGTTTATTGCTTATTCTAGCTTCGCGACCTAGAATCTGATCTTAGGTTAATTGGTAGACACGAAAGTGTTATTGATTTCCTGAACTATCTTAGATGAGCAAAATATCTATCTGCAAAGGAATTTGGTTTAGAGATTTTGTGAACTTATCAAACCTGATCATTAATGCTTGTTTGAATTGTTGAATTTGCAAAGAAATTTGGGATTCTAAGTTTAGACATAGATAATCTCTGCAACGAAAGTTGATTGGTTTTACAATTGTGATTTGAGTTCTAGAATGGTTCTTCATTAATATCCTGATATTTACTCTGCAATTCGGATTCAACCTGCGAATTTCCCAAGGCCTAACCTTTGTCTCATTGAATTTAACCTCGTTAATCAATCACCTGCTACTTTGTTTTCTTTTATTTGTTTTACATTACTCATATCTTACTTAGCCTGATTTGAATCTGGAAATTCGTTGTGCAACTGATAGACGTTTGGATTCGATAAACCCTTTATACTACATTGATTTGATGTGCACTTGCAGTGATAATATAGGGTAAAACTTAACCTATCAAGTTTTTGGCGCCGTTGCCAATCGTCTTGTTGTTGCCATCAGATTTCTAGTTCTAGAGTCTTGTCTAAGTGTTTCTTTTTGTTTTGTTACTCACGCTCTACATTCTTTCTTTTTGGTGTTTCAGGTGTATGCATACTCGCAGAACCAGAAGCAACAAGCTGGAAGAGCTACTCAATCTCACTAATCAAGAGCTAGCACACTTAGAGCGTACAAACAGAAAAGCCAAGAAGCCAGTCGAGATGGTCAATCACATAGTCTTGATTCGCGGTGAAGATGGGCTTCTGTTTGATCCAGAAGGGAACCGGTACAATGAGCAAGGGCAGAAACTCGATGCTGCTGGGAATGTGATCCCAGAACCAGCTGTAGATCCAGCTGCTCCTAACCCACCCCCCCCCAACCCCAGCCTGCTCTTTTCAGCCGGCACTACCCAATGAAGGAGCAGGAGAGCAGCGCACACTAGGCGACCACAACAGGCCTGATTTTTCTATGCGAATCGGTCTGCGATCCGACCTCCTCCGTTCCAGAGGAATAACTTTGAGCTGAAACCTTCTTACTACACTCTTGTGGGTCAATCCCTTTCATGGTTATCCCACTGAGAAACCAATGGATCACATTGAGAACTTCGAAGACCTGGCCAGCAGCATCAAAGCCGATGGCGTGAGCATGGACTACCTTCTCTGCAAGCTTTTCCCTTACTCTCTTGCTGGGGATGCAGCTTACTGGCTAAAGCAGTTGCAACCAGGATCTTTGACAAACTGGGAGGATACTAAGAAAGCCTTTCTGAACAATTTCTATGATGATGCAATGTCTGAGGAGGCAAGGAACAACATCTCTACATTTCGTCAAGGACCTACTGAAGCGTTCAAGGCGGCTTGGGTTCGATTCAGGTCATATCAGAGAGACTGTCCACACCATGGTTTAGTGAGATTCAGCTGCTGGGCACCTTCTTTAGAGGCATTGATTGGCAGTATCAGATGGCTCTCGATGCTGCGAGCAATGGGAATTTCAACACCAGGTATCCACATCAGGCTTACCAACTTATTGAGAACTTGGCATCTAGCAATAGTACCAAGAATGCTGATTTAGAGAGGAAGAAGCTAGGTGGAAACATGGATAGAAGTCAAATTGCTGAGGTTAAGGCTAAGTTAGATTCTGTGCATGGCCTTCTTGTGGGAAAGAAATCAGTTCAATTTGCTGCTGAGGTTGAAATGTGGATGAAGAAGATGTTAATTTCATCAATGGAGCTGGGTTTCAAGGACAGAGATGGGTCAATCAACAAGGATATGGTTCCTCTTATCATAAGCCTTATGGTTCTTCTTCTTACCAGAAACCTCCTGAACAAGACAATGAGATGAAGTCAATGCTTAAGCAACTTCTAGAAGGTCAGCAAAACATGACTGTGAGCTTTAATGGAAGGATGGATGCCATGTACCAAGACTTGAATGGGAAATTTGAAGCTTTGAGCACACATGTGAAGAAGTTGGATGTTCAAGTTGCTCAAAGTGCTGAGTCTATCAAAAGACAAGAGGGTTTTCTTCCTGGAAAGACCAATATCAATCCCAAACATTCATGTCATGCTATTATGGTGGAAACTGGAGCCAATTTCGTGGATTTTGAGAAGACTGCAACTGATTTTCGCACTGCAGAAGTTGCGTCGGGCGACACCACTGAACTGTGTCGGTCGACACTGCAATAGTTGTCGGTCGACACCATTCCCCTGTGTCGGTCGACGCAAGTGATCTGCCAGAAGAAATTCTGCAAATTTCGGATTTTCAGGCAAATTCCTGCAAATTCCAGACTGCACCAGATCTTACAGAAACGTCCAAATCAGGTGCAGAAAGAGTCTATAAGCCTAAAATTCCTTTTCCAAGAGGTCCTAGGAAGTCTAAACAAGAGATTGAAGATGCAAAAGTCAAGGCCATGATAGACAAGCTGATGATTGAGATACCATTAGTTGATGCAGTCAATCTTTCACTGCACTAAGGAGGTATGTTAAGAGAATGGTTGTGAATGGTGTGAGTCCTGAGGAAGGAGCATTGCTTACCAAAGACATTAGTGATGTTCTCTTGAGCACAGTCCCAAAGAAGAAGAAGGTGATGGTCTCTGAACAAGTCAGTGCTATAATTCAGAACAAGATTCCAGAGAAGCTACCTGATCCAGGAAACTTTGTGCTAGATTGCTCATCTCAACAAGCAGGTTTCCTCATTCTCTTTGTGATCTAGGTTCCAGTGTAAACTTGATGCCTTCTCTGTTGCTGCTAGACTTGGAATGACTGATTTCAAGCCAACTAGGATCTCTCTTATCATGGCTGATCGATCTAAAAGAATCCCACAAGGTGTCTTAGAGAATGTTCCACTTAAAATTGAAGGTCACTTGATTCCCACAGACTTTGTGGTTTTGGAATATGCTGAAGAACCTATAGATCCTCTTATTTGGGAAGATCCTTCTTAGCTACAGCTGGTGCTATCATTGATGTGAAGAAAGGGAAGATAGAGCTTGATTTGGGTGATGTTGTCATGAACTTTGACATGGACAATTGAGGAGGAGATCCACTATTGATGGTCAGAGTTTTTCTGTGGAGATTTCTAAGGATGAAGATGCAATCAGAGAGCATTCACATGACATTACTGCTGGGTATGTCAAGGAGTGGATACTAGTGAGCAAGTGAACAAGCTGGAAGATAGGAGTGGAGACTTAGTTGGTGATCACCTCATAGCACAAAAGCCTCCCATAAAGCAAAGGTATGCACTTCTGAACTTAATTCCAAACCCCCTGATATCATCATTAACAATTTAAAAGGTGTAAAAGCTGTTTCACACTTATGCAAGCAACGAGATTCTCGTAGAAAGCTTGGTGTTTCTTTTGATGATTCTGCAGGAAAAAGAAGTGTTCCACCCAAACTCACATCCCACCCTGCTGCTATTCCTCACTTCCTTGGGCGTCCTCATGCACCTAATGCTTATACACCACCATGGATGAGGAGACATTCTTCTCAGAGGCATTTGTTGTCGCTATCTGATCCACCAGATGCCTGAACCCTCACACAGTCAAGCTAATGACTGAAAACAAGCGCTTAGTGGGAGGCAACCCACTTGTAGGTGAAATTCCTTTGTGATTTTCGTTTTGTTTCACTAATTTTTTTTTTGTTTTCTGAAAAAAAAAAAAAAAAAAAAAAATTTGCATCGTCGACCGAGCAACCTTCTGCGTCGCCCGACGCAACTTCGAGACGGACGATGTCGACGAATCTCGACAAGGTCGACACGAGCAAAGCGGACTCGACACAGACTGCGTCGACCGACGCAGATTATCCAGAAGGTAGTTACCTTCTGTTTTTCACACTTTAACTCAGTTTTTAATTTTTTTTGCCAACTTTCAGACTGTATAACACTGGGGACAGTGTTGTTCAAGTCTGGGGGAGGTAGTTACTGACATTGTGTACATGTTTGAGTCTTAGGTTTTTAGTTTTTGAAAACTTGTTTTATTGAGTCAAAATTGTTTGGTTGTTCAAAGTTGTTTGATGCATTAGAGTGAGTTTGAAGTTAAGATAGCACCACACTTGGAATTCATTGATAGTATCCATGATTGGTATTCACAACTTGACTGACACATGCTTTGATTTGACACCATTCCTTACTTATTAGAACCATAATCTGACTTGCAATTATCATGTTCATGCATTGAAAGTGTTTTCATGGATACCATATACATACTTGGGCTCTCTTATTCCTTTTTACCACTCTTGTTAGTCCAAGTAGCTGATCTCCATTTTGAGACAGTTAATCCCACCCTGAACCAAGCCTTCTTTCAAGCCAATGTCTAGTGAGTGATGTGAGGCCTATTTTCTGAATGAGCTTAGCAAAAAGTGTTGGGTTTAGACGACAAGGATATGTTTTCATGTAGAACTAGCTCACCTTTTTGAGTTAGACTAGGATATAATTGGGATTTGGATTTGTGCTTAATGGAAAAGAGAACTAAGGAGAAGAATTGTTTAGAAGTGGTTATTTGGTTTGTATATATTGTTTTTCTGTCTTTGGCTCTCATTTAAAAAAAAAAAAAAAAAATCGAAAAAAAAAAAAAAACAGAGCCAAAGCAGAGTTTTTAGACCAAAACCACTTGGGAATCAGAAGTTGAATCATTCTCCTTGGGTTCAAAAGAAAAGAAAGTGAATGTATGAAGAGTTGTTTATGAAGAGAAAGTGCTTTAATGGGTAGCTTAGGATCATTTATGGGATTGTATTGTGGAAATTTGAAGTTACTTGGGTAGATGAAAATTTATCCTTGTATGCATAAATTGATCTTTACCCTTAGCATTTTGCCAAAGCTCATTCACTTCTTGAGAGATCCCTTGTTTGACTGCTTAAACCTGGATGAAAAGAGACCATATTTGTCTCTTAACCTTGTCCCTAGCTAAATGATTTCACTTGATTGCATGAACTTGATCCATGGTTACTCTTTAATTGAATGTTAAAAGGAATGGTTGATTTGAATGCATATATAGGTTGAGTTGGAATCTACTTCATGTTGTGATGAGTGTGGCTAAAGTTTTTAAAGTAGAACAAACTCACAATGCATTGACTCTTTGAACTGCCTTGTTTTCAAACCTCTTTCACAGTTTAGTTATTTGTTTTGCTTGAGGGCAAGCAAAAGCTAAGTCTGGGGGAGTTGATATATCATGGTTTTTATGGGTTTTTGCCATGATATAAGTCTTGTATATAGAGTCTTTTTTAGTGTTTTTGGAGTCTTTTTGAGTCTATTACAGGTCTAAGGTTTTGGTGCATTTGGAGCTTAATTGGAGTTTTGGAGCTATTTGGAGCATAGTTCTGCTGGAAAACAAGACAAACAGACGATTTCCAGAGTCTTGCGTCGACCGACGCAATTCATCTGTGTCGGTCGACGCAACTTAAGAAGACGAAATTAAAGACTTTTGAAGATTGCACTTTGGCCCAGAAGTTCCACTTATTTACAAGAAGGCCCAATTCGTGTTTTAGACATTTTTTAGGTTTTTAAAGCCATTGTTAGGCTAATACTTTTATCTTTTATACTTTTATTCTATTGAGACTTAGAGAGAGATTTGTAGCAGAGCTTTGGAGAGATAGATCAAACTCCTTCAGAGAAGATTTTGAACTCCTTTATCTCTATTCTTATTTCTTTTATGCAATCTATTTATTCATGATGTTTGTCTCAATCACCATGTCTGAGTAGATTCCTTGTTAGGTTTAGGGTTTTTCAAAGGTTGAAGAAGAATTGCAATTGCTTAGGATAATCATTAGAGTTCTTCATCTGGATTGTGTTTATTGCTTATTCTAGCTTCGCGACCTAGAATCTGATCTTAGGTTAATTGGTAGACACGAAAGTGTTATTGATTTCCTGAACTATCTTAGATGAGCAAAATATCTATCTGCAAAGGAATTTGGTTTAGAGATTTTGTGAACTTATCAAACCTGATCATTAATGCTTGTTTGAATTGTTGAATTTGCAAAGAAATTTGGGATTCTAAGTTTAGACATAGATAATCTCTGCAACGAAAGTTGATTGGTTTTACAATTGTGATTTGACTTAATTAATCTGGAAAAACCAAATGAACTAAAGAGAACAGAAAAAAAAAAAAAAAAAAAAAAAAAAAAAAAAAAGAGAAAATTTGAGAGACCATGAGGAAAAAGTTGATAAAGGGAGAATTGAAAGGATCTATCAAGTAGAGCTCAACTGCTTCGATCTGTGCTGAATCATGCACGTTTCGTGAGGATTCAGTTGAGAAAGAAGAACTGAAGTCGAAGAAATGTTGGAAAGGGATTTTTAATCGGTTTGCCACGAAACTCGCAAAACCGCAGCGGGTTAACTCGCCTGAAACCAATGCCCATATGGGCTTAGCCCGCTAGTCCACTAATTTTGCGAATATTTTTTATGGGCCCAAGCCCACCCCGCAAATATTCATATGGACTTGACCTGCGGGTTTCAGGTTGGGTTGACAACTCTATCTGTATGAAATCTCATGAACACTCTTTGAATATATATCCATATGGATAGAAAAATATATGGAGCTAGATGATTACCACCAATGAGTCAAAATAGTGATGTCGTCTTAGAAAGTCAAAATGAAACAACCAAACTTTTAAAATATATATATTAAACAATTCTAGCAAAAGTCTTTTAAAATAATTTAAATAAATAATTAAATCAAATAACAATATTCAGCGGAAACAAATAACAATAAATAAATCTAGCAACCTAAAGGTGCTAGAAAGTCAAACAAAAGCAAATAATAAAACATTCTATCATCCCCTTCTTCGGCCTTGATTCCGCGATCACTTAAACTTTTTACATGCAATACATTGCGAAAGAGTTGCATAAGTATTTCATAAATACTTAGAGAGGCACCACCATTATTAAGCGAATTATTTAATATTGTTTATTTTCCTAGTATTTGCGCAAATTAAACCATTACAATTCGATTAACTCAATTAGATTTGATTAACCGATTAAATTCAATTAAACCAATTAAATTCGATCAAACCGGCTGAACCGGCCTGTGTCGAACGACACCACCCTCCTGTGTCGACGAACACCAAACTTGGTGTCACCGACACCGAGCTGCAAATCGCAGAGAACGAACGATGAACTCTACCCAAAACAATGAAATCAACCAATTAACTCAAATCAACGAAATCACACATCAATATGACCACAAAACAACACACAATCAAGCACAGAACAACAATCCTAGCATCCACGAGCCTATAGTCACGCACTCACCTCGGATTTGGATTGAGAAAAAGGGAAAAACACTGGAAAAGATGAACATTGACGAAGAACACCGCCGAAACCACCACGCAGCAGCCACCAACACCGACTCAGGTTCCGAATTGACGACGAACAACCTCAGATCAAACCTCCAAACACCAAATCGCCTTGAAATCTCTTCTCCTCTAGTTTCTCCTTCACTAAACGACAAAAACCGAGAAGAACTAGGCGGCTGCACAGTTTTAAGACGAAAAGCAGGGTTTCCAAGCCCCTAACCGGCCCAAACCGGACTTAAATATTTGGATGAACCTGTTCTTCTTCTACTGCTCGATTTTTCCGCCTTTCTTCATGACATTCTTCTCCACTTTGGTGCTCTCAGTTGTAGATGGCACGATAGGTTTCAGGGGAGAAATAAAAAAAGAAAATATTTTGTTAATTGGTGACTTTTTGATAGAAGACACGTCTCACACAACATTTACCATCCAAGTTACTATTTTCACCCTCACATAAAGCTTGAACATCATTACCATCGGCCATTCCGTTAATAACAACACGAATTGAAGAACTCCAATAACTTCCTTAATTAACGTGCTCAATAACTTTACATTTCACTTCCTTAACATACTAAATTAGTAATACAAATCGATTTAAAAATATTTTGTTAACATAGAATAGTATTCACAATTCAATTTTTTGGTAATATTTCTACAAAATTCCTTTTTCTATTTTCCTATTTGATTTTCTGTTACTATTACTTGAGATTTTTTATCCTATTTACAAAACTAGAAATAATATTTTTTTTTACATTGAAGCATATGACGATGTAAACTAACAATGACAAATGTTATAATGTGTCAGTGTCAACGCAACCTATTGTGCTAACACAATCTTCATCTTTCTATTTCTCTATTTGATTTTCTGTTACTATTATTTGATTTTTTTTTCCTAAGATGAATAATGAAAATCTGTAATCAAACATGTCAAGACAATCTTCCTCTTTTTATTTCTCTATTTGATTTTCTATTACTATTATTTGATTTTTTTCCTATTTATAAAATTATAAATAATATTTTTTTACACTGAACTAACAATGACAAAACGTGTCAACACAATCTTCCTCTTTCTATTTCTCTATTTGATTTTCTATTACTATTATTTGATTTTGTTTTCTTAAAAGGAGTCATAAAAATAAGCAATCTAACGTGTCAATGCAATCTTCCTCTTTGTATTTCTCTATTTGATTTTCTATTATTATTATTAATTGAGTTTTGTTTCCTATTTATAAAATTAAAAAAAAAACTATTTTTACATTGAGACATATCACGATCTAAACTAACAAGAAAAATGTCATGATATGACTTAATCACATAAAAATCTAACATGTCAAGACAATCTAATGTGTCGACGCTCCACGCATCTTCCTTTAAATGATAAGATTTTTTCTTAAAACAATTAGATATCTTCTTTTTTTTTTGAGAAAAGAAATATATTTTCATATTTCCTAATCAAAATTAAGCTTTGAATAAAATACACCGCCTCTGAAAATCATAAGATTATAAAATGGAGATGTTCTTTACTTTTTATCATTCACCATTAAGCATCCTCACTTCCTAACTTTCATCACCAATCTCCACAAAAAAAGACTAATAATGTCGACGAAGAAGATTGTTCTGAAAAGCTTAGATGGTGAGATCTTCGAGGTGGAAGAAGCGGTGGCCCTTCAGTCTCAGACGCTAGCTCATATGATCAAAGACAACTGCGTTAAAAACGGAATTCCTCTCGCCAACATCACAGGAGATATCCTCTCCAAAGTGATCGAGTACTGTAAGAAACATGCCGTCTTCATCCCCAATGGTGATGGTGGTTCAACTGAAGAGGAGCTCAAGGAGTGGGACACCAAGTGTTGTAGCATGGAGTGGTTCAACTTGACGTTGAAAACGTCTGCCGTGTTCATGTGAGGAGGAAGTCGGAGGCGATAAGCATTGTTATTTATCTTCTCAAGAACTTCGAGAGGACCAATCTTCCGTGCTTTCAACTTGTTATACGTATTCGGTGGAAAACGGTCTTTAGTAAGGACAGCCCAAACCTTGTCACCCACTTGAAACTGTAAGTCACGACGGCGAGCATCAACAACAGCTTTGTACTTGGCTGTAGAAGCTTCAATGTTGGTACGAACTTGTTGATGAACAGCAGCAAAGTCATCAATCATATCGCATGCACGACCGTGAGAACGAGTTCTGTCCGGTGCAACATTCAAATCAATAGGACCACGAGGAACATACCCATAAATGACATGGAAGGGACTAAAACCAGTGCTTCGGTTAACGGCATGATTATGAGCAAACTCGGCTTGGCCCAAAACAGAATCCCACGAGCGAATGTTATCTCCGACCAAGCAACGCAGAAGATCACCAAGAGCACGATTAGTAACTTCAGTCTGCCCATCCGTCTGAGGGTGATAGGCGGAACTCTTGTCGAGGCTTGTACGCAACATACGCCACAAAGAACGCCAGAAGTGACTCAAAAAGCGTGAGTCTCGATCAGAAACAATGGAGAGAGGAATACCATGAAGTTTATAGATCTCGCGAAAGAATAAAGTAGCGACTTGGATCGCATCAGTGGTCTTTTTGCAAGGAACAAAATGAACCATATTCGAGAAACGATCAACCACAACAAAAATAGAATCATGACCTCTTTGTGTTCGTGGAAGACCCAAGAAAAAATCCATGCTAATATCTGTCCATGGCTGGGAAGGAATCGGCAAAGGCAAGTACAATCCCGCATTGGTGGCGTGACCCTTGGAAGCTTGACAAGTTCCACAACGAATGATGAAACGCTCAACATCTCGACGCACCGTGGGCCAATAATAAGAGGTCGTGACCAACTGAAGTGTGCGGTCTCTACCAATATGGCCTTCATTATGAAACGCACGGATCACTTGTAGACGCAAGCTACAATCTGGAATACAAAGTTGATTTCATCGAAACAAAAAGCCATCAACAATAATATAACCATCTTCATGGCCACACTGAACATCATTCCAAATCTTCCCAAAAAAAGAATCGGTGGCATAGAGATCTGGGAGGACAGAGAAACCAACCGTAGAAGCATGCATTGTAGTCAAGAGGTTGTGACGACGACTTAAGGCATCAGCTACTTTGTTGAGAGTGCCGGCTTTATGCTTGATAACAAAAGTAAATTGTTGTAAATAAGCAAACCAAGAGGCATGACGAGAAGATACCTTATCTTGAGAACCCATATGTTTGAGCGCATCATGGTCGGTGTAAAGAACAAACTCTCGATGAAACAAGTAGTGTCTCCAATGTTTAATAGCTTGACCCACAGCATATAATTCAACGTCGTATGTGCTATAGCGACTTCTTGAACCAGCTATTTTCTCGCTAAAAAAGGCCACGGGTTTGCCTTCTTGACTCAGCACAGCACCAATACCAGATTTAGACGCATCACAATGCAACTCAAAAGCAGTGTCAAAATTCGGCAAGATTAAAACGGGAGCTGTGGTAAGCTTTGTCTTAATCGTCTGAAAAGCTGCTTCGGCCGCGGGAGTCCACGTAAACTGAGTAGTCTTGATACAATCAGTAAGAGGTGCCATGAGGCTACTAAAATGATGGACGAAGCGACGGTAGAACGAGGCGAGGCCATGAAAACTTCGAACATCGGTCACAGTACGAGGTGTGGGCCATGAGCGAATAGCTTCGACTTTAGCCGGATCAATGGAGAGACCATTCTTTGAGACAATATAACCAGGAAACAGGACTTGAGTTTCGCCAAACGCACACTTCTGTATAGCTCCAAAAAGCTTCTCCCGACGTAAAACAAGCAGAACATCACGTAAGTGAGTTAAGTGATCTGAGAGAGACGAACTGAAAATGAGTATATCGTCAAAGTATACCAAACCACAACGTCCAATAAACGGTCGAAGAGCCTGATTCATCACATGCATATACGTACTTGGGGCATTGGAGAGGCCAAAGGGCATAACAAGCCACTCAAACAATCCTTCACGCGTCTTGAAAGCGGTTTTCCATTCATCGCCAGGTCGAATGTGGATTTGATGGTAGCCGCTTTTAAGATCCAACTTGGTGAAAATCGTAGATGATCCAATCTGATCAAGGAGGTCGTCGAGTCGTGGAATGGGAAAACGATATCTCACCGTAATCTTGTTGATAGCCCGGCTACCGACACACATACGCCATGTGCCGTCCTTTTTGGGGATGAGAAGAGCGGGCACCGCACAAGGGCTAAGGCTCTCATGTAAATAACCTTTAGCCAAGAGTTCCTCGACTTGACGACGAAGCTCATTGTGTTCTTGAGGAGACATGCGATAGTGAGGTCAGTTAGGAAGTGACGCATTGGCAGCAAGATCAATGCAATGTTGAATATCACGAAGTGGAGGAAGACCCGGTGGGAGTTCGTTGGGAAAAACGTCTTGAAACTCGGACACAATTGCTTCAAAGGCCGGTGGGATAGCGGTGGCAGAAATCGGAGAAGTCGGTTTGAGGATGAGGGCCATGCCGTGTTCGGAGTTCTCAAACTCATCAATGAAAGCAGCGCGATTCACGAACAACACTGGTTTGGGGAGAGGTGGTTTCTCCGGTTGGATCGTAATGTGCGAGTCAGCGGTGGTAGGAGGAGATGATTCTTGAGACGGCAATAGAGTAATTCGCTTATCCTCAAAGCTAAAGCAATACGTGTTGGAGAACCCATCATGAATCGTTCGACGATCATATTGCTAAGGACGGCCCAAAAGAATGTGACAAGCGTCTATGGGAATGACATCGCAGCAAACGAGGTCATTGTAGTTTGATCCGATAGAGAAAGGAACTCGGCAACGTCGAGAGATTCGCAAGTCCGTTGTTCTATTCAGCCAAGCAAGACGATAAGAAGTAGGGTGAGGCTCGGTGAACATCGCGAGCTTAGTAGCTGCCTCTTCAGAAATAATATTCGTGCAGCTGCCCGAGTCAATAAGTAGACGACAAACTTTGCCTCGAATGGTGCATGTGGTGCGAAAAATATTAGTCCATAACCATGACTCATCAATACCTTGAGGAGCAAGGAAGTTACGCTGAATGACCAAAACATTACCCACATCACCGGAAACAAGTTCCTCTGTTTCTAATGGTGGAGGTGGCGTGATTTCCTCATCATAGACGACGTCATCATCACCAAATAAAACTCGTTTGGGGCACGAAGACTGACGGTGACCTGTTTCACCACAATTAAAACATTTAAATGTGAGTGTACGAGTAGGTCGTTGTTGTGTGTTACCGCTGTCGATGGGAGGAGGTAAAGGTAAAGACTCTCCACGTGAAGCAATCGAGGAATCGGTAGGAGCGGTAGTTCGTAGGCGAGAAGACGAAGACCACGCAGAAGATGAACCACACAAGTTTTGTTCGATAAGGATAGCTCGTTGGTGGGCTTCCGAGATCGATGTTGGATTGAACTGTAGGAGCTGGTGCTGTATCTGGTTCTTAAGGCCTCCGATGAAACGAGAGATTGATTGGTCCGTAGTTTCAAGTAAACTGTTTCGAGCCAAGAGAGTAAAAAATTCTGCAGCATACTCATCCACACTCTTGCTACCTTGGCGTAGGTTTTGAAACTGAGTATAGATTGTGCGCGCGTAGTTGTAAGGCAGGAAGGCTCGATTCATGTGCTTCTTGAGTTTCTCGCATGAGTTAATACGATTCTTCCCTGAGTTAGCGCGTTGGACCTTGAGCTGTTGCCACCAAGCTGAAGCTCTGCCCTTAAAACGCGTTGCGACAAGAGAGACACGCATATCATCGGGCACGCTCTTAAAGGTTAAGAGTTCTTCGGTGGTGTTGACCCAATCGAGAAACTCGTCCACTTGTAAGCTGCCGGAGAATTCAGGGAGCTCAAGTCTGAAACCAGACTCCCAACGATGATTGTCCCCTCGAGGGCCATCACCATACGCAACTTGCTGTCGTTGACGGTGTTGATCGTCGACGGCAAACGGGTTTCCTTCTTCGTCGTCAGAATCGTCTTCAACCTCTGGAGCGTTTCGACGGGCCGGACGTGGTTGGAGAGCAGTTTCCATAGAGCTAGTCAGGGTGTGACGGAGCTCTTCTTGGAATTCGGACATGACCTCGCGGAGATTATGGATGTGCTCGGCACGTTGTTGTTGAGGTTTTTTTTCGGCGGCATGGGAACGTTGCTGTCTCTGATACCAACTGTTGTAGCAGCTAGAAGTGTTAAAGACAAGTAATTTAGAGTTCGCAAACCCTAAGATTAATTGACAAGATCCTTGAAAGAACAAGAGTTCGAACAAGAGATATGAGAAGAGATTCTCTTTATTAATAATTCAAAAGCTGCGTAATACAATAGTTTATGAAAGTACTTACAGTAAAAAAAAACCCTAGACGAATCTTAGAGATTAAGTAATCTCTTAGCTGACTATAATATCAAGACAAAACAAAGCCCAAAAGAAATCATAATAGAGAAAGCCTTAAAAAGAAAAGGAAACGATGATAACGATGGATGTTGCTACATCACCAAGTTTATGGATGATATTGATCAATTTACACTCTATCATCTTATTATAGCTGCTAATCATCTAAACATTAAAAATCTTCTTGATCTTGCTTGTCAGACTGTCGCTGATATGATCAAAGGTAAATCTCCAAAAGAGATTCGCACATTGTTTAACATAGAAAGCGATTTCGCACACCCGAAGAAGAAGCAAAAGATACGCCAAGAAAACCCATGGGCTTTTGATCTATAGATCATCATCATTTTGGATGATTTTTTTTTTTCATAATTATACATTTTTGTCCTCAATGCTTCTACAAAAAAGATTATCATAAGAAGTAAGTTTTTTGTTGTTTATACTTGTTCTATTTAAATTTTAAACATCCATTTTTGATAAGAGTTAACATATTTGTCAAAACGTAACCAAATCTATAAAACAATATGTTAACCATAACAAAAGTAGCTTAATAACTTGAAATAAATTACTTACATATTGGTTAATTACTTGTGCTTCAAACAAGAAATATTTTTTCTTGTTTGACCAAACTTACAGGGAAAAAAAAAGAGAGAAAAACATAGAACCAAAGCAGAGGAAGCCAAAAACAAACACGATGATTGTGTTGCTGTGTTTACATCGTCACTCAACTTGAAGCATATTCTTCTTCTTAAAATGTCTCTTTTTCGTCTTGGTTTTCACTTCTTCTCTTTTCTTCGTATATAATATTGTCTTTTTAACTTACAAAAGTGCCTCATAAGTTGAAAGTATATTTTCCTGTAAAGTGAAAGTCAAAAATTTAACGTACAACTGACTCCTTGAGAAGTCATGACTAACTAATTTTTTTATTGAATATCTCGATACATGTTTGTACTATAGAGGGCGTAATACAACATATGGATTGGGTAAGACCGTAAGAATTCCAAATTTAACTTTATATATGATTATAATTACAGAAACGAGTTATACTAGTTTTACAAGTTTAGATTGTACTAGTTATGCTAATTATGTTATGTGGTTATTCTTGTTATAATAATTGTACTTAATTATATTTGTTGTACACTTTACTTATACTAGTTATGTTAATTATACACTTTTAATCGTAGTATGTTCAAGAGTAATAGCATCAGTTTTTCCACAATTGAAAGAAAAGTTCACTTACAAAAGAAAGTTCAGATGGATGTGGATGAAAACGATAAAAGAAGAGATTAGTGAGGAAGAAGGAGACGGTCGGAAGGAGGAAGATGAGATGGGCGGAAGAGATGGAAAGAAACTGGAAGGAAGCCATGAAACCAATATTTTAATTAAATAGAAAAGGTATTTCATTATACTAAAAACTATAATTATTCTAATTTTGTATCCAAAACGACCAAACTCGCAAGAACCGAATCCTAACTCCAATAAAAAACCAAAAATATTCATACCGATCCGAAATAGATAGGAACCTTTTTCTTCAAAACATGAATTATGTGAAAGCCTCTTGAATTATTCCATAGTCCAGACCAACCCAATGCCAAAGCCTATTATCGAGGTTCGAAAGAGTCAAAGAGATTCTTCTCAGACAAAGGACACATCATCCTACCCCTCGACCAATAACAATGTATTTGGACCATTGGCCATAGTGGTTTATTATATGTCAAGAGTATGTGTTCTATCATCTATATTTGGTTTCTTGTGGGACTTAAGAAGACATAACTAAATGTTTTAATGCACATTTTGATACATGTTTGTATAGAAAACGAAATTCAAACAGATGTAATGGCTAAAAATGTTTTGGAAGATTCGAAGATTATCACATGAGATTGTCGAGTGAGATAACGTGGCATATTTATATTTGTTTATGTATGTATGTAGCTTTTGAAGCTAACAAACAAAGGGCAAACATTTTCAAGTCAAGATCAACGGCTATTATTGTATCTTGCACCATCTTTATTAGATGTGGTTGAGTTTAGGACTTAGGATGTTCTTCTTACACAACCCATGTACGAACCTTTTCTGCTTTTGTTCTCTCTTTCGTCCACATTATCCTCTCTATATATCTTTCATCTCCATTTTCAAATTAGTCATTCATGTACTATGATCTAGTGGTCATACATGGGCTGGCATATATTATTACCTTTACTGTTGATACATAATTTTAATTGTTTCAGTTATAGAAATTTAGTGGTCATGCTACTGTTGATATATAATGATAATAATTGATCGGTAGAACGTTTATAATATACTCAACTGTATTTTCTTTATACCAATGACAAAAATGAAGAAGACACCTCATAGTACATTATGTGAGAAAAGTAAAAGAGTCCATTTTTTTTTGTGCACAAACTGATTTCATTAATTAAAAGACCACGTTACACCAGATCGAGGGAATTAGACATCCTCCAAAATAAGAACAACAATGCATAAAAGCAAATAACATTAAAGCATAAGAGCATTCAAGATAAATTGACAGCAAAATGGAGACCAAGCTCACTTGCGTCAAGAGGACCATCACGGCATCACCAAAAAGTAAAAGAGTCCATGTTACATAAAAACGTTGCTAGACACCTAATACTCTCTCTGTCTCATATTATAAACAGTTTTGGAATAATCTACAATTATCTGGATGTATCTGGATGTATTTTGAGTCCAGTTACATCCAGATAATTGTAGATACATTATTCTAAAACTGCTTATAATATGTGAATGGGATAAAGGGAGTACTATTATTCGATAACTACTCAGTAAAATAAGAAGTCAATTACAGATGGTAATTAGTAGTTCAAAAAGTGTTGAATAAATCCAAGCACCGGCCATTCTCAGAGTCGGCCAAAAGCGAAATCAAGGCGCGCACCGTCAGCATCGCGAAGCAGAGGAACAAACCACTCGAAACTTGTGTGCGTGTGAGTCGCACGTGCCGCAAGTGTCGGTGGCTGCACGTTCGATAATCTGACTTTGACGACCCGAGAGACAGGATAAAAGGTGTCAAAAAAGCTATATTCTGGTTTTTGTATAATACTAGCCCTTAAATCGAAATCTTCTTTGCAATGTACGTACAATGTTTTGTTTTCTTTTTTTTAGATTCTTTTAGTGGTCTTTAACACATCACGTTTTCTTTGAACACTATTTTATCGTTTGTAATTGTGCATTATTATTTATTACATTGTAAATTTAATAAGTTAGATAATGGCCGGTGAAAAGTCCTCTTCCACTCAAACAAATCACTGGACGAGGACGACACACTCTCTTTGTTAACAATATAAGCTTTCTTTCTACATCAAACTGAGTTTATCGCGTATGTGTTAGTTAGTATAAACTATGTACGTCATTAACACATTGAATATTTTTTGTTTGTTAAAGCTTTTGCACAATTTTTTTTGTTTGTTAAAGCTTTTGACAAAAGCTTTTCTATTATGTTGCTAGTTTAGTAATTTGGACATCCAATAGTTCTTACAAAACACTTCACAATAGTAAATGCTGCCAAGACGCAATTTATCTATGATGTCCATTGTCCTAGCAGTAGACACATGGAGGCTATCATAGACATCCTTATTGCAGAATCTGGGCACATGTTCCTAATAAAAATGACATGGTATGAGGTTTTGGATGAATAGCTTCTTCTCGAAGCAGTTATTGGTGTTACTTACACTGTCTCTAAAAGCATGTTTATTGGTGTTACATACACTGTCTCTTAGCCTTTTTGGCTATTTAAATTAAATCATAAATGTCCTATTAATCATAAAACGTCTCTTATATTAGAGAGTCTTGAAATTAATAAGGGACGTTTGTTGTTGACAGGTGGCGATGCGTGATTGGACCGAGTGAGTTGGAGTCATTTTTTTTTTTCCCTTTTCCTCATTTTTCTCTTTTCACCTCTCTCTTTCCTCTGCGTCTGTGAAGCGATTCGGCGGAGACAATGGACAATGAAGACGAGATCTGGTGCTGTACTCGGAGACAATGGAGAGAAGAGGAAAGCTCCCGATGGAGACGAAAATGGCAGAGTGAAGAGAAGACTGGTGCAGAGAAACGAGCAAAAGAGCGAGAGACGGAAATGGTCGAGGGAAGAGAAAACTGGTTCAGAGCAACGAACAGGGGAAGGGGAAGATCCTCAGGGGAATCCGTCGCTGTGTATCTCCTCGGTGCTCTGCTTATACTTACCGCTCCAGATTCTCGTGGTATTTTCTTCCTCTCTAGACTAAACGCAGTTTCTGTCTGATGAACGAAATTGATCTGGTCACGAATTGTTTGCTATGCGATCTAGGATTTAGAACTCGATCAATCATCTCCGTTTTTCTTTGGTTCTCTCTCTCCGTTTTTAGTCTTTTTTTTTAGCTTGTCATATCATTGAATAGCGGTTTGCAATTCTGTGTAGTGTGCTTATTTTGATTGGTCGGATCTTGAGAGTCTTTTTGATTGTCAAGCCATAGGGAGTACTTCATTTGCTGATCAGTCTCGTTTTCTCCTCTGTAATTACAGATTGGAGCGTATCGGTGCCTTTACTCTCGACTCTGGAATGTCACTACTCACTGAGAGTTTCAATGGCAACTGAAAGTTCCAAGGGAAAGGAGCATAGAAAAGATGCTGGAATCCAGTGGTTCATGTATCATAACAGACATCAAAAGCGGTATTTGGATTGCAGGTAAGCAAGATTTTCTTCTTATTCATTCACATATCTTCTGGAAAGAAAATGATGTTGAAATGTTGTGATTAGTCTCTGCAGTTACTAAATTGAAACTGAGAGTGGTTTCTGTTTACTGTGTAGGTACAATGCAAACATTGGACGCTAGGCACCTTGAGCTGTTCCTGAACGAAGGATACAAAGATGGAAGCTGGGAATACAATCTAATTGGATCTCATAAGTTACAGAAAGACACAAAAGCAGCTTGTGGAGCCATATTTGATCTCAAAAACCTTAAAGCATCTTCATCCTCAGGTAACTTAAAATTCCATCATACTCTCATGCTCCTTTGACTCTGCCTCACACATTGTAACGAAATGAAACCTTTATAACAGGTATTCTCAACCTCAAGTCATGGAGCGAAGAGCCAGATGATTCCCAACCCAAAGCAGTCATCGTACCTCACGCAGTAGCTGTTCACACAAGATTCCAAGAAAACGAAGGTATATATATTTGTCCATTTCACTTTGGATTCTTTATATAGAAACAGAGAAAGGAAACCCTTTAGGAATAAGTAATTGTTTTACATAACTGAAAATTGCAGGAATCCTTGTGAAGTATCACGCGATGAAACCAGGAACCGATGGTGACAATGTTTCCATCAGAATCTCCTATCAGCTGCGTTTCAGAGATAAGTGTCTCACCCTCTACCATTATAGTTTTTTTACTGCTTTTGCTTGTTTTTTTTTGAGTTAAGTTAAACTATTTGAGCTGGTTTATGGTAGAGTATGATTATCGAGAGTTTATTCATATGAGCTGGTTTAGGATATATTATTTGTTTAGGATTGCTAGTGTTAGAATATAGTTCTCGAAAAACTTAACGAATATGACTTCATTTCAGGTACAAATCAAGGTGGGGTAGATTAAATATCAGAAGATCTCCCATTTAGAGTAACCAAAGTCGCATAAAAGGTACTTCATACTCTATCTCTCGGTTTTAGTTACTTGATGTTCTCACTTTATGATTATGAATGAGATAATAAATGCTTCTTAGACTAGGTTTATGGTTGAGGTTTGCTTTTCTTGAGTTACTGCAACTAATAGATTAGGACACGGTTTAGGTAATAAATGAGGTGATGTGGTAGATAATTGTCAATGTGAGGTGGTAGATAATTGTCAAGTCTTTGTGTTCAATGCTTGTTCTTATTAATTATTGCTTCGATGCGGAATCTTTCAAATCTTTGTGTTTCCTCTTCTCTTTCTTAACTTTTGAAAAAAACAATTCCTCTTCTCGTTGCTTTGTTTTCTCTGTTCTGCGTTACTTGAAAATGGATTCCACGAATCCTTCTCAAAATTCCAATTTCATGGGCCTTTTGACTAGTCAACATGATCCTCTCCTTTCTGATAGTAACGCGTATTATCCCCAAGCCGTTGAACTTGGTTCATCACAAGTCCCTCTCTATTTTTCTGAATCTCCTCAAGATGTTTTGGTCAGTGACCCCATCCCTGAACAGCGTAAAGAGAGGAAGAGGTGGACTCCAGAAGATGACAAACTGCTCATAAGCGCTTGGTTGAATACAAGCAAAGATCCTATCACCGCGAATGAGCAGCGAATGGGCACCTTCTGGGAACGAATTTCCAACTACATTGCTCTCCATTGTAAGGCTTCTGGTTTGGGTACGAGAGAACCAACTCACTGCAAGCAAAACTGGCATAAGCTCCACAGTGAAGTCAATAAGTTCTGTGGATCATATGAGGCTGCAACAAGAGGGAAATCAAGTGGTCAGAGTGAAGATGATGTCCTTAAAGTGGCTCACGAGCTCTTCTTCAGCGACTACAAGAGCAAATTCAATCTAGACCACGCATGGAGGCTTCTGCGCTATGACCAGAAATGGTTAACGCTTTGCTCAACAAAAACTGATGGACCGAGTAAAAGAAGAAAGTGTGATGATCGTTCCCAACCAGAAGCTTCTCACAGCTTCACCAATGCTGAAGAACAAGCCACACAACGCCCAGGCGGAGTCAAGGCAGCAAAAAACAGAAGGAAAAAGAAAGCAGAAGAAGGCAATGGTGTGGTGGACTTTGAAAAGCTTGAAAGCGCTTTCGTTATGAGAGAGAGATCCTCGAAGATGGCTATGCTAGAGAGTCTCCTTGCAAAGAAAGAAACTCTTTCTGAGATTGACGAAACCATAAAGCAGAAGCTTGCTTCAGAATTGTTTATGTGATTAAGTTTCATGTGATGAACTATGTTTCCATGTTTTTTTGTTTGTTTCATGTTTAATGCGGCTACATGAGAGTTATGATTTCATGTTAAACTTGTTTAAAAGTCTTACGTAAACTTTGTCTTCGTTTTTAATGTTATATTTAAGTGTGTTGTCTTTGTTTTAAGTCTTATGTAATGAGAGTATTCCTCTACTTGATTAATGAGATGAAGTTTGTTTAATAAGAGTGTTCTCTTTATGTTAACTAAACAAATTTTTGTTTTTTGAGATAAAGTTTTTGAGGTGTTTGTTCTTAAAATGGTGATTACAGGAGAATCCTCGTTTGATTCTAGCGGTTCACGTTTCATATTTCCAATGCTTATAGTTACATCTCGGTTGATGGCTTATGCTTTCTGATCATTGAGCCAATTGTTTTCTGATCATTGAGCCTTTTTTATCCTCTTTACATGTTGCAAACCTTTCTGTTTGAGATTTTGCTAACCTTTTTGTCTCTTTTCAGGTTTTGTTTAGGCCATGACGTGTCTTTGATGTCGGCACAAGAGGATCCACAAGTTGCAAAGACGAGTCACGGTGACCACATGTGTGTGTTCGGTCCAAAAGAGGAGTCACGGATGTTGTCCACATGTGAGACGAGTCACGGATGTTGTCCACATGTGAGAGGAGTCACAATTTGTTGTCCACAAGTTCCTCTCTCTCTCTCTCAATTGTATATATAGGCTTTGTTGTTCGTTCAATTGTTTACAAGAATCACACTTTGTTTCTTTCCTTCATCTTTTATAAAATCTTAAGTGAGAGCACAATTTTTCTTACCATTTCCTTGATTTCTTGGTCAATTGAAGCTTTTATTCGTCAAAGATTTTTTTCTTCAATCAAACTTTACACAATTTTCAAACTTCTAAACACAAAATGGGATCTTCATCACGTGATCCTTTTGCCGATGCAATAGATCAAAATTTCAACCAAATGATTGATCAATATCTCGATCAATCTTTTGCGGAATTGTTAAGTAGTTATGAAGATCAGCAAAAGCCAAAGAAGACAAGAAAAAGACGGGATTTTATTGAAAGAAATTGTGAGCAAGGCCAAGACGAACTATGGAATGATTACTTCAGTGAGACTCCCACATACCCTCCTGCTTTATTTCGACGACGTTTTCGAATGAATAAACCATTATTCTTGAGGATTGTTACTGATCTCACCGCTAGATTCGAGTACTTTTCACAGACGGATGATGCAACAGGAAGACCCGGTTTCACCACCTTACAAAAGTGTGCTGAAGCAATTCGGCTTTTGGCATATGGCTATGCGGCTGACGCGATTGACGAATATCTCCGGATGGCTGCACCTACTGCTCATCAAGCTTTGCTGGAGTTCGTCGAAGGAATAATAGCTCTTTACGGCGAAAAGTACTTAAGAAGACCCGATGCAGAAGATCTTCAACGACTACTTCAGGAGGGAGAACAATGTGGATTTCCCGGGATGATAGGAAGCATCGACTGTATGCACTGGGAGTGGAAGAATTTTCCTACCGCTTGGAAAGGCCAATATTCACGTGGTTCAGGAAAACCGACAATTGTCTTGGAGGCGGTAGCTTCGTATGATCTCTGGATATGGCACGCGTTTTTTGGACCTCCACGTACCTTAAACGATCTTAACGTTCTTGATCGGTCACCTGTTTTTGATGATATAATTAATGGGGTAGCTGCGCAAGTACACTTCTCTGTCAACGGGCACGAGTATGGTTTGGCTTATTATCTTACAGATGGTATATACCCGAGCTGGCTAACTTTTATCCAATCTATTAAACTTCCAAAGGGGCGGAAAGCGAAACGCTTTGCTAAACGTCAAGAAGGTGTTCGAAAAGATGTCGAGCGTGCTTTTGGAGTCTTGCAAGCTCGGTTTGCTATGGTTAAAAATCCTGCTCTTTTTTGGGAAAAAGACAAAGTTGCAAAAATTATTAGAGTTTGTATTATTCTACACAACATGATAGTAGAAGACGAACGAGACACTTACCGTAATCATGATTATTTAGCGGAATTCCAACAAGGAGAGGGAAGTGCACGTGTGGATTGACGGGTTCGCAGAAGGCGTACAAATCTTCAAGAAATTATAAATGCTCGAGCTAGAGTTCGTGATAGGAAAGTGCAGCAACAACTGAAAAAGGATTTGGTTGAACATATATGGCAGAGGCATCTTAATGGTCAAGATGTCGATGATAACGACGACGCTGAAAGTGGGGATGAAGTTTACGATGAAGATGAAATTGCCGATGAAGATGACATTTAAAATTTTCTTTTATGTTTATGGTTTCAAAAATTATGTTTAAATTGTTTGTATGTGAAATTATGCTTTATTTTCATTCAATAAAAAATATGTAATGTTTTATATATAAATAAATTACATTCTAAAAAAAAAAAAAAAAAAAATAAGAACCCACTTAAGAGACTTTACCAATAATTGATACGAAAATGTAAGTCTCTTAAAAACGTCTCTTAACTAAAATATATTGTTATTATAATTGTAAGAGACATTGGTGAATAACACCAAAAACATGCTCTTACTGTAATGTTTTATATATAAATAAATTACATTCTAAAAAAAAAAAAAAAAAAAAAAATTAAGAATCCACTTAAGAGACTTTACCAATAATTGATATGAAAATGTAAGTCTCTTAAAAACGTCTCTTAACTAAAATATATTATTATTATAATTGTAAGAGACATTGGTGAGTAACACCAATAAACATGCTCTTACTGAATTGACTCTACCGAATTGACTCTAAAAATAAGTTCGACACATGTTGTTACACGGTTTGTCAGTTTTTTTTTCTCTTTCTTTTCTTCCAAAAATCATTTATTTTTTATTACTAAAAAGCCTCCTATGCAGTTCACCAATACAGAACACCCTACAAGTTTTCGTACGGGTTTTTTTCGAATAAGAAAAAGACAAGTATTATTATTTTATTTTTTTGCTAGGAATGTTAATATCATTAAAATGAAAGTAGAAGTATTACATAGAGCTGTTTGAACAAAAAAAAAAGTATTACATAGAGCTGTACCTAAGTTTTAGAGTAATCTTGGCAAAAAAAATATATATATAAAAACAAGAATACAATACAAAAGATCAGTAAAACGGATCAGATACGGATCAGATACGGACGAGATCAGCGGATCCAAAGAACCATAAGGTCGTTGCATCGTTTTAAGTGTCGGCGTGAGGTGATTGTGTTGCGATCTCACGGTCAATATTCTTGAAGAATGAAGATGACCGCTGGTGGGATTGACTCAGCATTGTGGAGCACATTATTCCTTTGTTTCCATAGATGAAAAACAGAAGCTAAAAAAAAAAAAAACAGAAGCTTGAACTGCAATCTTTCTCAGTGTTGATGGAGCTAAATCAGAGTCCACTCTTGTCCATGAAAGCAATTCCGACCACGAGTGCGCATGTGCTGCGAAGGGCTGATCCTAACAAAGATCAGTTTCCATATTTCTGAGGCAAATTCACAGTGAATGAATAAAATGATTGAAAAAGACAAGTATTCATGCGGGTGCATAGTGTATATCTTGAGAAAGCCAACGAACACATAAACCCAGGTGAGAGGAGGAATGTTTGTATTTATTCCAGACATAGAGGTGTGTATATATTGGTAGAGGCATAAAAAATAGTGAACGATATTGTTTTGTAGTTGTTTCCAACACAAACACTGAAATTGGATTTGCATGAATCGATTTAATAAATTGGTATATCTCCACAGACCAAAGAAAGCGAGGATGTATCAAATTAGCCTTGAAACGAGTTTTGACAACACAAATCTCCATATGAAATAAGACCCAAAAAAAAAAAAACAAATCTTCATATGAAAGGAAACTCGATTTTTTTGTTTAACTCGATTTTGGTTAATCGTATGATACGATTATGACCAAAATTTTCATTGTAATTAAGCCTTGTTTAAGAAAACAAAACTTCAATTATAATTAGTTTGCTGCTAACAATTTAGTTCAAAAGGTAATTAAAAGGGTTTTGTGCAAAAAAACCTTCGAATTAATTTTTTTTTGCAAATTAAACCCTCAACTAAAAGATGTGCAAGTTAATCCTACAAACTCAAAAGTCATCCGCTATATAACCCTTCCGTTATATCAGTGACGGAATATCAAAACACAGAGTTTTATTACAAAAACATCATGCCATTTTAAAATTAATAAAAAAAATATTTAGAAAAAAATAGAAAACAAAATGAAGAAAAACACCATTATCTCCTTGTTCTTCGTCCTCTTCTCCTCTTACTTTTTTCTGCAATTGTCTGAGGTAGAATTTTATGATCTAGAAAAGTTAACAACCATAATTAAATTCATTAAGTCTAGGCCATCATCATTATCTTCTTCATTTCTTTTGATCAACTTTGATTCAATTAGAATCTCAGATCTGATTTTTTTTTTGTGGTAAAAACCATAAAATATTTGATTTCAGTTTTGAAGATATGTATTGAGCAAATCATTGCTTCTATCTTCATAGACATTGTGATGCTTTCTTTCCCATCTCTCTCTCCAATGGCTCTTCTCCGCCGTAAGAACCCATCCTCTTCCGATCTATGTTTCTCCCTATTAGAGAATAACCAGCAAACGAATGTGATCTATTTTAAGTTTTTCGGATACATTGACTTCAAACAGATTGTCAATGAGATATGATATTGATGACAATGGCTTCTTCCTTGCCCAAATCTGGGTTCTGTTTCAATTTTACTTTTTCTCTTATAAAATTCGGCTAGTTAATTTGAAAGATTTTTTCTTTTAAACATGTAAATCGGGTTGTAATCAGTACAGTTTTCCCAGAAATTTTTGATTGAAAGTCTAATTTTATATTTTTGCAAAATTAATTTAAGTTAATGTTTTCATTTAAGTTAATTTAACTTTTAGATTGAAACATGCAGCGTTCTATTAAATTAATGAAGAACGTAATTGGAAGAGAAGGGGAAAAACTGTGTGTTGTTTTCTGTTTTTTGGGCAAATTTGTGTGTAGTTTGTAAAGTGAGAAAACTGTATGTTTTTAATTTTCTGTTTGTTTTTTAACAGACAATAACGTTGCCATGTAGGCAATATAGAGAAGAGTTATATAGTGGGTGACTTTAGAGTTCATAGGATTGACTTGCACATCTTTTAGTTGAGGGTTTGATTTGCAAAAATAATTTAGTTTGATGGTTTTTTTGCACAAAACCCTAATTAAAACACTTTCGGTTTACGTGCATTTTTTATATAATCAGATGACTCGCCGTCGAACACGGAGGACACGTGTTGATAGGATAAGAACAAATGGTTGTGACATGTGAAGACCAATGCAATGGTTCACGAGTCAATGATTGGATCCATCTTGAATTTTTCACTAATTAACTATCATTAGCGACCACACGTGGACGACAGCATGAACACATCTTGTTAATGGTTTATCTGCACCTCGTCGTACAGTAACATATCCCAAACTCGTCATACGTTTTGTTTATTGTATTCAAGATATACATGTACACGAAACTATGGTCTATAAGCGTATTGAAGCCACTAGGTGCTTTAATGCTTTGGTAGCTGCCCTTTCCATTTCTGTTCTTAATCTCAATAAATTATTTTGGGAGATTTTAATTAGTTTTTCAACGTCGAAAACTCATCATTAACTTGGTTGATTACATGTTTTTAACGAATTCATGGTTGTTCCGGCAGTTTATTTCTTAAATAGGAACATAGATTATTGCAACATTAAAAAAAGTCTAACCGGAAGCTGTGTGAAATGAATAGAGGAAAAAAAATCTCGTAGTAACATTTTCGACAATTTATACCCAAATTAAAGATTAATCCAATTTTTTCTATACATTTATCATTCATGCCTATCACATCGTTGTTGATTGTTTTATAAATTTTTTACCAAGTACTCATCCCTTTAAATGTAAGTGTCTTTTAAGGTTGTTATAGACAAATTAAAAATAATATATATATTAAGGTTTCTGAAAATACCTTTAACTAATAAAAGATACTGCCATTTTCTATTGTTAATACATTAAATTAATAAAGATAAAACTGGAAATTTAGCTTTAATTATGTATATAAAATGTATAACTCTAAAATAGACTCTCTCCATTTCTTAACATTTGATGTTTTAGAGTTTACATAGATTAAAGATTAAGAAACAATAAATGTTTGACTATTAGTGTATTACTTTTTCACTTTAAATAACTTTTAACCAATACAAATTATATAGTGATCTTGAAGTTTACATTTTTGTGTCATTAATGAACAAAGACTACATTTAATATTCTAAAACATCAAATAATAAGAAACAAGTAAAAAAACTAAAACATCAAATATTAAAGAACGGAAAGAGTAACAAAAAAAATGAAAACAACAGTTAAGATTTGTCAAACAAACATTAATCGAACCTCTTTGGATTTGTCAAACTAATAATTGAATTACAGTAAAACCTCTAAAAAGTAATTAATAATGTTAGGACTTTGAAAATTTATTATCTTTTAGAGATATTACTTTATAAATAAATAAAATATTTCTTACTTTATAACTTTTTTAAAATCATAATCTTTGAAAATTATTTTCATACGATAATGTATTAAGAATATAGAAGAATTTATTTGTTAATATGACATACATAAACTTGATATTATGATCAAAATTTTTAAAATTGTAATAAAATATATATATATATATATTATTAGCTTATTTAAATATTTATATAAATCTGATACATGATAAAAGTTTTTTAAAAAAAGTGTAGAAAATTATAGCTATTAATGAAATTGAAAATAATGTGTTTATAACATATTTAACAATTTTGGATGCATAAATAATTGCATTCTGAGTTTTTTATATAATAAAAAATTAAAGATAAACTTTAAGTCATAGTTTTATAAATTTCTTAGGTATATATATAGTTTAATATAATTATTACTTTAACTCATTATTGAGACCATCTTTTCACATAGGAGTTTCAAAAATATTATTATCTTATAGTATTTTGTTTATTTTTACACTGGCCAAATAGGGATCAGAGAAATATATTACTTTACCGCGATTATTATTTTATCGAATATTATTTTATAGAAGTTTTACAGTAAAACTAATTTAATTTTTTTCTCAGCCACATAATTGGGGGAAAGAATTATAAACAAATTAAGTAAATGGATTATGTTATTAGTGAATAAGGAGGACTTAGATGTCAATTAAATGGATCATAGAATACACTAGAACCTACCACCATAAACAAATGATCCCTTTGTACAATTTACTTGTGCTTAGGGTATATCCACTCGAACCTTTTATCAAAAACAACAAAAAATGATAGATAAGATAATTGTCATCCAATGAATTTGCACACAAAAAATGTCATCCAATGAAAAGGCCAAAGACAAAACAAATATATTCCGACAACAAAATAAATAATATATATATATATACACACAAGTAAATGTATATGTATGTGTGACATATATAAGTCACAGGCAGAAGAGAGATCAATTAGCTGGCCACTCTTTATTATTCTTTTATTTTTCTTCTAAATAATTAATATTACCATTTTTTTCCCCAACTGGTTCTCTGAAACTAGAAGAAACTCGAACAGAGAATCCGGATGCTTTTCTGAGATTCCACTCTTTCCTAATATACTCGTTTTCCCAACCGATTTTCTCGGGAAAACCAAAAAAAAAATCCATTTTTTCTTCGCTTTCGATTGTCTTCCAGACAGAGGAGATCTGAAGTCAATTCAGATTCTTCAAAATTTTTTGCTCAAAGAAGAGAAGAAGAAGAGTTTTTTTGGGTTCTGTGGATCAGAAAGGTCTCTGCTTTGATCTTTGTGGTACACGTGGCGAAATGGGTTTGGAGTCGTGTTGATGATCTCCAAGTCACAGATTTCGTGTAACATTCTTCTTCCTGTCTCCAATGTCTTTGTCTTGGTTCTGATACTAATCTCTCTTAAGAGATCTTCAGATCCGTTGCTCTGTTTTGCTTTTGTTTGCCTCCAACGAAATTGTGTAGAAGAGACGAATAGTTTTTTTAAAAAATGATGAAGATGATGAGAAACAAACCAACGAATCTTCCAACGGCGGCAACTAACGGCGGCAGAGTCTCCGGTGGCGGCGGCGGCAGGGAGTCAGGCGGTCATGACTGGGAAATGAGACCCGGTGGAATGTTGGTTCAGAAACGTAACCCGGATTCGGATCCTGTCGGAGCTCCACCGCCGCCGATGATCAGAGTCAGGATCAAGTACGGTTCTGTCTACCATGAGATCAATATTAGTCCTCAAGCTTCATTTGGTCAGTCCCCTTCTTTCTTAATGACATTTTTACCCTTTCCTTCTCAAATTCAAGAATTTCTTGATGCAGGGGAGCTGAAGAAGATGTTGAGTGGACCAACAGGAATACACCATCAAGATCAGAAGCTAATGTACAAAGACAAAGAGAGAGACTCAAAAGCATTTCTTGACGTTTCTGGAGTGAAAGATAAAGCGAAGATGGTGCTTATAGAAGACCCGATTAGCCAAGAGAAACGTTTTATAGAGATGAGGAAGATCGCGAAAACCGAAAAGGCCGCGAAAGCGATCTCCGATATTAGCCTCGAAGTTGATAGGCTCGGCGGACGTGTAATCGCCAAGCACCCTCTTCCAAAGATTGTGCTCTATATAGTTTTGGTTCTTGTAAATGATATGTATTTTGTTGGATGTAGGTTTCGGCGTTTGAGATGATTACCAAGAAAGGAGGGAAGATTGCGGAGAAAGATCTTGTTACGGTGATTGAATTGTTGATGAATGAGTTGATAAAGTTGGATGGGATTGTGGCTGAAGGAGATGTCAAGTTACAACGAAAGATGCAGGTTTGTAAAAAATCAAGAACTCGGCGATTTCTTGATATTTTCTTGAGGTTTGATTTTGAGTTGTGAAACATTTTGGTTTCGTGTTAGGTGAAGAGAGTGCAGAATTATGTGGAAACGCTCGATGCTTTGAAGGTGAAGAACTCAAAGACTAGTGGTCAGAGACTTGAAACGATTCAAGAACAGAAACAAGAAGAGAAACCGTTACAATCGCTCATGGACATGCCCATGAATAGCTCACAGAAGAAGCAAGAGATTGAAGAGGAACCGAGGAGTTCAGGGTCAGGAACTTTTGAGATAGATTCCTCTACTCAATGGGAAACATTTGATCATCATCCCTTGGCTCCATTGAGCTCGAATACTGCAAATAATCACGCGATCCCGCCCAGGTTCAACTGGGAATTCTTTGATTGAAAAAAGACTCATATTTTTGTTAAAACCTTTTTTTTTTCTTTTCATTTCTCTTTGTATGCTTAATTCTTGTGTGGAGGTGTTTTTTCAGGCTTCTTCTTCTTCTTTATCATCATGATTCTTTTGATGTACTTAGATTTTTGTTGGCGTTGTTTTTTTTCGTTCTGGTTAATAAACGGAGACGCTACTACTTTTTCATTACTTGTGTTGCAAGGGACTGAAACCTTCTTGGGGAAAGAGAGGGTCTTGTTTCTCTCTCTGTCGGTTGTTTTTTTTTTATCAAGTTTGAAAGATTCATAAAGTAGACAATGAGTGAGAGTCTCTTCTTCTTCTAAGTCCTATTATCATTTCAGGCTGAAAGAAAAGTGAAAAACCTTCTTCTTCTTCTCATCTTTTGTCAATAAGGACAACTTTTACTTTTCTTTTTGAGCCAGGCAAAAGCATATATATCAAATGTGGGCCACTTTTGTTTTCACAAAAAAATGAGGAGACAAAAGAATTGAATCATAGAATTTCACAAAGAGCCAAATATTAGAAGCAGATGAGAGTGAGTATAACTAACCCGGTCTAGTGCTTAAACCACTCTGGACCATGGTTTGGTTTGGACATTGCAGCACTGATTTGCAAAATGTGGTGTCCTTTCAATTCAGCTAGTAATTTGGTAGTTTTGTTTAAGATAAAATCAGTTTAGTTTGTCCGGATTAATTTAGGGTTTTCTTCTACTTTTTCTTCTATTTTAGGGTTTGAGTCACCTCTTATAAAAGTAATGATAATTGAGGAGTGAACAGACTTGTGCACAAGCTGTATGTATCACAGTATCGTATCTACCCAAAACTCGATTAATAATTAAGTTTTAGATGAAGTCAATTGTATCTCGCCATCAAATTCTATATAACCGTTTACCAAAAAAATAATCTATTATATGATAATTAGGGAAAATAATCATGAAATATAGTTGACAATTTGACATAAAGTACACATATTCACAATCGTGATTAAACTAATAACAGCGACGCATATATACCGACAATCATATCCAAATCATGATTCTCTTCATGCAAGTTAATCATATTATACTTAATCACAATGATTATGATACATGTCAAGTAATAGATGTGAAAAGATGGAAAAAATAAGAGATTAAGAATCTCATAGTAATTCATTCGTGACTAGTTCTCAAAAAAAAAAAAAAAAAAAAAAAAAAAAAAAAAAATCATTCGTGACTAAAAACAATATTTACAAAGTGTGTCATTCTACCTTTTTCGTACATATTAATTCACACATATTAAGAAAATTTATAAAAAAAATATATTTTACCCCTTTATTAATCCACTAAACAATATTCTTTTTCTAATTAATACACTAATACAATAATATTTTTTTTATTAGTAAAACTGCATTGGAAATCTAAGTGACACTTTTTGTTAAACAAAAACAAAACTCTAAAATGACACCTTTTATGAAACAGAAAAAATATATTTTTACAATAATCAAATCATATATACGGTTGTGGTCGGAAAAATCATTATAACATTGGAAAACAGGAACTCAAATTATTTTACGAAGAATTCATTGGGTACGGTTGAAACTTGAAATAGTAAAATACTCTGATTTTTTTTTTTTTTTTTTTTCCTAAAAACTTGTGTGGGTTTTGATTCATAATCCTCGGTTATATGTTATACAATAATCAAGAGTGACCCAAACTTCATGACATCTAAGCAGAATCGTCATGGGACCAAATTAATAATATTAGAATGGCACGAAACATGATATATTATCATATTTCCCTAAAAAGATTAAATTTCGGTGGTTGTGGTGTCTCCACGAGAGAATCGACCAACTAGAGGATTGTGCTGTGGAGTGTGGACCAAACTCACATAATCATCAAAACGAAAATGTAGACACACTAAAGAAATCGGTAGGAGCTAAAATAAATGGTCGACTGTCGGTAGAAGAGGACAGAACAAGTAGGTAGTTAGAAGCAAATATCAAAGAAGTATCACAATCAATAGTGAAGGCCATTTTTTTGTTATTATTTATTTCAATAACTACATCAGATTTTAGATTAATCTTGATACAATCATCACGTGAATACCGCAGTATCAAAGAGTGTGGCCAATATAAATTGACAAACAAATAGACTTAAAAACCAACCTTTTAACTGATCAACATAGCTGTAACCGGTGTTTAAGGAATTTTGCTCAACATAACTGATATTTTTTATTTTTTATTTTTTTTTTTTTTTCAATTATACAGCAGTGCTGACTAAGAGCATCCCCAGAGGTGATATTTAGCATGGTCTCTATACATTAAAAAATTAAAAACAAATGAAAAAGAAGGAAAGAGAATGTCAGAGAGTGTGATACGTCTCTATGCAACGAGACCGTATCAACAAAAATAAGAAACTATGGTAAGAGGTGTCACTATATTAGTGGTTCGCTTTTTTTATTATTTTAAGTTTAATTATTTTTTAAAAATTATATTGATTTAATATTTAAGAGAGACTGAGACTACGATATAACCGATGGACATGCTCTAACTTCCACAAAAAGACAAAATCTGATTTTTTTTCTTCTCTTTCCCTTCAACACACCACATACCCATTATCTTTTTTTTTGAGAAATTTTAAGAAATACATTTCTTGAGGTGTAAGTTTTCAAAACTACACTTATAGTGTGAAAATTTTCAGAAATACATTTTTTCATAATTATAATATATATGTTTGGGTTCACTAATCCTAGATTAGGGTTTAGATTTTGGGGTTCAATGTTAGATTTTAGGGTTTTGAGTTTATATTTTAGGGTTTTGAGTTCTTTTACTCCATGAAAAAGTGTAGTTTTGAAAATGAATACCATAGATGTGTATTTTTGAAAAATGGGACCTTAGAGCATCTCTAACCCACCCTCATTTCTCCCATCAAAATAAGGGAACACTATTTTTTCCGTCAAATATAGTGTAACTTTTTTCTCCCTTATTTTTTATGTTGATCTTTTTTATTTGCATAATAATCACTCAAATTTCACTTTTTCTTATTTTGAACTTAAAAAAATTATAAAAGATTTTTTTTTCTTGTTTTACTATAATTAATCATGAAGCATTATATTATAAAAGTGACATAATTTATATTATAAAAAGGGATTAAATTTCTATTTTATTCATTACAAAGTAAATAATATAAAAATTAGATTACTAGTAAATAATATATTATATATTATATGTTAAAAGATGTAGTTTAGTTACTTTATATAAGAAAAGTTTAATTTAAATAATATATTAATTTATGGATTCTTTCACAAAGAATAAAATAATTGGGGCTAATTTGTAAAACTTATAAATAAAAGGTTTTTGTAATAAATTTTGATTCAGAATATACGATATAATATTCTTTTTTAGTGTAAAATATAAGAGAATACATTGGAGAGAAACTTCACACTATTATAAGGGAACACTAAAGTAGAGGGTCATTAAGAGGTGAGTGAAATTAAAAGTTAAGACATATATACTACAAGTTAAGAGGTGTAGTTTTGAAATTTCCCCTTTTTTTTTCTTATATGTCATTAAAATACATTTTAAAAAGTATATAATCTCTATGAGTAAAATTACAAGTTACAACATATATACTACTACAAACAATTCTGTATGGATTAATTAAAGTATAAATTTAAATATTAATTGTATAAATTAAACTACATATATGTCTTTAGTACAAATATCAAATAATAAATAGTACTTAAGATATCAAATATCGAACACAAAATGATCCTTAAATTTGAGTAAAACATTATAGACAATAGATAGAATATAACAAAAAATTGGATTTAATAAAATTATTATCTGAACATGTAAGTGTCAAATTAATTACCCATATAATTTTAGCTATAAGTTATTTATTTCCGTAATTTTTATTTATTTAAATTATTTTAACTGGGTATTTATTTCATTTTTTCGTTATGCAAATATTTTGTTATGTACTATAATATTAAACTATATTCAACAGTTATCATTCATACTAGCAACTAATCAGTCAATTTCCTTAAAAAATTATCATTTAATTTTTTCAGATTCTGCATTCAGCCAAATTCAAGACTTACCATTTACACCTTTAGTCAAAACACCACTTCTCCATTTTGCCATATCTCGAAAGATTGAGTAATAAATAAGGATATTCCAAATTTATATATAATACAAAAGGAGATGAATAGAGGCAGAGTTCACAAAGAAGGTTTTTTTAGCAAAAGATTTACCAGGGGCAAGAGAATTCACGATGAATACTTAGTTCCCTCGAGTTCGGGACACATGAATTGAGCCTTCATCGCGAATTTTGAAACAACCCATCCCGGCCGCGCCTGGCCGCAGACGGCCGTTTCACGGTTCAGGCCCTTTCCCAGCCGAACCTCCTGGCTAAACGCCTTTACCGTGCGAAATCCCCTTTTCAAGACCTGATCGCCGGTCTATCAATACGCAGCGGAAATATAATTTCATCCAAGGCTTATCATTCGTTAAACTCAAGCCTTTCTATACTTAGTATAATTTCAACTAAGTTCTTGCCGGTCCGATCGTCTGTCTGCCTCGGACAGTCTATGCGACTTCCGATCAGCTTATAGATCAATCCAGACTCGGTCAAGTCATGCAACCTAGCATTGTTCCTTCCATTCCCCTAGACCGTTCTATCTAGATCTAGACAATCGGTAATTGTTCCATTCCGATCGTGCTCATACCTTAGCCGTTCGCAGATATCGGTCCACCTTTGATTCGCGTCCTGGTTGCCTTCCGGTCTGTCGGTTATCTTAAACTGACCTCATCTCCAGATCGAATCCCATCGATCCGTCCCATGACCAACCAATCCCCGTCTTTACTTAGTCATTCAGCCAACCATCCCCACTGACTTAAGTTTAGATCGAAGAGGTGTCATGCCAATGGATAGACCAGGGTCATCCGCTTAGGACCGACCGTTCGTCTCAGTCCAAATATCCAGATAGTCCGTGATCATCCCATGATCCGCCTATCAACTTCATCCGAGACATGATCTGGTCCGATCATGCTCAACGTTAGGCCGAACATGTGTCAATCCGTAATTTAACACGCTCAGACCCATGTACCTATTAGATGGTTCGTGTCCGACCATCCGTCCTTGTTCGGCCAAGCGCGGCCGCCCAATAGATCACGCCGGTTGGAGACTGATCACACCGTTTCGTGTCTAGTCCCAATCTCCCTCGATCCTAGATTGCATTAGGCCGACTGGTTCTGTCGGCCTCGGCCCCAATCGTGTCGCCGCGGTCTGTCAACCGTTCCGGCCGTCTTGTTCTCTCGACCACTCGGTCTGAACAGACTGTTCCGACCGTCTGGTTTCGTCGACCATTCGGTCCTGATCGTAATAGGCCAGCCGGTTCTTCTCGGTGCTCCGACCACGATCGTGTCACCGCGGTCTATCGACCGTTCCGGCAGATCGTGTCTAGCGACCGCCCGACTAAACCATGATCCCCCGGATCATGTGTGGCCGCGCATGGTCAAGCAACCGCTCGTTAACCGATCACACCGTTTGGTGATCGATCCCGACCGTTTGGTTGTTGGTTCACCTGTCCGACTTCCGTCCGTACGCACTTCCGATCCGTCGGCGCATCGGCTGGATCGCATCGCCGCGGTCCTTAAGCCGTTCTCGGCCGATCGATTCCTCGACCGCCCTGTTGTGACAGTTCGTGTGATCGGTCCATGAACGCTCACACTGGTGGGTCGGTGCGTCGATCAGAATCACGTTTCCGCGGTCTGTAGACCGTTCCGGACGACTGGTTCCGGCGACCACTCGGCCGTAACCTGATTCATCCGACCCCAGGCCGTGGTCTGGCCTTTATCTCTCTCTTTCCAAGTGTGTTTATGCCTTAGGCGTGGTGAGAAGTGAATTGTGTATCCCCCATCCGTTCGGCCCTGGCCTAGTACTTATAAGAACGGACAGACACCATTCATGCCTGTTCGGCCAACCATCCGAACAGATGCATCCCTTGGTCTGTATAACCGCCGACCACTAACCGCCCAACCGTCCATGGTTGATGCGATCATGGATGAGGAGGTTCAGGAAAAGCAGCTTTTGGCCGAGGAAGAAGATGGAATGGAGCAGCTTGAAGCCGAGGAGGGACTTGAAGCCGCGCAACTTGAACCTGATGGAGCTAAACATATGGAGCTGGAACCTGACGGAATTAAAGAGCTTGCAGCTGAGAAGGAGCTTGTTTCCAAGGATTCTGTAGCTGCGCCAATGGAACTGATTACTCATTCTGGAGTTAATCTTGAGCCAAGATGGAGAAGACATGATCCTAAACCTCCCTGGTTTTTGATCCAAGCTCAAGAGATCAGCAAATGGGCATGTGTCTCATTTGTACTCTTTTTCCCTTGTCAAGTTTTGTCCCAATGGGTTTTCTTGACAAGGTTTTTAATGAGGCAAATGGGTCACATACAAATAACCCATTTAGCTGATCAAGACCAAGGCCCATCAATAAAGAAGGCTAAAAACGTGGCCATGAAGTCAAGGGTCATATTTGTGTTCAAACTTTGTTTTAATTGTGTTTGCTTTTCCGAGATAGTCTTTGGAGTTGTTCCTTGACTCATCTCTTCTTTTCCTTCTTCTCTTTCCCTTTATATTGTACTGGACGAAATCCTTTTCAGTTTATCAATCTTTTAATCCAAAAACCTCTCTTTTGTTTGATCACTCTATGTTCAACTTGTTGTGCGTAATATCAACTAAGTCCACAGATTCCCTCTCACTTGTTGTGTGTAATATCAACACATTGGAGGTGGTGTTAGAGATCTCTTCCGCTGGATCTCTAGTATAGCCATTCGTTTCACTTTTCAATCCGCTCAATCATTCATCATCGGTTCCTTTGTGATCCGATCCTCCATTCACTTACCTTCAATCGATCTACTCCAGGGCGTATCAGGTGGTATCAGAGCCCCTTGAAGCTAAGTGATTTCATCTCTATGATTTTTCTTAGTTTTGTCTGTTCATCTTCTCATTTAGAAAGTCATAGATCTACTCATCATCACTGTTCTCCTTATCATTTCCTTGTTACCATCAGCATATCGGCTACTCTATTGCATTTTCCAACCATTGAATCATCATTCTGAGCATCTTAGATCTGGCTGTTCATCTTCTGTTCTTGAATCATCATAGATCTAGTTGCTGGAATTATTTTCGTAATTTTTTTGAGCATTCTGGCATCATATCCTGGTTCATTAGCACCTTATCTGTATTTTAGAATTTATTTCATAATTTTTAAAATTGTTTACATAATTTTTCGGAATTGTTTGCTTGTTTCTGTGAACTAGTGACTGCCGAGATTTTTGTTTGCAATTTTCAGGTGCTATGGCCTCAGAAGAAGAAGAAGAGGAAACAAGCCGAGAATCACCATCAAGCCTCAACGAAGCCATGCTTGAACAGATCAAGAAGATGATGATTGAGGAGTTTGATCGGAGAGAAAAGATTAAAGAAGGAAAGCGGAAGCAACCTAAGGATCCGGTCACATCTAAGAAGAAGCCGATTGAGGATCTTAGTGGTTACATGATGATTCCGCCATTCCATGGGAACAATGATCCGGATGTATATCTGGATTGGGAGAGGAAGTGCGAGATTATCTTCAACCGACATAACATAGCTGACATCAACCGAGTCACATTAGCAGCTATGGAGTTCAAGTATTATGCTCTAAGTTGGTGGAAACAGGTTGAGACGGCACGAGCTTATAGTGGAGCTTATGAGATCTCTACTTGGGGAGAAATGAAAAGGGTTATGAGGCAGCGGTTCGCTCCCATCATTATCAGCGTGAACCTCATTCCAAGCTAAGGAAGCATAGCAAGGAACTCGTTCGGTTGAGGAGTACTATAGTAGCCATGGGAAACGAAACCCAAGCAGCCTGACAAGATCACAAAGCCTTATCCAAGACATTTCTCTAAAGAAACCAGTCCTGAACCACAAGAAAGCATTCAAAGCAAAGGTAAGCATTCTGTTTCTCAACAATTACAAGAATTAACTTTTGCAGGACCAGGAACAGAGACCACGTGCTAAGGAGCTCCCAAGCAAGGTGATCCCTTCCTCTATTAGTCCAAAGCCTATGGCAGCAGAAAGTGTCAAAGAAGTGCCAAAGGATCACGCGGAGAAAGGTTTAGGTGCCAAAGATGTTTCAGTCCAAACCCCCTGTTACCAACTGCAAGGAAACAAGAAACAAGAAATTGTTTCAGTCTCTAACAATGGAAAGGTACAAGCTAAACTTTTTCAAACTGTTTATGATGATTCCATGACTGGTATGATGCACTTGTCTTTCTCCAAAGGTGTTGAGACAGGTACAGGAAGTAGTGAAGAACAAATGGAGAAAGCAAATCAAGAAAAGGAGACTCAACCAAACCTGGATCCGCCAGAATCTAAACCACCAGACCAACAACTACAAGACCATGAGTTCAATCCAGAAGGACCAGAACCGAACAACAAGAGGAAGTCAAAATCAGAACAAGAATACAGTCAAGCCATGCCTACTTCTAAGCTAAGTGAATTCTTAAACCAACACATTCATCCTGTCTTTTTAACTGTCTTAATGCACTTGTCTTGGTTTAAAGAAGTTGAGAAAGGTACAGCTGAGCAAGAGAGACGCCTAGAAGCTCACAAAGCTTTAACTTGCCATACCAAGAAGGAGTATGAGCAACATGTTCTTAAGCCAATTGCCGCAGCTGATTCACTAATGAGCGTTTTGAATAGTACACAGGTTAGTGAAGCTCAATACTTGATTTACTATTGGGATCATTTCATGATACATCAGAAACTTCAGAATTTTGTTTTTGAAATTCCCATTTCAAGTATAATGCACTTGTTCTTTTCCTTGAGTGTCAACAAAGGATCAGGTTTTATGGAGAAGCATAAGGAACTGGAAGAAGCAGCATCAAAGAACAACACAGTCTCATCTCACGTTCATCTCATTCCCTGTTCACCTATGGTTCTTTGTTTGAGTTCTCTATTTACCAAAGGCGAGGCAACACTGAACCAAAATCAAGAAGAGTGGCTCACATTTTCCAATCCAATTCCAGAGAAACCACCAGACTCTTATCTAGGATATCCAAAGAAGCAAACCCAAGGTAAGTATCTAGATTCCCAAAGGCGTATGAGACCTAATTTGCTTTCTTTTGGTGCAGGTCAACTAGTTTTGAGGACAAAACTTTTTCAAGAGGGAGGAGATGATGCGATCATGGATGAGGAGGTTCAGGAAAAGCAGCTTTTGGCCGAGGAAGAAGATGGAATGGAGCAGCTTGAAGCCGAGGAGGGACTTGAAGCCGCGCAACTTGAACCTGATGGAGCTAAACATATGGAGCTGGAACCTGACGGAATTAAAGAGCTTGCAGCTGAGAAGGAGCTTGTTTCCAAGGATTCTGTAGCTGCGCCAATGGAACTGATTACTCATTCTGGAGTTAATCTTGAGCCAAGATGGAGAAGACATGATCCTAAACCTCCCTGGTTTTTGATCCAAGCTCAAGAGATCAGCAAATGGGCATGTGTCTCATTTGTACTCTTTTTCCCTTGTCAAGTTTTGTCCCAATGGGTTTTCTTGACAAGGTTTTTAATGAGGCAAATGGGTCACATACAAATCACCCATTTAGCTGATCAAGACCAAGGCCCATCAATAAAGAAGGCTAAAAACGTGGCCATGAAGATCAAGGGTCATATTTGTGTTCAAACTTTGTTTTAATTGTGTTTGCTTTTCCGAGATAGTCTTTGGAGTTTGTTCCTTGACTCATCTCTTCCTTTTCCCTTCTTCTCTTTCCCTTTATATTGTACTGGACGAAATCCTTTTCAGTTTATCAATCTTTTATCCAAAACCTCTCTTTTGTTTGATCACTCTCTGTTCACTTGTTGTGCGTAATATCAACTAAGTCACAGATTCCCTCTCACTTGTTGTGTGTAATATCAACACGTTGGAGGTGGTGTTAGAGATCTCTTCCGCTGGATCTCTAGTATAGCCATTCGTTTCACTTTTCAATCCGCTCAATCATTCATTATCGGTTCCTTTGTGATCCGATCCGTCCATTCACTTAACTTCAATCACGATCTACTCCAGGGGCGTATCAATGGTCAGTCAGCTAATCAGTCGACCAGCTAGTGACATTACCCAATCAGCTCACCCAACTGGGTTGAGCTGACTACTAGCTCGCCCAGCTAGTTCAGCTGGCCAGCTAGCTGGTTCAACTGGTAGCTCAGCTACTTCAGCTCCTCTAGCTCATCTAGCTCGACCCCTTAGTCCCATTTGATCCGACTAAGTCATTCGGTCCGTTTCTCGGTCTAGACTAAGTCTTTCCGACCAATCCTTTGACAAATACTTGTTCACAGCCATCCATTGGTCTTAACCAAGCAAGTCTTCCCCGAATCAAATCGGCCCATTGTCTAGAGCCGGGATAGGGATGTTACAAGTCTCCCCCACCTAATAGGAATTCGTCCTCGAATTCGGTGGTGGTAGATCTTGCTTCCGTTCCCTTAGCCATGTGACAGAATTCCATTTGCATTATGCTAAGGGGTTCTGTCCATGCACGTACATAGCCCATCTTGGCTATAACGCAATCCGACCTTGGCCCTGCATAGACTTGATCATTATTTGACCATAGTTCACCCACTATGTCGTATCTTGTATATATCGAACTCGATCCGGTACTAGTCCCGTGTAGCATATGTCCCAACTTCCGTTCAGTCCCATCATACTACCGTTACCAAGTTACCTAGATCTCTGGTTCATTCCCGACCGTACATGGTCCCTTCAATTCTCCTGATAAGATCTAGTCGGATAACTCTTCTCGTGGTATGGATCTTGTCGTAGGGCAGTCTATCTTGGCCGATTCGGCTAAGAGCATCTCTGGTCCCTTAGCACGATATCTCCTCTTGCCTCAACTCCCAGTCGACTCAGCATTACACCCGGTTTGTACACCGCCCTAGTCTTTCAGAGTCTCGATCATTCTCCAGACCTTAACTGATCATCATAGAAACTAATACGTCCGAGTGGCGTCTTGAACAACGAACAAGCCTTGCTGAGATCCCAGACTCCCAAGTACTTATCACATTTTCTCAGCTTACAGTTCGTAACTAGTTTTCTATATGATCCAGTTTTCAGTCGCCTGAGCAACAACCGATCCTAGGATCAAGCATGCTCTTATACCAACTTGAAACAACCCATCCCGGCCGTGGACGGCCGTTTCACGGTTCAGGCCCTTTCCCGGCCGAACCTCCTGGCTAAACGCCTTTACCGTGCGAAATCCCCTTTTCAAGGCCTGATCACCGGTCTATCAATACGCAGCGGAAATATAATTTTATCCAAGGCTTATCATTCGTTAAACTCAAGCCTTTCTATACTTAGTATAATTTCAACTAAGTTCTTGCCGGTCCGATCGTCTGTCTGCCTCGGACAGTCTATGCGACTTCCGATCAGCTTATAGATCAATCCAAACTCGGTCAAGTCATGCAACCTAGCATTGTTCCTTCCATTCCCCTAGACCGTTCTATCTAGATCTAGGCAATCGGTAATTGTTCCATTCCGATCGTGCTCATACCTTCGCCGTTCGCAGATATCGGTCCACCTTTGATCCGCGTCCTGGTTGCCTTCCGGTCTGTCGGTTATCTTAAACTGACCTCATCTCCAGATGGAATCCTATCGATCCGTCCCATGACCAACCAATCCCCGTCTTTACTTAGTCATTCAGCCAACCATCCCCACTGACTTAAGTTTAGATCGAAGAGGCGTCATGCCAATGGATAGACTAGAGTCATCAGCTTAGGACCGACCGTTCGTCTTAGTCCAAATATCCAGATAGTCCGTGATCATCCCATGATCCGCCTATCAACTTCATCCGAGACATGATCTAGTCTGATCATGCTCAACGTTAGGCCGAACATGTGTCAATCCGTAATTTAACACGCTCAGACCCATGTACCTATTAGATGGTTCGTGTCCGACCATCCGTCCTTGTTCGGCCAAGCGCGGCCGCCCAATAGATCACGCCGGTTGGAGACTGATCACACCGTTTCGTGTCTAGTCCCAATCTCCCTCAATCCTAGATTGCACTAGGCCGACTGGTTCTGTCGGCCTCGGCCCCAATCGTGTCGCCGCGGTCTGTCAACCGTTCCGGTCGTCTTGTTCTGTCGACCACTTGGTCTGAACAGACTGTTCCGACCGTCTGGTTTCGTCGACCATTCGGTCCTGATCGTATTAGGCCAGCCGGTTCTTCTTGGTGCTCCGACCACGATCGTGTCACCGCGGTCTATCGACCGTTCCGGCCGATCGTGTCTAGCGACCGCCCGACTAAACCATGATCCCCCGGATCATGTGTGGCCGTGCACGGTCAAGCAACCGCTCGGCAACCGATCACACCGTTTGGTGATCGATCCCGACCGTTCGGTTGTTGGTTCACCCATCCGATTTCCGTCCGTACGCACTTCCGATCCGTCGGCGCATCGGCTGGATCGCATCGCCGCGCTCCTTAGACCGTTCTCGGCCGATCGATTCCTCGACTGCGCTGTTGTGACCGTTCGTGTGATCGGTCCATGAACGCTCACACTGGTGGGTCGGTGCGTCGACCAGAATCACGTCTCCGCAGTCTGTAGACCGTTCCGGACAACTGGTTCCGGCGACCACTCGGCCGTAACCTGATTTATCCGACCCCAGGCTGTGGTCTGGCCTTTATCTCTCTCTTTCCAAGTGTGTTTATGCCTTAGGCGTGGTGAGAAGTGAATTGTGTATCCCCCATCCGTTCGGCCCTGGCCTTGTACTTATAGGAACGGACATACACCATTCGTGCCTGTTCGGCCAACCATCCGAACAGATGCATCCCTTGGTCTGTATAACCGCCGACCACTAACCGCCCAACCGTCTATGGTCAGTCAGCTAATCAGTCGACCAGCTAGTGACAGTACCCAATCAGATCACCCAACTGGGTTGAGCTGACTACTAGCTCGCCCAGCTAGCTGGTTCAACTGGTAGCTCAGCTACTTCAGCTCCTCTAGCTCGACCCCTTAGTCCCATTTGATCCGACTAAGTCATTCGGTCCGTTTCTCGGTCTAGACTAAGTCTTTCCGACCAATCCTTAGACAAATACTTGTTCACGGCCATCCATTGGTCTTAACCAAGCAAGTCTTCCCCGAATCAAATCGGCCCATTGTCTAGAGCCGGGATAGGGATGTTACAAATTTCCTGACACAGGCAAATCATTTTTTTATACTTATATGCTTCATCCCATTGGAACAAGTAGGTCGGAATTGGTCCATAGACTATAACTAGTTTAAAGAAGGCCAAACGTATAATTGATGCAACGTTCAAAAAATCTATAGGTGTTAGTTGCGCGGTGGATCTGGGATTTCTGATTTTTCTTTTTACATTTTCTAATTTATTAAATATTTTTATATAGAAGATAACATATAAATATGAAAATCATATATTTGATTTCAAGTTTTAGAGGACAAAAAGTCGAGATTCGAACTGATTTTGTGGCTGATTAATCAAGATTCAAAGTTAGTGTTTGTGTTTGGTTTTATGAATCCCCAACTGAATTTTTTCTCATATAGTTTTTATCAATTGCAGTCTTGTTTTAAGTTTAAACAAAATTAAACCTTCTTTAATTGGCCACAATGTTCGAAATAATTTGCAATTGGGCCAAAGAGAATTCAGAAACCAAGGCCCATCTGTCTTTTAAAATTCCATTGGATTTCTATTATTAATCAGGCTTTTCGGTCAAACCAAGTTTAACCACGAGTGACAACAATTTTAGGACACATAATATATGTATACTTAAGAAGCCAAATCCCGCACTAATTAATACACCTTAATACGATATAAAAAATATTATTTTAGTTTTTCCTTTCTGACTCTACATTTGACTTTAAATCTATAAACTGTAAATTAAAAAAAAAAAAACTATGAGGATTTTTAAGTGATTAAATTATTAGATTCAACATTTTTATTATCTGACATAATTACCTTTAATTAAAAAAAAACACTAGAGAAGATTTTTAAGTGATTAAATTATTAGATTTAACATTTTTATTATCTGACATAATTACCTTTTGATATTAATGTTTGAAAAGTAAAATGACTAATCCATTTTTTCTTTTACATCTAGAGATGTCAATAGGTCTTCCCCACATGGCCACATGTACTCGGGTGACAAAAGCATGTACTTGACATTTTCTTGAATTCATTGGACAAATACTGATCACAATATCTATTAAGGATACATCGTCATAAGAGATCATTGTCCTTAATTTAAAATAAATATTAGGTTTTGATGGAGAATTTGATAACTATGTTGACAAAACGGTTTCTTGCTAAATAATTTTTTTATCCTCCTAGTATTGACAAATTTAAACCCTTTTGACATACTTTTCAATACTAGGAGGATAAAATCTTCTTTTAGAATTTTATTATTTATTTATTAAGCTTACAACAATGGTTATGAAACACAACTTTAAGTCTAGATTTTATTTGCAGGCCTGTTTAAAATAATATAAACTCAAAAACCACCCCCATTATAGAGTTGGTGGCCAAGCCGGTGACCTTCCTCTTTAACAAGCCTACCTAACTTCAGACTAGTTTCATATTCTCTCCTAGTAAGAACAGATACAACTAGAGCCGTGCTTAATACTAATCAAAAAGGCATTTGCCCCTGGCCCCCAACATACATATACGTTTAGAGGCCCCTAATTTACAGAAATTTGTTGTAGCCTAGAGGTGTAGCTCGCTGCATTTGAGATATATAACCTAAGTTCGAGCCTGTTAGTATGCAACATTTATTTTTAGTTATGATTTTTTAACCTTTTTTCTAAATTTTTCTAAAACTCTTCGCACAGCACTCGATACAAGATGTATTATTCAAATGAAAATCTTGTACTGGAAGGTTAGTATTTGTTTTGTGTTCTTATTTATGTTAAATTTTAACCATATGCAGAAGTACGTACTAGTAGTTAGACTTAAAATCAGATTAGTAATGGAAGCAAATACTGACGAGGTCAGTAAATAAACATGGCTTCTGTTTTTAGTAGTTCTGAGACAGAGTCAGATTAATATGCAACATTTATTTTTAGTTATGATTTTTTAACCTCTTTTCTAAATTTTTCTAAAACTCTTCGCACAGCACTCGATACAAGATGTATTATTCAAATGAAAATCTTGTACTGGAAGCTTAGTATTTGTTTTGTGTTCTTATTTATGTTAAATTTTAACCATATGCAGAAGTACGTACTAGTAGTTAGACTTAGAGTCAGATTAGTAATGGAAGCAAATATTGACGAGGTCAGTAAATAAATATGGCTTCTGTTTTTAGTAGTTCTGAGACAGAGAAGTCAATGCAAGATAGGAACGTAAAAGGTTTCTGGTACCACCTAACTTGTTGTTAATACATCTTGGCATTTACTAATTTAGAGAAAAGTACCAAGTATAGCTAAATTAAAGATCCCAGCCAAAAAAATAATAATCTATAATATGTGCCATCCCTCTTTAAGAAAATCTTAAGCTGATGTTGTTTTCCCAAATTACTTACACGTTTAATAATCTCTCGACAATATGGAAAAATCTGGGGAGTACTTAATTATCTATGGGGAAAGGATCGAAAAGTACGATTCATAATCTCTCGTCAAATGCTTTCCTCTTTCATATTCCATCAGGCTCACTAAGGAAAAAGGTGCTCCAACACGAACTTTGGAGAGTCGGAGACTCACCGTTTTTTGTGACTGAATGGAAAGCCTCATTTAGTCTTGACCCTCCCTCTCTGCAGAAGGCTCCGATCCGGGTCACAATAAAAAACATCCCCTTCGATCTGGTGACCGATATAGGTATGGGATTCATAGCCAAACCTCTTGGCAAGGTGGTGGATGCAAAGCCCTTCACCAGTGTGAACTCAGCTGAGATTAAAGTTGTCGTCAATTTTACAAAAACACTGCCAACAACAATGGAAATAGAGAGAGAGACAACGGTCAGATCGTTCTTCTGTCCGTCCATTATCCGTGGCTCCCTCCGTTATGCTCGGTATGTAACGAAATTGGTCATAAAGCTGTGTTATGCCCAATGGTGAAAAAACCAGTGTTCCCTCAGGATAAACCTTCTACCTCTGGCATTTTAGTTCAGCCAAAGGGAACTGCTTAAAAAAAGAAGGAAGCTTCAAATCCAGGGTCCTCTATCTGAATGGAGAAGCAGAACCCACTTAAAGGAAAAGTGAACTCGGTTGAAACTCGTGATGAAGTGGTGCCTGGTTGTAAAAGCTCTGAGAATACGTCTCACATTGAGGAGAAGGCCGAAGGAAAAGCACCGGCTAAGGTGAATCACAGTGCTCGCTCAAGTAAATCAACTAAGGAAGTGGTCGGTGGAAAGATTGATCCAAAGGAGACTCAAGAAAGTTTACCAAAATCTCGGGTCTTAGAGTCTGCTCCAGGGCCAGATGAAACGATTGATGTGGCACCGGCGAAGGAGTCAGTTTTTCAGTTAGCAGTGGTCACGGCTCAGAGGAAAACCTCTCTTGCGCTTTCCAGTTCGGAGTCTTTGATTTCTCACAATGCTTTTATGGCGCTCCAAAACGAGTCGGAGGAGAGCGCAGAGGAACCAGAGCTTGATGAGATGGGAAATCATGAGGTGTTAGGACGGGACCTTATCCTTCATAAACCCTCTCGTCCACACACTAAATCAGCCTCTCCGTCATCTTCCTCTTCGTCTGGAAAGCAGCGTAAAAGGAAGAAGCGAAAGAGATCTGATCAACAATCGCCCGCTCATGGTGGTGGACCTCCTCTTCTATTAGAGGATTGTCACCACAACTAAAATCTTTTTGATGTGTGATACGTTTTTTTGGAACGTGCGTGGAATAAATGAAGTATCGAAGCATCGGCCGCTCGCTAACTGGATATCTAGTAAACCAGTATCTTTTGGAGCGCTGCTGGAAACGCATGTAAGGGAACCTTCTATAAACCATATTCTATCTACTATAGCCCCGAATTGGTCTTGTATAGCTAACTATGACCATTCGGACCTGGGGAAGATCTGGATTATCTATAAGTCACCCACGAAAGTTAGACTTTTGTTTGAAGACCTGCAGTCAATTACGGTGGAAGTTACTTTGGATTCTGGTGAGAGCTTCATTTATACGGCTGTCTACGCTTCAAATGATTATGACACCAGAAAGGAGTTATGGATTTCTTTACGAGACACCTTTTCATCTTTCAATCTCTCTTCACGGCCTTGGATGGTAATTGGCGACTTTAATGAGATTCTCTCGCCAACCGAAACTTCAAACCCAGCTATCTTTAGAACTACGTTGGCAATGAGGAATTTTGGGGATTGTCTAGCAGAGGTGGGTCTTTTTGACCTTCCATTCCAAGGACCGGCGTTTACTTGGACGAATCATCAACCATCCAGTCCAATTGGCAAAAAGTTAGATCGTTGTTTGGTGAATGGAAACTGGCTGTTAAAGTTCCCGACGAGTCATTGCTCCTTCGAGGCTCCCCTGTTCTCAGACCATACTCCGTGTGCTATCAACTTGATCACCAAGCCCCCAGATTATGGAACTAGGCCTTTCAGGTTCTATAATATGATGTTGAAGCACCCTTCGTTTTTAGAAACTCTAAAAGAGGCTTGGCAGCAATCAGAAGACACGGTGTCATCACTAAGCTCTTTTTGCCATAAGCTGAAAGGAATGAAAAGACCCATGAAGACTCTTTGTAAGGATAAATACAGTGGGATTGAAAAAAAGAGTAAAGGAGGCAGAGGATGAACTAAAAGCTATTCAGATGCTATCTCTACAGGATCCCTCACAGTCAAACCTTCACCTTGAGAAACTAGCTAAGGAAAACTGGCTTTTTCTTCGTCATGCAGAAGAGAGTTTTTTCAGACAACGATCATGCATTAAGTGGTTGGCAGAAGGTGATTTCAATACTTCATTCTTCCACAAGGTCATGAAAGCTCGTAATGTGTACAACTCGGTAAAGTACCTTATTTGACCTGATGGATCTCGGGCTGATACAGCTCAGGAAGTACACACTCATGCGGTTAGTTACTATGAGTCTATTATGACAAATGTTTTAGTCCAGTTCTCTCCAGACCTTCCGGAGTTTCTAGAGAGCCTTCCCCTACCGACCTGCTCCGAGACTCACCTGGTGATGCTTTCTGCAGTTTATACAGAGGAAATATTAAGAAATCATTGTCAGGAATGCCTACAAACAAAACTCCGGGGCCTGATGGGTTCCCAGCTGAGTTTTTCAGAGCTGCTTGGAGTATTATGGGTCCCGAAATATTATTGGCTATCAAAAGGTTTTTTGAAGCACCGTTCATGCCTAAAGCTCTAAATTCTACATTCCTGGTGTTGTTGCAGAAAAGACCGGGAGCTGATCAACTCAAGGATTATAGGCCCATATCATGTCTTAACACGTTATACAAACTGATTACTCGGCTCATTGCTGATAAGAGTTTCTCCTGCCTGAGTTGATAGTGTCAAATCAGATGGCGTTCGTAAAAGATAGACTCCTGATGGAAAATATCTTGTTGGCTTCTGAGGTTATCAAAGGATACCATAAAACTAACCTATCTGCAAGGATCACTCTGAAAGTAGACATCTTAAAAGCGTTTGACTATGTGAGATGGGATTTTATTCTTAGTCTTTTGCAGGCTCACAAAGTGCCGGATGAGTTTCTACAAGCAATAAGGGCCTGCATCTGCTCCCCTGCCTTCTCAGTGAGTTTAAATGGAAGAACTTCGGGTTTCTTTAAAGGAAAAACAGGGTTAAGACAAGGAGACCCTCTCTCCCCATCTTTTTTTTGTCATGGTGATGTCTGTCTTGTCACTGATGTTGAACAAAGCTGCGGCTGCAGGAGTTTTAATTATCACCCGGGATGTGAGGATCAAGAACTTACCCATCTATCCTTCGCTGATGACTTACTTATTTTCCTAGACGAAACTCTGAAATCATTGCAAGAAGTGTTCTCGGTCTTGAAAAGGTTTGAGGAACTTTCAGGCTTGGCAGTCAATATTTCTAAAACTAGTATGTTCTGTTCATGAGTTGATCCAATGGTATTGGTGGACATAGAGTCTGTTGTAGGCCTCTCCGCTAGCTCTTTTCCAATTCGCTACCTTAGTTTGCCGTTATGCACAAGAAAGTTATCCGTCACCGACTGCGATCCGCTGATTACTCAAATTAGAAAGAAGCTTAATAGCTGGACCCATCAGATCTTAAGCATGGCGGGAAGATACACTCTTCTATCTACAGTGATCCCTGGCATAGTAGGCTTCTGGAGCTTGGCTTTCTTCCTACCCAAGGCAGTAATCAGATGTATTAACTCCCTCACCAGTGCTTTCTTCTGGCACGGTACAACAGACTCAGCAAAAGGGGCAAAGGTCGCATGGTCTGATTTATCCTTTCCCAAAAAAGAGGGAGACCTGGGTCTTAGAGGTATAAGAAGTTGGAATGAAATTTGCGGCTTAAAGCTTATTTGGATGCTATTTTTCAGAGCCGGCTCAATTTGGGTAGCCTGGATAAGAGAAAAGTACCTTTCTCACTCTCCATTTTGGGCCCTAAATGGAAACAATTGTGAGTTCTCATGGATGTTCCGTCAGCTTTTGAAGCTCAAAAGTAAAGCTATCTCTCTTATTTGAACTCTGATTGGAAATGGTGAGGACACTTTCTTTTAGTGGGATCCGTGGACTCCGTATGGATGATCCACTACATTGGCTGTGATGGACCTTCAATAATGGTCATTCCTTTATTCTCAACAATCAGTGATCTGATTACTCCTCAAGGGTGGTCCCTTCCTCCAACAAGGTTAGAAAAACAACTAAATCTTCATGCGTTTGTCACTACCTTGCAGCCAAATACATTGACCGATCAAGCGGTCTAGATTATGGATAGAGTAAACCAGAAATGTTTCTCGTCGCGGCAAGTTTGGAACTTTATCAGAGATTCCAAACCAAAGGTTTCTTGGGAGAGTCTAATTTGGCACAAAGCAAGGATTCCAAAGCATGCGTTTTATGCGTGGCTCTTTGTTCTAAACCGTAACCCTACTCTTGATAGGATTATTAGGTGGGGTTGTGATGTAGAACAAACTTGCCTTCTGTGTGGGAGCTCGAATGAATCGAGAAACCACCTGTTCTTTAGCTGTGTCTTCTCTATACAGGTGTGGCAGGAAGTTCTTCTTAAACTGAATCTTTTATCTCCGCCTTCTCAATGGGAGTCTATTCTACAATGGCTTCCTGTGGCTTCTCCAAACAAAGTTATTTCTTTGGCTGTACTACAAGCGTGGCAAGCTTGTATCTATGAAATATGGGGCGAGAAAGATAGTTTGATTTGTTCTCTCCGTTGTGCAAGATCGAACCCAGAGCCTGACTATTCAGAATCCAAAAAGGCTTCCCCTTTTGGCTTGTTGGTCCTAATCTTTTGTGGGTATCCCCTTTTCTTTCTTGGACTTACGCCTATTAGTTTCTTCTATTTTCTGTATTTTGTATGGTTCTTCTGGTCTCCCTTGTAACCTTTATTATATATTCAAGCAAGCCTTTTAACAAAAAAAAAGATTACTTACACGTTCCTCTACATTCTACAAGTTCATATTGTTGAACAATTTAATTTACAACCGAACTTCATCACGCTAAACAAATTCTAGAAACCGAAATGAATCGGTTTTCCATCGGAATAAGGAGATAAATACTGACGAGGAAATATTTTCTGTGGTAGTTTAGGAACTTACGTAGTATATAGATATATTACACAAATACAAAGACAATACTGGAGACTGTTAAGAAAAACAAAGAAAAAACATGACATGACATAAAGTAAAGGGGCTTGAAGAAAGGTTGGAATAATGGCAAAGAACATCTAATCACTAACAAACATAGTAAACATACCAAAATGTGCCCCCACTAACAACGATTTACACATGTTGATAAGATACTTCACTGCCCAATTTACAATTTTTGTTTGGTTTTATAGCTCTATGACAAGTGAAGTTTGATCTTCCAAGCACAGATATATGATCCTAAAACACATGAATCGGAGACTATATAAACAATCGTGAAAACAAAATTGCCGGATAAACTCTAAAATCAGTGATCACTTGAAAGACATAAGCCATCTAACAAAAATAAAGAATTGAATATATAATAAGTGCATAGAAGTGTCACTTGTAGTACAATCGAGATCGAATCTATAAGGAAATAGTGATCAGCAGATTAAGCCTATGGGAACCAATTTAAGCTAAGGGTTTTTGGTTTGAGTATAAAATTCTAGTAAAGAACGAAGCTTAAATTAATCAAAAGCAATACGCAAACTAAACAAAACAAACAAAATAAGTAGATTAAGCAATGCAAGAAAATAGAGCTCATAAAACGACTAATAAAGACTGGAAAGCAATTGATTTAGAAAGCATGACTATTGATTAATAATGCAAAAAATCAATCATGAAACAGAATCCTAGAACATAAATCATAATACAAGACTCGCTTTCATGGCACTAACCACTTCACTAATACTCAATTAACTTAAATTTGAGATACAAGGCTATAAGCGATCTAAGAAAAATAGAAAAGTCAGTTCCAGTCTGAGAATCATACTATTATTTGCGAAGTCAGAATTTCGAATGGAGGCACCACATTAACTCTCAGCCTCGGAATTACATAACTACCCTTAATGAAAATCTTGAATAAATCTTTAAATTTTTCTTTTTCTTAATCGTAATCAATTATCAAGACGAGGTAACTAATATTTTCTTTTTTTTTCCTAATCGAATTTAAACACAAAAACTCTAAACCCTACGTTCTTAATTTATATATATATTAGAGCACTATTCTTCAAACAACCTAAATCGGCTGCCGCACGTCCTCTCCCTTGGATCTCTAAGCTCTTTTAAAAATTGATTGGAGAAGAATTGAAGTTAGGGTTTCATCAGATGGACGAAAGGTTTGCTGGAAAGATTATTAGCGGTTGTTAGATCAGGGAGGCTAGAGCTACGCAGCAAGAATAATATTTGATTATATACTCTATTGCTATGTTATGTGTGGTTATGAAGTTTACAAGATAATATCCAATCTCTCTCTTATACGGACGGGCAATGGAGGTGGAGAATATCCGACGATGAATATGCTGAGTTTGAAATCGGGGGAGGTGGTATGTAAGTATATTTGGGAAACAAAAAACTTAAACATGACGATGCCCATGGATGTATAGTGAATTGGAAGACGAAGATGAGGAAGAATTATAATATGTGGTTGTTAGGATGTTTAGTATTGGAGATGTGTATTCGAGATGTGTACATGTGCTATCACAGATTACTTGAGCATATAACATGTTTATTGTTTATTGAAACGCGTATTAGTTATTACTGATGATCTCTCTTCTGTTTGGCAGGTAACGTAACATGTTTATTGGAACGTAATTTACAATGAACTCTGAGGAGACATTACTGAGCGAATTCGATTAGAATATTGTTTCAATATCTATATGTTCTCTGTTTCAATAGAACAGCTACAACCACATAAAGAAATTGCAAGTTTGCATCGTGCATATAAGTTGGAGAAGACGAAACAACAGCTCATACTCGCTCAATCAAATCTTCTCATCATCTATACACAACAAATAGGTAAGTAATTGTTTTAGCCAATACTCAGGTAAGAGTATAGTTAGTGATCATGTGGCGTTTCAAAGATCATGAAATCGCATCTATAATTTAAGGATCATCAGAATACTTCCTCTGCAAGTTAGTCTGTGTTTTGTACTGTTTTTTTCTTCGGTCAGCCAAGTTACGTGTTAGCGAAGTAAAAAATGTATGTTTCACATAGAATATAAAGATGATATGTGATCACAGAGAACATATCAAATAGTTTCAAAGAAGAATGCTCGAACTAAAAAAATGTGGTCACCATGGTTTTGTTTTGCAGATGTGGATGTATGTGCAAATGTCTGAAACGTGGCCATGAGCTTCAATGGAATAGTAGAAAATGTCTGGTTTGTATGACTCTAATTGTAGATGTGTGAGAGCATTTTTTATTCTTAGGACTCAAGAAAACAAATTAAATATATGCAGCGTATTATGTTGACTCTCTATAGTTAGTATACATTTTGAGATTTTTATGTCTAAGAAGAGAATCTATTTACAATTGTAAATTTGTTTATGATTTAGCATAGGTAGCTTTGCTTTATGTTGTATGAATGTTGCTACGTACAATATAACGTATGTTGCACTGCAGCCTTTGTTTGTTCTTCTTCTTTACTTGGGCAATAAATTTTCTTGCATGTATCAAAGGTAAAGCTTTAAATCAGAGAGTTACAAATAATTTACTGTTTTCATGGACATGATTTTTTCTTTAGTATTGTCTACTAAATCAATACAAACCATTCAGCAATATGTTTTGTTCATCTTACGTCGTAAATGTTATTGATTGATTGACTGTCCATTTTTTGTGTAGAATGAGTGGTGGCGATGAGATATCACAAGGTGGGAAAAATATGTGGAAACCATATCAGTTTCAGTCATTTGCACAAATGGAAGCAATATCAGTTTTTTTAAAGGTAAAGGAAATTAAGCTACGGAGTGAAGCAAGACAAGCTCTACTCCATAGTGGAATTTTCATTACTTATTTACAAGTGGCCTTACCCTACTGTAAGCCAAAAAAATTACTCCATATTTTGTCGAGCTAATCATAATTACAAGAATGTGAGTTAATCGCTAATGTCTTCGTCTCTTATAAGAATGTGAGTTAGTCGTTAACATCGTCGTCTCTGCCAATATTTTTAACGACAGTTGATTAGCCGAGAGTGTGGTGTATTATATTATATGTAATATGGATGTTATATGTTTAACTGACAGTTCCCTTACCATCGTCGGAGAGTATGTTTTCTGAGAAAAAAATAGAAAGTGTAAAATCCATGGTAGAAGTTTTGAAAGTTCATTTATGCAATAAGCAAAAATGTTCGTAAAAGCATATTGACTTTGACATGGACATTAAGGAATGTCTAAGGAAATTAAATAGAAAAGGATGATAAGCTTACATCTTGGGATGTTCTATCATCTTGAAAGGATTTCGACTTTATTATGTTCTATACCTTATCTTTGTTTTATATTTTGAATAAATTAAAGTGAGGAAACAAGTGTTGTGGAAATCAAAAGAAAACAATGGTAATCTCATATGTAGATTATTGTGTTATAAGTTATAACTCTTTTACATATTTTGGTATTTTCTTTTGTGTATATATAATTTGAAAAATTTATAAAGAAGACTTAGAATGTAAACATTTTATGAAAATTTTGGTGTCGATCAAGTTCCTTTGAAGTTACAAAGAAAAAATAAAACAATAAAAGCAAATCTAGAACAAGTTTGTAATGTGGGGTTATAGTGTACTGTTTAGAGGGGGGTCTACAATGTCGGGTTAGGGTTTAGGGTTTAGTGTTTATTGATAGGTGTAGGGTTTAGTTTTTTATGTATTTTTGAAATATTGAATACATTAACAATGCCGATTAAAAGCACAAGAAAACAACAACTTCTTTTAGAAAAACACTAAGACAATAAAAGCATATCTAGAACCGGTTGGTAATGTGGGGTTAGGGTGTACGGTTTGTGGGGGGGGTTTAACGTGGGGTTAGGTTTTAGGGTGTAGGGTTTATATTGGTGGGTGTAGGGTTTAGTTTTTGCTGCATTTAAAAAAAATTGAATACACTAACACTGCCGATTTTAAACAAAGACTACTTAAAAAAAATTAAAACAATATGATGAATGACAAAGACGATGAAAAAGAAGAAAACTGAAGAAGACCAAAAAAAAGATGATACAAATAAAATAGGGAATAATAAGATGGAAGAAAAAGGCAAAAAATCACAAAATAAGCTATAAGAGATGAAATTGATGAAATAGAAGAAAAATGAGAAGACGAGGAAAGAAAAAAAAATCAAAAGCTAAAGAGATGGAGAAAAAGAAGAACAAACGGGGGAATAAACTGTTGCGAAAGACGAGGAACAAGACCAAAAAACAAGAATTAAAAAGAAGAATATGGATTAGATGAAGAAGAAAATAATATGGAAAAGATGGAGGAATAACAGAAAAAGAGGAAGAAAAAGTGAAAGAAGAAGAAGAAAGAAAAGATGAGGAAGATGATGAAGATGAGACAAATAAAAACAAGAAGAATGAGAAGTTAAGGAAGACAGGGCATTAAAGAAAGAGGGGAAGAAGAATACAAAGAAAAACCGAAAGAAACAATAATAGAAGATGAAGAAGAAGTTAGAAAGAAAGAGAAGAAACATAAATTAAAAAATGCAAAGAACAAAATGAATAAAATTAATACAAAAAGAAGAATTAGATGGATAAAACAAAAACAAAAAAAAACTGAAGAAGAAGATATAAAATTAGAGAAGAAAAAAAAATTCCTTATATAAATCAGTGAGTTGATTTATATCTTTTAATACTCATTTTATAATCAATCAATCAAATTTTAAAAATCAAATGGAACCAAATATGTGGAAGAAAAAATAAAGAGAATACAAGGAAAAAGACAAATAAGATGAAGAGGGAGAGGAAAGAAGAAGAAAGAAGAAGAAAAACTGATGAAAAAAAAAAGAATAAGTGAGAGGAGAGGAAGATAACTAAAAGTAGAATTGTAGAAAAATGAGGATACATGGAAAAACACAAAAAAACTAAAGAAGAGGAAGAATAAGAAGATAAAACTGATGTAAAAGAAGTTGGAAAAGACGAAAAAGAAGATGAGGACAAGAAGAATAATTTAATCTGTCTCTAACAATAACATCAACATTGGATATTTTATACTATAACAACTATTATTTTAAAAGAAATAAAACATTTTATGCAAACCGAAAACAATTATATAATATATGGTTATGGAGTATGTAGAATTTAGTTTAGGGTTACTGTAGGGTTTAGAGGGTTATAAGGGTGGGGTTTGGGTTTATATTGATGTATGTAGGGTTTAGTTTTTGATGCATTTTAAAAAACAATTGATTAATTATGATAATATATCAAAACTAAAAATATATACCATTAAGAATACACAAATTGAAAATTGAGAATCAAAATTTAACGACACCAGTAGATTTTATTTTTAAAAATAGCACGATTATATAAAGATAAAAATTATTTAACGAATTTATAAAAATCTAACTATCAAACGAATTGACAAGTGTAATAAAATATGTAGACAAGAACGAATAAAAATGAACTAGAAGACGATGAAATAGAAGATGAGAAACTTGGAGAAGAAGAAAAAAACTCGAAGAAGAGAAAAAAAAGAAATCAAAGAAGAAGAAATGGAATGTGAAGAGAAAAAGACAAAGATGAGATAAATAACAACGAGAGCTAAGAAAAAATAACAAACCATTTAAATCTACCTGGATCAGTACTGAAAGTATGAAATATACTACCACGAGATGACGAACAGCATGAAGAAGAAGCAAAGTGTAACGCCCCGAAAAAATGGATTTAGATAACAAAACATATATAATTAGAAGGAAAAGAACATAAGAGCTGAGAATAAAAAGGAAAAACTGAAAGAAGAAAACCAGAGGATAAAAAATGGAATTAAAGTATGAGAAAAAAGGACAAAGAAAACCAGAAAACTAAGATATTACAGAAGAGAAATAAAATAAAGGAGATTAAAGAAGTACAACTGAAAAAAATAACAAAAATGTATGAGGAGATAAAGAAAAAAAAAAGAGAAGACGAGAATAAAATAAAATAAAGAGGAAGAAAAAAGTGATAAATAAGATGTTGTCAAAAAGAAAAAAATTGATAAAACAAAATGATGAAGAATACAAGATGAAATAAGAAGAAACCTAAATTAAAATAAAGAAAAGACAAAAGTTGGAAGAACGAAGACGGAAAAAAATGAAAGAAACATAACAAAAGAAGAAAATAATTGAAGAATATGTGAACAATAAAGAAGTTGGAAAAATCAAAAGATAAAAAACGAAGAATTATAACACAAAGTTAAGAAAAAACAAATTGTAAATAAAAGAAAGAAAACGAATAAAAACCATGAAATAAAAAGATGACGATAAAGAGAGAGGAAATAAAAAGAGATTAGAAAGTTTGAAAAGAATAAGAAAACAAAAAGTAGAAAATGAAGGAAAAAATATGAAAGAAGTAAAAGACAAAGTAAAGGAAGAAGAAGATAAAAATGGGTTGGGGTTTACGATGTACGGTTTATATTGATGGCGTAAAGTTTAGTTTTTGGTGCATTTTAAGAAAATTTAATACACTACATTACCGATTAAAACCAAAAAGAAACTATTTTTAAGAAATAAATAAAATAAAAGAAAAAGTCCAGAACCAATTTGTAAAATGTGGGGTTCGGGTGTGCGGTTTGGTGGAGTTATAATGTGGGGTTTGGGTTTAGGGTGTAGGGTAGTTTAACGGGAGGTGGTGTTACTCTGTGGGGTTTGGGTTTAGGGTGTAGGGTTTATATTAATGGATTTAGGGTTTAGTTTTTGGTGCATTTTTAAAAATTGAATTATTATGGAAGAATTTCAAAATTAAGAATCAATGATTATAAATCTATATCTACCTTTCTAAATTACATTTGCAAATAGAAAAAAACTAAAATAATAAAGCAAATCCAGAATCGAAAGATAACAAAAGCAATAGATTTTAAAAAGATCTCGACTATATAAAGATAAAACTATTTTTCAAATCCTTGAAAATCTAAACTATCGAATGAATTGATAGGTGAAATACAAGACGTTAAAAAGAACGAATAAAAACATAAGTAAAAGAAAAGAAGACGGTGAAAAAGAAAATGCGAAATTTGAGAAGAAGAAGAAAACTCGAACATGAGGAAAAAGAAATCAAAGAAAAAAAAATAGAATGTGAAGAGAAAAAAGACAAAGAAGAGATAAATAAAAACTAGAAAAATATGATGTTAGAAAAAACGAAGATGATAAAGGTAGAGAGAGGGGGAATGAGGAAGAAGAAAAACCGGAAAATAATGAGCATAAAAAATATGAGCATAAAAACCGGAGGATATGAAGACACTATAAAATATTGAAGAGAAAAAATTGGAAGAAGAAGAAAAAGATGATGAGAAGTGAGAATGAGCATAAAATTGAAAGAAAAAGAAGAAGATGGGATAATTGGAGAAGAATAAGAGGGAGAAGAAACAAGAAGTGGGAAATCTTTTGTGTCTCTATAAACAAATGAAGAGTTTTATGTTGAAAAATGAGAAAGAGAAGACAAAAATAAGACATAATAAAATCATAAATTTAACTACTTATATCAAATAATTAATGTTTTTAAAAAAATATTATACCTAGACAAGGTGCTTGACCATCACCTAAATAAGTTTTAAACTAATATTATAAAGATCAAATGATATAAAGAATTTTTTAAAAACGTTTGATATGGTTTGAATATTTAAATTATATTAAATAGTTTTCTTTTTATTTCAGTGTTTTAGAAAAAATTATTGTAATGTTTGAATTATGATTTTTTCTCTTTTTTTCTTATAGATGTTTCTATTTTCAAAACAACTCATGCCCGTGCATGCCGCGGGCTAACCACCTCGTAGAAAGGTAAACTCGAGTTGTTCCTAACTAAAACAGAGAAAAGAGGCAAAACATGACCTACATGATGAGCAGTGCGACACCTTGTGACCAAGACAACAACATGTCCAAGTGCACTAACTTTGAACACAAGAAACCACTTGCTAGTTTAATGCCTCTCTAATCCCAAAGATCATATCCAAAACGTCTATTAAGATAAGAGAGAGAGATTGTAACTGATTTACTTTCTTAATTAATGAGTAAATGTACATCAGGGGTATATATACTGTTGTCTCCAAGCTATGCAAACTAACTACATTATTGACTATAGTATATACAATTATATTACTAAAGTTTCTCCCAAAGAAGAGCAACATTGCATTCACACTTTCCACACGTACACACATGTAACTCTACATAATTCTTCAATTATTCCCACAGAGTTACTAATTCAGTGTAATACGTACTCACATCAACATGACCTTGCTAAAGAGAACTTAATTCTGTTCGATTTCAAATATCCTCGGTGCATCATCCTGTTTGAAACGCGAGACTAAATTCTTCCATAAAGCCTCAGCAGTCGACATATACAATAAACTTTGGCCAATTTTCTTGGACACCGAATTTATCAACCAAGTAATGACCATATCGTTGCAACGCGACCATGAACCAGCATCAGGATGATCAAGAGAAGGTTGAGAAACCGTACCATCAATGAAACCGAGCTTGTTGCAAACGTTCAGAGCCATGCGAATCGAACGACGCCAAGAGTGGAAATCAGCGCCAGAAGAGAGACGATCCGAGACCAACACTAATCCCGCATGATCCGAGTTATGAAGGAAATACGGATTATCGCATTGATCCTGCTGACGAACGCACAATTGAGCTGGAGGAATCGATCCCATATTAAAAAAAAAAAAAGAAATGAAATCGACGAAAAAGAGAGATATTGCCGGTACGGGAAGCAGAAGACAGCAACAGATCTAGGTCAAATAAGGAAGGAAGATCAGATAAAGTATGATGAAAGAGACGAAATAGAGAAGCTCAAACACGAAAGAAAAGATGAAAGCGACAGATTCGAGGAGCAAATGACGAATCAGAGCACTCATAAGGAAGATTCGGGAGCTCAATCGAAGAAACCAAAGCTCAATTGAAGCTCACGAGGTCAGATGCGAAGAATCCATGGCGGAAGCAAGAAAGTTTGTTTTCTTTTCTCTGATACCATATTAAGGAAAATGTACATCAGGGGTATATATAGTGTTGTATGTGGCAATATGAATAGCAGATTTATTGTCACAAAACAGTTTAGCCATGTGTTCAACATGTACCTTCATATCCGCAAGCAGTTGATTAAGCCAAATCAGCTCACAAGTGGCCAAAGCCATACTTCTATTCTCTGCTTTCATGCTGCTCCGGCTCACTGTATGATGCTTCTTCGATTTCCAAGAAATAAAAGATTTACCAAGATACACACAAAAGCCAGTGACAGATCTTCGAGTATCCGGAGAAGTTCCATAATCGGCATCGTCAAACGCATTCAAACAAGTTTCAGAATCAGCTGAGTAGAAAAGACCTTGACCCGGATTAGACTTGATGTAGCGAAGGATCTTGTATGCCTGCATATGAGCATCAGTTGGAGCTGACAGAAACTGACTCAGCCGATTCACGCAAAACGAATATCAGGCCGAGTGATCGTGAGATAAAGCAAGAGTCCAATGAGCTCTCTGTAAGAACCAATATCAGTCAAAGGACTTCCCGAATCTTTGCTGAAGATATAGACGGATCCATAGGTACAGCAGAAGGTTTACAACCCAACATTCCAGTATCTGATACAAGATCCAGAGCATATTTTCGTTGAGAAACGGAGATACCAGAAGAACTGCGAGCAATCTCCATGCCAAGAAAATAACGAGCAGCACCCAAATTCTTGATCTTGAAAGTTTCATGAAGATGTGCTTTCAATTCCAAAACCGCAGCATCATCATTACTGGCAATAAGGATGTCATCCACATATACAAGAAGAACGATGCAAACATCTCCAGAAATTTTGACAAACAGAGAGTTATCAGCAGGGGATTGCATGAAACCATGTTTGAGAAGAACCAAAGAGAAACAATGATACCATTGTCGTGAAGCTTGCTTAAGACCATAGATTGACTTTCTCAAACGACAGACTGGGTTTGGGGGCAAAACCTTACCAAGAGCCGGAGTATATCCCAAAGGCAAGCTCATGTAGATCTCCTCTTCTAAGTCACTATGTCAAAAGGCATAATCGATATCCATCTGAGTAAGACTCCATCCATGTTTATCTGCAAGGCCAAATAGCATCTTAACACTCGCCATTTTAGCAACTGGTGAAAAAGTATCAGTGAAGTCCACTCCTTTCTGCTGAGTAAAACCCTGAGCTACTAACCGAGCCTTATGTCTTTCAATAGCTCCATCAGAGTTGTACTTAAGAGAATAAATCCAGCGACATCCCACAACATTCTTCCCCGGAGGTAAAGATTCCACAGTGAAGGTCTTATTGAGCTCCTGATAATCGATACTCCTCATTCATAGCTCTCTTCCAAACAACAAAAGTTATAGCTTGCTCAAAAGTCTTAGGTTCCATCTCAAGAGTAACAGAGAGAGCAAAATGCTGATATGGAGAGTTGAATTTCGAATAAGAAAGAACAGAAGAAAGAGGATATCGGGAAGAGCCTTTAGGTGGAGAAGAAGAAATTTGAGTGAGAGGAGAAGAAGAAGTTTTAATGAGAGAACAATGGTACTCGGATAAGTAACCTGGAGTCCTGGGAGTGCGTTTTGGCCTAGTTTTAGGAGGCCCAACCGTATCTGTTCCTGCAGTTAAAGTCTCAGATAATGGAGCTACAGTACTAGTGTGTGATGCACGTGTATCTGTATGAGATGCATGATCATGACTAGATGATGCAGAAGTATCATGAGAAACAGGTCAGATGCAGAATGATCATGATTATGGGAAGAGACTGGAACATGAAGATATGCAGAATCAGGAAGAACATACACTGAATCAAGAGCAACAGGAGTAGACAAAGGTAAAATTGAATCCGAGAAAACCGTATCAGCTGAAAGATTTGAATAACTACTCTTGAAAGGAAAAAACATTTTCATGAAAAACGACATTATGAGAAATCGAAACAACATGAGTATCAAGATCAAGAACTTTGTAGCCTTTGTAACCAGTGGAATGACCAAGAAAAACACAAGAACTAGCTCTTGGAGAAAACTTGTGACAATCTTTTTGCAAAGTAGAAACATAACATAAGCAACCAAAAGATCGAAGAAAAGCATAATCTGGTTTCTGATGCAACAAAGTCTCATAAGGCGACAACTTTTTAAGAAGAATGGATGGGGTTTGATTAATGAGAAAACAGCAGTCAATACGCAATCACTCCAATATGCAAGAGGCAATTTAGATTGAAAGTGCAAAGCTCTAGCAACATTTAAGATATGCTGATGCTTTCATTCAACTACAAAATTCTGCTGAGGAGTATATAAGCACAAGAGAATTCTTGGATCAGAAACATCAAGAATTTGGTAACTCTGCTACGTTGCTGGAGTTTCTCCCAAAGAAGAGCAGCATTGCATTCATACTTTCCACACGTACACACAGGTAACTCTACATAATTCTTCAATTCTTTCCATAGAGTTACTAATTCAGTGTAATCACATCAACATGACCTTGCTGAAGAGAACCTAATTTCCGTTCGATTTCAAAGATCCTCGGTGCATCATCCTGTTTGAAACGCGAGACTAAATTCTTCCATAAAGCCTCAGCAGTCGAAATATACAATAAACTCTGGCCAATTTTCTTCGACACCGAATTCATAAACCAAGTAATGACCATATCGTTGCAACACGACCATGAACCAGCATCAGGATGATCAAGAGAAGGTCGAGGAACCGTACCATCAATGAAACCGAGCTTGTTGTGAACGTTCAGAGCCATTTGAATCGAACGACGCCAAGAGTGGAAATCAGCGCCAGGAGAGAGACGATCCGAGACCAACACTAATCCCACATGATCCTCAGCGGAGGATTATGCTAAGCATACCTTGTTGTTTGATGTTCGTTGATGCTCATTAACTTATTACTTTCTGAAATATAAATCGCTAGTGATAGTAATTTGTTTGCTTGTTTAATAACAATAGCGAGACTAACAAGCAAACAAGAGATCAATAAACAATAGCAACTAGAGATTACTTATTAAACAAGCAACCAGATTACCATCACTAGCGATTTCTTTTTCAGCAAGTAACAAGTGAATGAGCGGGGGCAATCCAGCGAGGGTCCCATTACCTAGGTGGCATTGCCTAGGTCCCATTCCCAGCTCTTTGTTCTTATGAGTCGAGCGATTGCGTGGTTGATCGCTTGCGGACTTGGTTCATCGAATTTGGCGGGGTACAAGGAGCTGGTGGCGAAATGGGAGGAGAGTGAAAACTATCCTCATGTGACGAGCTTGGTGGTGAAGAATTCATGTCGTGAGACAAGAGAGAGAAGAGGGAAACTTAAAGAGAGAGACGAGAGGATAGACTCTTGTGTCTTTGGTGGATGTAGATTATGAGGAGAAGAACTCCTTATTTATAGAGTTTTGTGGACTTAGAGGAGAAGCCAATGATCTAGAAGACATCCACATTAACTCTTGATTGGCGATGATTTAGGTATAAGTTTCAGAACAAGGAAATGAGTGTAGAATAAGTCAAGAAGACATTACTACTCTCTTTGACGAAGACGAAAATGTGATCTCAAGCGTGATCACCAAGTTTCTCTTGTGGGCTCTCTAACAGGCTTGGAAGAAGAGTTATTAAGGACTTAAACCCAGTAAGAGTTAAAGAAAATAATCCCAGACCGGATTACAAGAACCGGCATGTCACAATAAGTGTTAGATCTGAGATAGCACTCGTTAAGACGGGATATCGAAGATGTGAGTTTAGGAAACTTGAAGCTTGATTAACTCGAAGAATATCAAAGAGGTTACAAAGAAGGCAGCCTTGTCAATAGGTCTGACGAGACGGACAATGATGAACAAGAGGAAAAACGAAGTGAACTCTAAGCCTAGATTTCGTGTGAGTTATTCTGGATGATCCGAGATGCCTTTCCACGAATGGGAGGTCTTCATTATATAGTGTTGATAGGTCGGTTCCTCGATGAATATTTTCCCTTGGGCGAGATGGAAAACTTCCTCTTTAGCGATATGGAAAACTTCCTCTTGTCCTTGATTTCCTTCCATTCTTCGAGTTGGCATGAGGGTTTGTTTACATTTTCTCATGAATTGTGCATTTTTCCTCAAGTCTTGCCATTTTGTTGAGGAGGTTAGGACTAAAGTCGGATTGGGCTTTTATGACTTTACTAATGGTGACGGGCTCAGGAAAATGTACTAATTTTTCCTCTAACAATAAGTCCCTTAAGCAATCGATCTAAGAAATTTCTCAAGTTCCAGAAGTTTCAAAACATAATAAACATCAAGCAGATGTTCCACAATCAACATATTCATCACACCCACCGATCAAAACCTGCATAAGACACTCATCTTCTTCTTCTTTTACCCGAGCCTCCTTTGATCCATGCATAAGTACACTCCACAGGACCTCGATAATACTTCAGCTCGTTCCACAACGTCATAAAATTTGTGAAATATTCATTGATATCCATAGAGCCATGGTGCTTCAACTCCCTCAACTAACACTCGCATAGCCCTGAAAAGAAAAATCACATTCTTGGAGACCAAAATTGTATATATTCGCTTAGAGAGTTCACAAAACCATCTCACACAGTAAAGAGAAAGCTAAATTGTGACACCCGTCACCCGGACTCCCGAGAAACAACGGCGTATCAAGATTTAAGACATATGTTACAAGCTAAACCAGCTTAAACTGCGATGTCATAACCATGGTCCCAAATCCAAGATGTTCTTTAACAAAATCCACCAACTTATACTTGAATCAACACTTCTGTACCTACCTGCAAGAAAAGGAAACAGGGGGAGGGAAAAAGGAGGGGGATGAGTAATTTAGATTACCCAGGAGAATGAATCCTAAACCGGGCCCAACATACGAAACGCTATAAAACAAACGCCCAGCTTGGGCTAAAACAGCATCAAACAAGACGTCATCTATACAACGCCAAACTAGCACACATGCTGCATTACACAACTCATACCATGCAGTTCCACACATACGATGTGAACATAACTCATACGGTGCATCACCACACATACAATATATGCCACAACACTATATGAATCACCACACATAAGGTGTGTATCAACACACGCAGTGTATAACACATCATACGATATAGTTTCACAAGGACGGTGTATAACACGGCACACAGTGAATCACCACACACGCCGTGTATACAACACAAACCATGAGTCACCTCTCATACAGTATGTAACACCACACACGCTGTATAACGCAACAACCTCCTAGAGGGACTATACCCAACACGTAATATGGTCTGTAACGGTGATGTTTCTTGTCCAGCCAAGCTCAACCACGTGTGAAGCTACCAAATACCGGCACAACACCCCGTAGTATCTTGCTCCAGTAACTCAACACCCTGGATGTATCCGCGCATCACTGCGCACACCCCCGTGGTACAAAGCGCCACATCGCTGTCCGCCTCTCTTTCAAGACGCCTGACGCTCGTCAAGCCACCGACGATGGATTGGGGTAAGAGCAACCTTTATCTACCCCACATCCAGCAAACACCAACACCAAGCAAGAGGATCCACTATGGTGCGCCACACGCCTTCCACAATCCCTCCACCTTACTTGTGTTGCACGGTACCTTTAAACCGCCACTAACTAACACGCTTCTCACTAAGCGTCCAACATATATAACTTTATATATAAACATTTACATATATATATATATACATATACATTAACCATCACACACCACACTCAACAATGATCCTTTTAACTCAACCGTTTTAAATACCATATCCGATCATTAATTAATCCATATTCGATATATGTTCTTCAACACTCAACATCAGAAACTCACTTAACAATCAACATTTTATCCACAAATATTTATATAATCATATAAATATTAATACACAAAATAAATAAATATAATATTTAATAACATCAAGAATATATATTTATAAACCATAAATAATGTAACATACAATTTCTCATAAATAATAAGAGAAATTTTATGAAATACACTAACATAAATAAATAAACTAACAAAATAATATTAAAACAACTAACTAATAATGAAAATGAAAATTTATAATGGTCAGAGGCAAAAATGAAATTGAAAAAGAAACAATATAAATAGAAAACTAACAAAATAATTATTAAGGAACTAAATAATATTAAAAAAGAAAATTTTATAATGGACCGATCTTCTAATATAAATAGTTTAATTTTCCATGTTTTGTTAGGTAAAAAATATTAAAAATAAAGATTTCATCATGGAATAATCAAAGTTTCATAAAATAATGAGTCGATTAGATTTAGACACATGTAAATCTTTCTATTTCATATCATGAATTCAAAATAAAAATGTAAAAGACTATATATCTTTATTTAGAGATTTGTTATCGGGTTTTTAATATTATTTTCTTATTTTTAAAATTGATTAAGTTTTGTTTAATATTATTCCGTGATTTAAAAAATAAAAAATAAATCAACCCGCGTATACGCGGGGCCTAATCTAGTAAAATATAATTAAATAAATAAATAATTATATAACACAATATGAGTTTCTAAAACAATACTAGGGTTCACAAGCAACAAACAAGGTTATACTTGGTTTAAACCAAGTCTTAGCGTTAAATAATATAGAATAATGCATATTAAGGAATGGTGAAGATTCATCATCAGCTTAGCCTAAAACTGATCGGAACATGAAACGGACGTGACATCGTCAAAGGTGGAGATGGGTTGCTTGCTGCGCAAGAAAGACAGAGGTGCACTCTCAATCCTCACGGCTTGAGCTTGCGGCGGCAGATCGGAAGCTCCGACGATGATGGCTGCGACCTCCGGTGGTGTTCAGATAATGGTGGTGAAGATTGTGGCCGACGGTGATGACCGGTGGTCTCCGACGTTGGCTCCGTCATGGCTCTCGGTAAGTTTCCTCTCCTTCTGTCTTCCTCTTTTCCACCACGATCACTTTCCCTTTATCTATCTCTCTTTGTTTCACCTTCTTCTCTTCTCTTTCTCTCTCTCTGCTCTGGTTTCCTTCTCTCTCAAACTCTCCATTCTTTTCTCTTCCATTTTCTCTCGAGACGGCGTGAGATGGTGGAGGCGAGGGTTTTCCTTCGATACACACACTCACCAAATGTGCAATGACATGGGCTTTAGACGGGCCTTAGAAACTGATTTTAATTTCGGCCCTTTTTTGGAAATCTGGGATGTCACAACATTTCCACACTGAATTCGTCCCGAATTCTACGACCAAAGGTCTCCATTGAAAGTTCTTCATAAAACAGCAAGGTTAGCTCCATGTGGGTACACCTTTCTCTCCAGTATTTCGGCCATACGCACGAATCTCTGGCTATATCAACTCACATGTCCTAACTCCCTGAACCACTCAACCGGTCCCTTAGCGAAGACATACCGACATATAGACTAACCCAATAGTCTTAAACGACCTCAAAACGGAAAACACGAAATCCGGTTAACACCAAGAACACTCTTCTTAAAACCTCCAGAAGTTCAACTTTAACGCGACCACCACACAACGATTGAAGGAACAGAAGTAGATTCAAGTTAGGTTGGTGATTTGAAATTTCTTTTAAAACTTTGGGCCCAAATACTTTTGTAAACATTTTTCAGAAAAGGGTTTTAGTGAATTGACCCTCCGGGTCAGAACCGGAGTGGCCTTTCTTGAGCTCTGATACCAATTGTAACACCCGTCACCCGGACTCCCGAGAAACGACGGCATATCAAGACATCCGTTACAAGCTAAACCAGCTTAAACCGCGATGTCATAACCATGGTCCTAAATCCAAGATGTTCTTTAACAAAATCCACCAACTTATACGTGAATCAACACTTATGTACCTACCTGCAAGAAAAGGAAACAAAGGGAGGGAAAAAGGAGGGGGATGAGAAACTGAGATTACCCAGGAGAATGAATCCAAATCGGGCCCAACATACGAAACGCTAGAAAACAAACGCCCAGACTTGGGCTAAACAGCATCAAACAAGACGTCATCTATACAACACCGAACTAGCACACATGCTGCATTACACAACTCATACCATGCAATTCCACACATACGGTGTGACCATAACTCTTACGGTGAATCACCACACATACAATATATGCCACAACACATATATGAATCACCACACATAAGGTGTGTATCAATACACGCAATGTATAACACATCATACGATATAGCTTCACAAGGACGGTGTATAACACGGCACACCCAGTGAATCACCACAAGTCCGCCGTGTATACAACACAAACCATGAGTCACCTCTCATACAGTATGTAACACCACACACACTGTATAACGCAACAACCTCCTAGAGGGACTATACACCCACCACGTAATATGGTTTGTAACGGTGATGTTTCTTGTCCAGCCAAGCTCAACCACGAGTGAAGCTACCAAATACCGGCACAGTACCCCGTAGTATCTTGCTCCAGTAACTCAACATCCTGGATGTATCCACGCATCACTGTGCACATCCCGTGGTATAAAGCGCCACATCGCTGTCCGCCTCTCTTTCAAAGACGCATGGCTCGTCAAGCCACCGGCAATAGATCGGGGGAAGAGCAACCTTTATCTACACCACATCCAACAAACACCAACACCAAGCAAGATGATCCACTATGGTGCGCCACACGCCTTCCACAATCCCTCCACCTTACTTGTGTTGTACGGTACCTTTAAACCGGCACTAACTAACACGCTTCTCACTAAGCGTCCAACATATATAACTTTATATATAAACATTTACATATATATATATATACATATATACATTAACCATCACACACCACACTCAACAATGATCCTTTTAACACTCATCCGTTTTAGATACCATGTCCGATCATTAATTAATCCATATTCGATATATGTTCTTCAACACTCAACATTCAGAAACTCACTTAACAATCAACATTTTATCCACAAATATTTATATAACTTCATATAAATATTAATACACAAAAATAAATAAATAAATAATATTTAATAACATCAAGGAATATATGAATTATAAACCATAAATAATATCACATACAATTTCTCACAAATAATCACTTTAATTCACCCAATAAAATATAAATAATTAAATAAATAATTATATAATACAATATGAGTTCTTAAAACAATACTAGGGTCAGGGCCGGCTTATAGGGTAGTGCGAACGGTGCGATGCACAAAGGCCAATGCAAAAAAGGAAAAAAAAGTTAAATATTAAAGGGTCTATTTTCAGAAAATGTCATTTTTTAATATAGGTTAAAGGGCCTATTTCCAAAAGAAAATAACTTTTTTATATATAAAAAGGCCTATAATTTCTTAATCTTGCACATAGGCTTATCAAATTTTTGAGCCGATAGGGTTCACAAGCAAACAGGTTATGCTTAGTTTAAAACAAGTTTTAGCGTTAAATAATATATAATAACGCATATTAAGGAACGGTGAAAATTCATCCTCACCTTAGCCTAAAAGCTGATCGGAACATGAAACGGACGTGACATCGTCAATGGTGGAGATGGGTTGCTTGCTGCGCAAGAAACACAGAGGTGCACTCTCAATCCTCACGGCTTGAGCTTGCGGCGGCAGATCGGAAGCTCCGACGATGATGGCTGCGACCTCCGGTGGTGTTCGGATAATGGTGGTGAAGATGGTGGCCGACGGTGATGACCGGTGGTCTCTGACGTTGGCTCCGTCATGGCTCTCGGTAAGTTTCCTCTCCTTCTGTCTTCCTCTTTTCCACCACGATCACTTTCCCTTTATCCATCTCTCTTTGTTTCACCTTCTTCTCTTCTCTTCTCTTTCTCTCTCTCTCCTCTGGTTTCCTTCTCTCTCAAACTCTCCATTCTTTTCTCTTCCATTTTCTCTCGAGACGGCATGAGTTTGGTGGAGGCGAGGGTTTTCCTTCGATACACACTCACCAAATGTGCAATGACATGGGCTTTAGATGGGCTTTCGAAACTGATTTTAATTTGGGCCCCTTTTTTGGAAATCTAGGATGTCACATAAATCTTATACGCTTAGAGACACTCCAATATCACTGCGAAACACTGAATAAGCACTACGTAATGGAAGATTATCGATGATCATACCTCCTTTCTGGAAATTAACGGCGAAGATGTTAGACGTTGTTTCGTAGACGAAAGAGAGATGAGAGTTGTGTATCTAATAAATTAGGTTTCTTTCTCCGCGGAAAGTGGTTCGGGAAAAAATAAATAAGAAAAAAAATAATGTAATGGGCCTTGGCCTATCAATCGTTTATTTGAACCCTTGGGTTTAGTACCAACGACCAACTGTACCATGCAAATTCCGTATAAACCTGTATCATGAGGAACAATATTCGTACTAATATGCACTTAAAATCATACAAATTTCTAATGAGTAAAAGAAACTATGCATGCGTCCAACGAACAGTTGTTTAAATTTTTTGTATGTAACAAATTTACTTTAATATCCAAAATGAAAACGTAACTGCACAAGAAAGTGTTTGCTGGCAAAGAAAGAGAGGTTTTTGACACTACTAGGTAGAGATTGGTACGAAGACTTTCATAGTGTACATGGGCCGTAGACCATGGACCATGGGACGTGACACTATTAACAGCTATATCAAGTTAGCACTTGCAGTTTTTAACTCAGTTTTAAATTTACTAAAATATGAACGTAGTTTTGTATTATTGCTAAAGCCACAGTTCTATTTAGACCCGGATCGGTTTCGATATACTATATAGACATGTGCATTTCGAGAAGGGAATTCTGTTTCCTCCGGTACCATCTCAAATTTCACAAACTTTTCGGGAACAGGAAGTAATAGTCTCCTGTTTGAAAACATTTCTTTTATCTTAATAGGTAAAGAAAGGGTATAGGTTGGTATGATAAAGAAATAGATACCTGCATTACCGTGCATTTCAAAAAAGAATATTTTGTATAGTATATTTTGATTCCCGAATTTTCTTTTCCCATCTTAAACTCATCAATATCGGTCCCAAAACCCGAAATGCACTAAATTAAAAGTAAATATATTCACTTTTTATGACATATTTTATAATAGCTAATGGCCCGTAAATAGCGGGAGATTGGAAAGTTCTGAGTTTAGTTCTAAACTTCTAAAGTCAACAACGGATATTAAGATAAGTGGCCACATAGAAAAAAAATTGCGTATGTGTTTTAAGTTTATACCAATAAATTTAAAACTTGCATTTTTTTCCTTTGCTTATTTTCGTATGTGTTTGAAAACTAGTTAAACTATACATATGTTTGAAGATGTCAAACGTGTTCTTGACGTCTAAAAGGAAAAGTCAAATGCACGAGTATTGGGTTGCATCCACACCGTATATACGTGATACGTCCTTTGATATATATACTTCTAGTTATGAGATTATACTCGATAAAAAAAAAAGTGATAAGACCCTTGAACTTGAAATGTCTTTATCAGAATAATGACAATTGTATTGTAGAAGTACAATTAGTAACCTCCCTATATAAAGTTATCGAAATAAAATTCACACTTGCACCCAAAAGAATATATCGAAATAAAGTAAAAAATGCACCTTAGACCATATAACTTGCTTTATCATGATAATGACAGTTAGTAACACAATTAACAATCTTCCTATATAAAATATCGAACTAAAGTGCATCTTAGACTCTTCACCTATTGGCTAGTAACAGATCTAATAGTATAAGACTAGTCCATTAAACATTTGGGCTTACGAGGAATCTTCCGAGGAATCTGTCTCTCCATATGAATCAGGAATCCTCGCATATTAACACTAATAAAATAAATTTAACTAGACAAAAGTACAAATATTATCATATTTGTGTGTACGGCTTTTGGTCATTTTGATAGGACGAGGACTAAAATTTCAATTAAAAGCGACTGTTGAAGGCTTGAAGCTAACCAGAAGACCAAAGTGAGCAATGACACGAATAGCAAAAGCCATTTTCTTCGTTCCGCTGTCTCCTTGAAGGCCACCAATTTCTATATGCTCTAATCTGCGTTTAATAAATTAGTCCTCCTTGATTTGATCATGTATTAGTTTCGAATCAATTCTTGTGTAAAGGCTACTGGACATTTAGATTAACTAATATTTGTCTTCAATAATTTGTGGAATCTAACGGGGAAATAAGGCCTATAAGATCTTACTAAACAAAAATTGTTAGATTTTATTACATCGGTGTCTCTTATATTCGTTTATAGTTTTATAATAATGTTATCACTAAACGGCGTGATTATATGAGTAAACGTGCGTAATCTGTATATAATATGCATTTATGGTTATGCATTTTATTAAAATATCAACTACGTCGTTTTTAATGGTAACCTTTAGAGGAGGAACACAATGAATGAAAAGTAAATGAAGAATATCAACATTTTGGTCAAAAAAGAAGTAAATGAAGAATAACATATACTATGAAACTTTAATTCCTTTCTATATTTGATGAGTAATATGCATTTATGGTTATGCATTTGATTAAAATATCAACTACGTCGTTTTTAATGGTGACCTTTAGAGGAGGAACAAAATGAATAAAAAGTAAATGAAGAATATCAACCTTTTGGTCAAAAAAGAAGTAAATGGAGAATAACATATACTATGAAAGTTTAATTCCTTTCTATATATGATGAGTAATATTTTTACATTAAAATTCTCAAATCAATAAGGAATAAAAAAATTAAAAATGTATGAGAGGGAATAAACATAATTGTGAACTATTATAAACCACCTAGATTACTTAGCGGACTTCTCTTAGTCACCAACTCACCATTCAAATCAACATGTACATGTTTTAATCTACGAAAATTATATGTTTCAAAAGCCAATAACCTAATATTAAAACAAATGAAATCCTTCTTTTGAGTGTAACTAAGTATGTATTTAACTATGAACAAAATCATTTAACAATAAATCTATAAATAAATGATAATCTTATATATAATAGGAGAGTTGCTCTCTCCATCTAGAGTGTCCACATCAGCACAAAAACATTAAATTGTATTTAAATTATTTATTAAATATATGACTATTCATATTTCTTTACATTTATTCATATTTAATAAAAATATACAAATAAATTAATTAATTAATAGAAAGTATGTGATAATTTGATGTTAAAAGTTATCAAAAAGTTGGAATATAAAATAGAGATGGAGTAAAGAAATATTTAACTTCAAATAGTATATATTTACCTTTTTATTCAAAGGATTTATCCTATTTAAAAATGTTATAATGTGTTTACAAGTTAAAAAGTTGAATATAAATTAATTAAGATAATAGAAAGCTAATGAAACATTAGAGTTAGAGTTTGTTTTTCTAAACAAATAGAAATGGAGTTTTATATGTAAATTTAATTGTAGTGAAAAACAAGAATATGTTTACAAATTTTAACCTTCAGTCAAATGCATATACATATTTATAAATTTTAACCTTCAATCAAATACATATACATGTTTACAGTCTAATAGAAAAAAAAAAGTAAACAAACATAATATTTATAACATGATAAATTTTAGAAATAGAAAACTCGAGATAAAGCGGGGTGTTAATATCCTAATAAATTAAAATAAAAACAAATTATTCATATTTTTTAGTGTTAGTGGTTGAGTTAACTCAAAACATAACAAAAACATGAAAGTTAATACAAAACCATCATAATTCAAATCAACGAGTATAAATAAAATTAAACAGAAAAACTATCGCAAACAACCCCGCGCTTGCGCGGGGCTTCAAACCTAGTACCTCGCCCTTTCAATAGTACCCCTTCATCAAGAGCACAAGCCTCAACACTAAATCTAATTATGCCAATTTGCATCAAGTGCCCTCTAATCATAACATTAAGTTCATCCCCAAAATAGCAAATAACCATCAAAACTCCCACGTATATATATTGCTCAATCATGCTTTTAAGGATCTATCGAGACTCTCTTTTTTTCCTCAACACTATGAAACAAATGTTTCTAGACTTGTACCTCTTTCTTCATCAAGGATATTCAAGTTTGTTCAAAATTGCTCCAAAGTTGGGAAATATCGAGGGTTGCGATCCATTATTATCATATATTGGTGAGTTCAGTACTCCATTGACTTAATTCTTAATAAGAGGCTGTAGCTTTTCTTGATATTGTCTCGTTATTCAGCTCATTTGAATATGTATGTTTTACGGGTTAGGTTCTTTTATCTTAGAAAAATTAAATGTTTTAAATCAACAGCAACTATATGTATGTTGACTTGACCTCAGTGTTTTTGTTTTGGATGTTGTGTTTTATATCCAAAAAAAATGGATGTTTTGAAATTGGAAAATAATTTTTTGTTGTTGCATTAACGATATTTCTCATACTATTTAGACTGAAGAACTAGTTAATGCTAAAATCACATTTTGCTATTAGGTTACAGAGTATGCATTATAAAAAAAAACTTTAACGTTTTTCCTCTCTTCCTCATCGTGTGGTTTTGCAACATATTTTCACAATGCTCTAGATCTTACTTTATCATCCCCGTTGTCCCAAGATTACGAAAATATTATTAAATCTGATCTAGGATTCAGTTTCTGGCCTTGCCTTTTGATGCCACTCTATAGTCAAATAGTTAGCTCAAGTTTTAATAATCATGTTGGGTATGATTCATAATCGTAGATCGACTAGACATAATCTCCTGAATTAATTTGGCCAATATAAGGTACAAATGCATGTGACTATATTAATAATTTAATAGTAGTTTACTACGTGAATACGTGATCATATAATAATAATGAATACTCCCACCAAATAATTTAGAAGGTCGTCTGTGTATAAATAATAAATCTATACTCTAAACTTTAACACACAAAAAAACTAATACCCTAAACTTATCCACTTGATTAACTCTGCTACCAGTTTGGATCCCCTCTATGAACACAGGCTATTGACAAAAGAAAATAAAAAATTATCCACTTCTTCAATTAGACAAGCTAAGGTAAAAGCAACTAAATCGACCCTTGCTAGACCAACTTAATTAAGACATACCTCCATTGTCACATAAAAATGCTACTATATGGCTGTGATTTTTTTGTTATTACAGAATTTAAGTATAGTTTGTTTTTTCAAAACGAAAAAGTGATCTAAGCACCTAACCAATACGAAAAGTGATTTAAGTTTAGTTTGTTTAAAGGTCATAGGATCGAGTGCCGTCTGGGACAAAATTAATATTAAATGATGTGGTTTTGGGTTTAGGATGATATGCGGATTTCGGCCCAGAACCTCCTAATATTTTTTTTTTAAATGATCTAAGCTTTTACCTTCTGATTAATTTCTTTAAGGTGAGTTAATCATACTCACCAATTATTTTAATACTCCCTCGTTTCTTATTATTTGATGTTTTGTAGTTTTCACATGGATTAAGAAACAATTAATGTTAAATTATTAGTGTATTACTTTTTCATTTTAAATAACTACTAGCCAATAAAAATTTTAGAATTGTCTTGAAATTTATATTTTTGTTGCATTAGTTAACCAAAAGTACATTTCATAGTCTAAAACATCAAGTAATAAGGAACAAATTAAAAAAGCTAAAACATCAAATAATAAGGAACGGAAGGTATACTCACCAGTTAATTTCTTAAGTGGGTTTTAATTCAAGATTGTTTATAAAAAACCTAGAGAAAATTATTAAAATAGATAGGTATCTCAAAGTATCATGAACCCCTATTTACCTCATAATTAAAGATAATCACAATTATACTCCCTTCTTCGTAAACTAACGACTTAATGAAGAAAAAGGGTTAAACAGAGAGTGAATATTAAAAACTCGCATCCAAATAGGCGATTTGGTGGTTTTCCCACTTTCGAACCCTAGTTTGCTTGCAGATCGGAGGCTCTGCCTCACCCTCCTATCCCACCAGATCCAAACTCTTTTGCATTCAACTGAAGTGGAGATGCATGATTCTCCAATTTCACATGTCATTAATATTTCAGGCGGTGCAGTTCCGTCGACTTTCACAGCCTCAAATTCTTTGGGGTGTGGCTCTGGTATTAATTGGGCTAAGAATCTTAGCGCTGCTAGTAAAATTCCTGAATCCGCAGCTCCAGTGTCGATTTCGGATTCAAGCAGGCCTTCCGTCAAAGTATCGAATGAAGTTTTCGAGCGAGGAGCTAAACTACACAGCGATTTTATTGTTGAAATCTTTTATTGGAAGCCTCCTTCGTATGGCAAGATCTGGGGTGTTCTCAACTATCTTTGGGGAAATGACAAGCGAGTTGCGATACATAATCTGACAAAAAAACGCCTTCCTTTTTCATATTCCTTCTCCATCTCTTCGGAAGAAGATCTTGCAACATGAGTTATGGAGAGTTGGGGACTCTCCTTTCTTCACTGAGTGGCGATCGGAATTTAGTTTCAACCCGCCATCTCTTGATTGAGCTCCGGTTTGGGCTTATATTCAAGGTATCGCCTTTGATTTAATAACACTAAAAGGATTGGGGATTTTTTGTCGTTCTTTGGGCAAAGGAGTGGACTATAAGCCATTTAAGAGCATCATTTCTGCTGAGGTTAAAGTTGTTGTGGATCTGACCAAACCCTTGCCTCCTCAGGTTGGATTAGAAGGAGACGATGGTAAGATTCTGATTCTCCAAGTGTCTTATCCCTGGCTTCCACCTTCGTGTTCTCTCTGTGGAGAAATTGGTCATAAGGACTCTTTGTCCTCGAGTTTATGGTCCGGAAAATAAACCTCGAGCATATGATCCTGAAAATAAGCCACGATATAATGATAAGAACCGATCTAGTGCTTCTCCTTCAGCACTCTCTCAGGATTCGAAGAAGGAGAACACATCCCACAATGAGCAAAAACCATCTTGGAAGCCGGTGATCCCGCCTTCAAAAAATTCTTCTTCCACTGAAGGGCAAAGCTCAGCTTCTGCGCTAGTTGTGCTACCAGACGCAAAATCTTCTTCTGGTCATTCTCCAAGCACGGTCCAGAAGGGAAATCTCTTGTCAGATAAGGCTCCGATGGATTTGGTCGTTGTTAAAAAATCCTTTCATCCACCTCAGAAACCTCTTCATCCAAAGCCTTCTACGTCGCCCTCATCTTTAATCACCCAAACATCTAATCCCTTAGATATCCTTCAGGAGGATAGTTTGGCTCTGAGTTTTTCGGATCGTCCTACTAAACACGCTAACAACGATTTTCCGTCTAGTGCTTCGAAGAAAAAAAGGAAGGTTACTTCTTCTTCTGTGACAGTTTCGCAAGATGATCACCCTCCTCTTGGGGTGATGCATCACACACCTTAATCCCCATATGTCTAACATATATTTTTGGAACGTGCGTGGTTTGAATGAAGTTTCTAAGCATCGTCCTCTCAGGAACTGGATGTACAGTAAATCAGTTTCCTTTGGTGTGCATCTCGAGACGCATGTTGGCGAAGTAAATATAAGCCATATATTATAAGCCTTAGGCCCTCAGTGGTCCCTCATATCAAATTATGATTTTCGGAGTTAGGAAGGATCTGGATTATCTATAAAGATCCTATAGAAGTTTGTGTCCTTTTCAAAGATCATCAATTCATTACTTGTGAGGTTCCTGTTGGAGAATGAAGAACCTTTTATCTATACAGCAGTTTACGCTTCGAATCTGGAGGAAGAGCAAAGACTTTTGTGGGAATCCCGAAAAGATACAAAATCTTTTCACCTGTCGCAGAGAGTTTGGCTGGTAAATGGTGATTTTAATGAAATTATCTACCCGTTCGAGACCTCTAATCCAAATATTCACCAGTCTACTCGGGGAATGCAAGATTTCAGAGACTGTTTGGCAGTTTCAGGGCTTTTTTATCTTCCGTTCCAAGGCCCTTGTTTTACTTGGTCGAATCACCGACTAGAGGATCCAATTGGAAAGAAGCTAGATTGGTGTCTTATCAATGATTCATGGCTCTTTTGTTACCCGGCAAGCCATTGTTCCTTTGAATCCCCAGAGTTTTGTGATCATTGTCCTTGTCTTATACGACTTGGCCTTTCAGGTTTTTCAACCTCCTGACCAAGCATTAGAGGCAGGGAATATGGCTGGGAATCTTAGAGATTTCTATTTTAAACTAAAATAGTTGAAGAGACCTTTGAAAACTTTGTTCAAAGATAACTTCAGTGATATAGAGAGAAGAGTTTATGAAGTTTCTTCTGCATTATCTTCTCTTCAATTGAATTCTCTAAATGGTCCTTCTGAAGTTAATCTATTGTTGGAATCTCAAGCTAAAGATCTTTGGTTAGGCTTGCGTGCAGCTGAAGAGAGTTTTTTCAAGCAGCGCTCACGCATCAAATGGTTGGATGAAGGAGACTTTAATACTAAATTTTTCCACACGATCACTACTGCGCACAACACTAATAACTCTATCAAGCAGCTTATGCAACCGGATGGTACTAAAACTTCTTCTCTCCAAGAAGTTCATGAGACGGCGGTTGGTTATTATACAGCCTTCCTCACTACTATTCGCGGTATCTTCTGTCTGGATCTACCGCGATATTTAGAAACTTTTATAACCACTTCTTGTTCCAATATACATCAAGGTTTTCTCTCTCTTCCGTTCAATGTGGAGATGGTTAGGTGATGTTTATTCAAAATGCCTTTAAACAAGACCCCTGGGCCAGAGGGGTTTACCGCAAAATTCTTCTAAGCTACTTGGGATATCTTGGGTTCTGAAGTAGCAGTCTCTGTTCTGAACTTCTTTGAATCTAACTTCATCCTAGTTCTTTGAATTCCACATCTCTGGTCCTCATCCCTAAAAGACCAGGTGCACAGGAGCTCAAAGATTTTGGAACCCATTGCTTGCCTCAATACTCTCTACAAGATTATTACAAAGCTGTTATCAGAGAGGCTTAAGATCATTTCCAAATCAGACAGCCTTTATCAAGGAGTCTTTTATTGGAGAATGTTCTTTTAGCCTGTTATGCAAGGATATCATAAAGAAGGTATTGAAAGCCATATCACTCTTAAGGTGGATATTTCGAAAACTTTCGATTCAGTAAGATAGGATTTTCTCCTGGGTGTTCTTCAGGCATACAAATTCCCTTCTTCCTTCGTTAAATGGATCAAATGTTGTGTTTGCTCTCCATCTTTTTAGGTGAGCATTAATGGAGTCACTTCTGGTTATTTTAGAGGGAAGACTGGATTGAGACAAGGTGATCCCCTTTCACCTGTCCTTTTTGTCTTGATCATGAATGTCTTGTCCTTTATGCTCAATAAGGCGATTGTGGAAGGGTTTTTTGGTTATCATTCGGGTTGTGAGGATCTACAGCTTACCCATCTTTGTTTTGCGGATGACTTATTCATTTTCTAAGAGGGTTCTGAACGTTCATTGCGAGGTGCCTTTCAGTTTTTTTTCGCTTTTGAAAGGATGTCGGGTCTTGGGATCAATCTCCAGAAGACCTCAATGTTTTGCCAAGGTTTAGACAGTGTTTCCCTTGATAGTATTAAATCTCTGTTTAACTTGAAAGCCTTATCTCTCCCTATTCGTTATCTAGGACTGCCGCTTTCTTCGAAGAAGCTTACTATTGATGATTATGATCCTTTGCTAGCTCTGCTTCAAAAGAAGCTTAACTCATGGACAAATAAGCTTTTGAGTTTGGCTGGTCGACTATCCTTGCTTTCTTCAGTTATCTCAGGGATTGTAGGATTCTGGACTAGTGCTTTCATCCTTCCAAAGAAGGTTATCAAGTGGATCAATAGTATCTAGTTCTTCTGGGGCAAATGTTGTTTGGAAATTGTTAATATTTCTGAAGGATGAAGGAGGGCTGGGCATTAAGGATATTGAGAGCTGGAATAATGCTTATGCCCTGAAACTGATATGTATGTTGTCTTTTCGAGCTTGTTCAATCTGGGTTGATTGGATTAGACGAAGATATATTTCTACTTCCCTTTTATGGGCATTAAACGATAAGAACTATTCTTATTTGTGGATGTTTAGAAAGATCTTGAAGCTTCGTCCAACAGCCATTCAGTGTGACGAATTAGACTTGGTAATGGGGACTCTACTTTCTTTTGGTGAGATCCTTGGACTCGCTTTGGCCATTTACATGCTTTTTTGGTGAGGAAGGACCTTCTCGCTTAGGGATCTCTCTCTCTGCAACGGTTTATGATGTTTGGAGTAACAATGATTGGATTCTGCCTGCTGGCACGTACAGAGTGTCAGGTTACTCTTCATTCCTTTCTTCTAACCGTTGGCTGTTCCTCTCAAAATGATAGTCCTATTTGGTTAATCAACAGTTCAACTCAGCGATCTTTCTCATTAAAAATGGTGTGGAATGAGATTAGGCTATCCAAGCCTGAGGTAGCATAGGCATCATTACTTTGGCACAAAGATGGTCTTGTTCGTCATCAGGTTGTTCTTTTTCTTCTTAATCGGAACCCAACCATGGACTGTACGTCTTCTTAGGATATGAAACAAAGGGGCTATGTCTGCTTTGTGGATCAGAACTTGAAACTCGAGATCATTTGTTTTTTTAGTGTTCTTTTTCTGCTTTTGGAGAAGACTCACTCTCCACCTTAATATCCGTAATGCCGAATTGGAATTCTCTTCTCAATTGGCTTCTTGTTACTCATTTGGACGTCCCAACAAGGCTTGCTTTGCTTCAAGGTTGGTAAGGAGCTGTTTATGAGCTTTGAAAGGAACGTAATCGAAGAATGCATAATGGAGTTACTCTTTCCCATGGACAAGTGTTCAGACTGATTCTGTCTTCCGTCATGGATAAATGCTATGCTATGTGCATTTTGGGTTCTTCACAAGGAGATTTGATTCTCCAAAAGTGGTCTGACTCCAATGGATTTGGATGATCTTTGTTTTTCTCCTTTTATTTCTTTATTGTTTTTTTTTTTGCTGTAAAGTCTATAATTGCTTTTCTATAGTTTTCTCTCTATTATAAATGCAAGAAAACTCTTTAACAAAAAAAAAAAAAAAAAAAAAAAACTAACGACTTAATGAAAACTGGTATTCTGAATATGTCCATCGCAACATTTTTAAAACCAGACTAAATAGGTGGTTGGACCGGTTTCAACTATAAACCGGTAACATCTACGGCTTACATGAATAATTATACCTGTTAAAAACCCGAGAATCCGACCAACAAAAAAACAAAGACTGGTTTAGGTATTCAGCTACGTGCACTAATGTCAATTATTCTGTATCACATATGTGAATCTCCGATGAAGACAGGGATTTCGTAAGAAATAAGTACAACAAATAAATTAATATATGGAAGCTTTTGGAGTATCTCAAGTGTGTATTTCCACTTTGGTTGTTTTGTAGAGACAAAAACAAATTAATTGTAGTGCCCTTTGAATACTTTAAAAGGGGATATTCCCACAACCTATTATACTAGTTTTAGTGGATACGAATCTTCACCTCGTATTATGTTAATTGAAATACTTGTATAGTAAGACCAAATAACAGATGCTATGCATTAGTATTACATAAAAATGAGTTGTGGTTAGTCTATTTTATTTAGATATTATTCTGATGAATTGCATATTATCCAGGGGAGTCGGGTCATCATGAATTCGTATTAGCTTTGGTCGTTATTTACCACTCAAAAGAATAATATGCCTGACATTGTAAGGACATCGCGGTTTCTCCTTCCGGAGACACCTACTTCCGGTTACTCCATATATTACTCCATGATTATGTCATGGAGGATTTTCTGTAAGCATTATAACATAATGTATTCATATGTCAAACACTATTTGTTTGAATGAGAAATGGTTGTTTCGAAGTTAGTTGCTTGAAAGCAAAAAATAGAGAAAGCGGTTTTTGTCTCACATTAAAAGTTGGGAAAAATCTCACTAGTAAAAGTGTTCCGTAGCGTCTGATTTGCTAGATACAACCTAATTTAAATGATACCAAAAGAGATATGAATTGTAGAAGGTTGATCGAGGTTCCCCACGCAAGGTTGCAAAGGGCTTTGCGATGAGAACGAACACTTTGTTTAAAGAGACACACTTGTCATAAAACAAGAGTAAAGACAAAGTCACCTGACGGCAGAGTGAGCCAGAAACAGAAAACTTAGTTCCAATAATAATATACTCCCTCCATCACATAATGTAGCAGTTTTAGTTTAAAGCACAAAAATAAAGAAATTTATTTTGCTTTTAAAAATTATCATTTAAAGTGGCAGTCACTTACATTTTAAACCTCGAGAGTTTTTAACTAACACTTTAAACCATCAGGTTGAAAACCTTAACAAAAATAACCTTCTATCTGACATTTATGTTCATACCTATAACTGTTTCATCCATATTTTTAATTCTAATGCCAAAATATTATTCTCCGACAATAGTACATTGGCTTTAAGACACAAACTAACCATAATTGTCTTTGTTTTCACATTTAACTATTGTTTATGCTATATGATACATCTTGTTGTATGTACTAAATTTTCAGTTTGAAGGTTCAAATTGCATAAACTCAAGCATATTTGATTAGAGAACCATTATACTATTGTCGGAGAATATTATCTTGTTATCTAAGTTGAAAATATCGTCAAAAAATTACCGGTATAAACATAAGTGTTAGATTGAAGGTTATATGTGTTACAATTTTCAGTTTGAAGGTTTAAAGTGCAAGTTATAAACTCTCGAGGTTTAAAGTGTAAGTGACTGCCACTTTGAAGGTTTGTTATGTAATTTTCCCTAAAAACAACTGCAAATTATAACTGGTCACACAATATTCAATAAAGTAAAAAGTGTATTGAAATGTGAAAACTGCTTCTATTGTGAAACAAAATTAAAATTTTAAAACAGTTTATATTTTGAGACAGAGAGAGGACAGAGGGAGTATATAAGAAGAAACCATTGCTTTGAAATATCTGTATGTTTTCCCATTTCTATTCTCTGAGTAGCATTTGGAAAGGAAAGAGAGTGATAAATTCTTGAATTCTTGTAGAAGAAAAAACGGTAACCAAGATTCAATGGTTTATCGATTTTCTTCAATAATGGCCAATGCTTTTATTTATGACACACTTGAAAAAATAAAATTCAAAAATTAAACAATAAATCAACTCTTAAAAAGTACTCCTTTTGTTCTTTAATAATCGGATTTTTATATAAAAAAGGGTGGCAGTATAAGTAGGGTTTACTTATTTCAAACCAAAAAAAAATTATATTTTGTTGTTTTGACGTTTTAAATTTTGTATATTGAAATTTTACTGGTTGAATTGGAATTATGATAAAACATCTTTTTTTAGGAATTAAAAAAAAAAACAAAATTTAATTTGTGTGCATAACTCTAAAACCCTATTTATTGGAGAAATGATAGAATAAGAAGAAAATACATCAGTTTTGACGTGTGGTCTAAATCTTGGCCTTTCAGGCGATTACTCGGCCGATTGCTTGCTATCTGCGCCGCGAGCATCCCGAGCCAAAGTCCCATGAACCCGAACCTAACCGGCCAAAACGTCAACACAATCCCCACCGGTATCCCAACCCCATAAAACGCCGCCATGTTAATGTTAGCTCCAATCTTCAGCCTCGCCGATCCTCTAAGAACGCCGCATCCCGTCGTCTGAGGACAGTTTCCGAGCTCTCGGCAGAACCATCGTCGTAAGCCTGATGATCTCCTCGTTATCCGTGAAAAGCCCAGCCCATATGTTCCTCACCGAGAATGTGAACGTCAGAGCCATGAAGCCGAGTGCGACGCTTACACCATTGCTTTGAAACCATTGAAAAAACCATTGCTTTGAAACCATTGCTTTGAAATATCTGTATGTTTTCCCATTTCTATTCCCTCAGTAGCATTTGGAAAGGAAAGAGAGTGATAAATTCTTGAATTCTTGTAGAAGAAAAAATGGTAACCAAGATTCAGTGGCTTATCGATTTTCTGGCCAATGCTTTTATTTATGACACAATTGAAAAAACAAAGTTCAAAAATTAAACAATAAATCAACTCTTAAAAAGTACTCCTTTTGTTCTTTAATAATTGGATTTTTATATAAAAATGTGTGGCAGTATAAGTAGGGTTTACTTATTTCAAACCAAAAATAAATTATATTTTGTTGTTTTGACGTTTTAAATTTTGTATATTGAAATTTTACTGGTTGAATTGGAATTAGTGCTAAAACATCTTTCTTTAGGAATTAAAAAAAAAACAAAATTTAATCTGTGTGCATAACTCTAAAACCCCATTTATTGGAGAAATGATAGAATAAGAAGAAAATACATTAGTTTTGACGTGTGGTCTAAATCTCGGCCTTTCAGGCGATTACTCGGCCGATTGCTTGCTATCTGCGCCGCGAGCATCCCGAGCCAAAGTCCCATGAACCCGAACCTAACCGGCCAAAACGTCAACACAATCCCCACCGGTATCCCAACCCCATAAAACGCCGCCATGTTAATGTTATCTCCAATCTTCGGCCTCGCCGATCCTCTAAGAACGCCGCATCCCGTCGTCTGAGGACAGTTTCCGAGCTCTCGGCAGAACCATCGTCGTAAGCCTGATGATCTCCTCGTTATCCGTGAAAAGCCCAGCCCATATGTTCCTCACCGAGAATGTGAACGTCAGAGCCATGAAGCCGAGTGCGACGCTTACACCATTGCTTTGAAACCATTGAAAAAACCATTGCTTTGAAACCATTGCTTTGAAATATCTGTATGTTTTCCCATTTCTATTCCCTCAGTAGCATTTGGAAAGGAAAGAGAGTGATAAATTCTTGAATTCTTGTAGAAGAAAAAACGGTAACCAAGATTCAATGGCTTATCGATTTTCTTTAATAATGGCCAATGCTTTTATTTATGACACAATTGAAAAAACAAAGTTCAAAAATTAAACAATAAATCAACTCTTAAAAAGTACTCCTTTTGTTCTTTAATAATCGGATTTTTATATAAAAATGTGTGGCAGTATAAGTAGGGTTTACTTATTTCAAACCAAAAATAAATTATATTTTGTTGTTTTGACGTTTTAAATTTTGTATATTGAAATTTTACTGGTTGGAATTAGTGCTAAAACATCTTTCTTTAGGAATTAAAAAAAAAACAAAATTTAATCTGTGTGCATAACTCTAAAACCCCATTTATTGGAGAAATGATAGAATAAGAAGAAAATACATATCTACCTAAAGACCGCGGTTCGCCCTAATTCTCTCCCAGGCACACCGACCGAGGTAGCCGCCGCCGACGCAACTCACTCCTCAGATGAGTCTCCGACCTAGCCTTACCTCCGGCCGTTCGTCCGTCTAGCTCCGCCGAAGCCGCTGTTCCGTCTGGTCGCCGCAGAGGCTGGTCGGAACCCGGTTCCCTTCCCTCGTCGCCTCCGCTTCCCGACGAGCTTTCCCTTCTTCATGCTTCAGACGATGCGTCCTCGCCACTGTGAAGATCCACCGTCGGATCTAGATCCAGTGAAGACGGCCTCTCCTCCGCCGGCTCAACTCTCTCGGTCTTCGTCGGTGAACTTCTCCAACCCTCCCGACCCACCAGATCCGCCTGACCCGCCGGACGATTTTGGATCTAGGTTACCATCTCATCTTCTCTCCTTCCGCAGAGGGCGGTTCCTTCCTTTGCGGTTTTGCTTGAGAGCTCGCTAGTCTTGCCGAGGATCCATTCCGGATCCGCTTCTTTTACATCTCCTTTCATCATGATCCTCATCGACTATTCCTCCACCATATCTCTAAGCTTTGCCCATACGAAGCTTCATGTCCTACTCCTCGCCGGCGAAGGGACACCGGGATCTTGGATTCCCGGTACGGTCAATTTGCATATCTTGTTCCGGCGTTGTAAAAAGGTTATCGCGTTATCGTCGATCTGCACCTCTCTCCGAGCTTCATCGTTTCTATTTTGGGTGTGGCCCATATTGACCATCGTGGGTCTCCTCTACTCATCTCTGCTTCTGCTCGGCTCAGTCTCTCATTCTCATAATCTGCTGAATTCAGTTAGCGCCGGAAGCTCTTGTGCCAGGATAATTTCATCTTCCATTTTTTTGGTAATGTTTATTATCTCAAATTCCTCTACTGGCATGGAGAGATCTATTCAATCTTCCTCCTCCTTAGGGGAGAGAAATTTTCCACACCTTCCCTTCTCTATGAGAAGTGGTTTATTCTCGATTCCAAAATCGATGAACTTTTACAACATCCTCACCGTATTGTCATCTTGTGGAACGACCTGCACGGGGTCTCAAGATGTAACCGGATTCGTTTCACGAAATTCGGAGGTAGGAGCTGTTCTTTAACGTCACATCACAAAGTGACTAGGTTACAATTTTCCGGCTTGGCCGTGAAACCTCTTCTGACGCATTGGAGCTCTGCTTTTAATTCGCTGTCTTATGAAGATTTATCTTGTTTAATTTCTAGTTTAGCTATGCTTTATTGTATGATTTCAAGAGGATGCTTAATTCCCTCTTTGCCTTGTAGCCCCCAGATGGACCATTTGTTATACTTGGTTTTATGTATAATATTTAAAACCACCACATTTGCAACGACGAAATCTTTTGGATGTTAATCATTCTCAAACATGATTACATTATCATCAAATGATTTACTTCCAATAAGAAAAAAAAAAGTTGCTAAATTATTCCAATAGAAAGTCATATGAAACAGAGCAATTTACTATATCACTCTTAAAGACTTCATTTGACTCATTCCCTCTTTAATTTATCAGCAGCCCCGCCTCCAAATCATCCCCACTTCCGCCGCGATCCACCGCCGTGAGCTCCCTAGCCCTCTCCGCCTCCAATTCCCAATCAGTCTTACACGTTGCCATCATCATACCAACCACACAAGCTATCTGCGCCGCGAGCATCCCGAGCCAAAGTCCCATGAACCCGAACCTAACCGGCCAAAACGCCAACACAATCCCCACCGGTATCCCAACCCCATAAAACGCCGCCATGTTAATGTTAGCTCCGATCTTTGGCCTCGCCGATCCTCTAAGAACGCCGCATCCCGTCGTCTGAGGACAGTTTCCGAGCTCACAGAGCCCAACGATCGGCAGAACCATCGTCGTAAGCCTGATGATCTCCTCGTTATCCGTGAAAAGCCCCGCCCATATGTTCCTCACCGAGAATGTGAACGTCAGAGCCATGAAGCCGAGTGCGACGCTTAGACCGAGTCCAACAATGGCCGCTTTTCTCGCTCTCTGCGGCTGGTTCGACCCCAGCTCATTCCCGACGCGAGTGGACACTCCGAAGCTCAGGGAAGAAGGGAGAATGTAAACAAGGGAAGTGATTTGGATGAGAATCCCCATGGAAGCAACGGTCGCTTGTGGGTATAAGAGATACCCACAAAGAACGATCATAATCTCATAGCACCACCACTCGAGACAAACCGATACACAGCTCGGTATCGCCAGCTTGATAAGCTTCCTCCATTCTTTCTCACTGTCTTCCTCATAAGACTCCTTTGAAACCTCCTCTGCCTCCTCGTTGTTACTCTGTTTTTCCTCGAAGAAAGCGATGTAGAGGAACAGAGACGCGACAAGGTTGAAATTTGAGACGACGCCGCTAAAGGCGAGACCTTTGAGCCCCAAACCGAGGTACGAGACGAGGAGGTAGGTGATGGGAAGGTGAAGAACACTCGCGATCGCTGTGCAGATCGATAAAGGCACAGTCTTTGACTGCGTCCTGAGATAGACTCTCAACGGGTGTAAGAATGATTGTGCGATGAGATCTGGAACAGAGTAAAGCAGAAAGACATGTGCTTCGCATGCGAGCTTCTTGTCCTGTTTCAGCATTACGAGGATCGTCTCGATGTTGACCCAGAGAAGCGAGACGGGGATGGATGTGAAGAGGAGGAGGATGATTCCTCGCCGGATTGTTGCTCCGACGAGGTTGTAGCGTTTGGCGCCGAAGGCTTGAGAGCAGATGGATTCGACGCCCATGGTTAAACCGGAGAACAGAGAGTAGCCGGTGATGTTGGCGAATGCGAGGGCGAGGGAGCCGCCGGCGAGAGTGTTGCCACCGAGGTACCCGAGGAAAAGCATGGAGATGAAGGATCGGAGGTAGAGGAGGCCACCTGTCACGACCAATGGGAAAGAGATTCTGCCGATGGAGCTTGATTCATTCACGAAGATGGTGAGAGCAGCAGCGTATTTTTCTGGTAAAACCAGTTTCTGGTGACGAGAGAATCTTTGGAGCAAGGGTACTGCAACTTCATCTCTGACACGATTTGATGGATACATTCTTCTTTTTTTTTATGAGAGAGATGATTTATGGGTGTGAAGAAGAATGGTTAAGCATTGGCTTTATATATAGGAGAAGAAAGTGACCTGTGGGTTTTTGATATTATTTTTCTTACAGTTTTTGGTCATGTGTTTTTCTTGTTTTTAGTTAACAAATTGATACATGTGTTGTTCTACTAGATTTAGAATCATGATACATGTATTCCTTTCCATATGAATTTACGTTACACTCTTGTAGTCAACTTTTTTTCCGAATCCATACACGTATTTTCTGCTTCGTTTGAATCTGTATATCCATCCGTACACGTGGTTGACATTCATATGTGAATCGGTAAATTACAAAATTCCGGATTTTTCTCTTTGAGAAATTTTGTTTTTCCTCATAGCTTTTTTTTTTCTATTCATGCTGATTTTTTTTCTCCTTTTGAGTCAAATTTATTCACATGGATTCCATTTGAATATGTGCACACGTATTAACTATTTTTAACTATACACGCTTTCTACTCGGTTTAAATCACACGCGCTTTCTGCTCAATTTGAATTACACGCGCTTTCTGTTCAGTTTGAATCACTCATGGTCTCTACTCGATTTGAATCACACGCGCTTTCTGCTTGGTTTGAATCTGTATACCGACAAATTTCCAGTTGTTGTTTCTCTTTAGGAATTTTGTTTACTTCTTCATAGAATTTAAGTTATTCTTTTCAGTAAAATCTATACACATTTATTCCATTTAATTATATACATGCACTTAATTAATTTTATTTAAATATGACAGGCTTTCTACTTGGTTTGAATCTTTATAGTGACACGCGATAGTATTCCAAAAATTAAAAAACAATAAGTTCCAAATGGTGAATTTTTGGGGAAAATAATCTTTTTTTACATGTTCATTTTGAATCCATATATAACTTTTTATATGAAAAAGTGTACACACCTTGATGTAACTATGTTTTAATTTATACCAATGCTTTCTACTTAGGTAACTATGTTTTAATTTATACCAATGCTTTCTACTTAGGTTTGAATCTTCATAGGGACACCTGATAGCATTCATATAAATCAGTAGACATTTATAGTGACAAGTTGTGACCTTTTGAGAAAAAAAAAGTCATTTGAATCGGTACATATATATTTTTCGTTTAAATTTCACATACATATAATTAACTATATTTGAATCCCTATATATTTTTTTGCCTATATTTGAATCTGTACACATGTTTTCAATGCGGTTAGAATGCGTGGTACTACCATTAGTTAAATAAGAACACTGCAATTTACAAATCCTGATTTTTTTTGAAAATATTTTTCTATTATTATTCAAATTAACATTTAAAAAGCAATTTTAATTTGGATTGAGAAATTCTCATGTCTTAAATCTCCTGTCTCAGTCAAGGGCGCATGTAGAGAAAATGTGTGGCATATGCTAATGCTTCACTCTAATTTATGTTTCTTTAATAATTAATATGTGATTTATTTAAATTTCCTTAATCTTAACATTTTTAAATATATGCTCCATATTAAATAAATTTCTGGATCCGTCTGTAGTCTCAATCACTAATTCAAATAAGTTATTATATATATTTTTAATCTTTCTCCCTTAAATACAAGTGCAAAACTGAAAGAAATATACATATATGTAACTTAAATGCAAGTGTAAAAAAAAAAATTATGGTTCCAAGATAACTTAAATATTTAACAATTGTACGTAATCAAAATGAATTCAGATTTAGACATTTTGATAACATGGATCCATCATTTAATTTTTTGAAATATCTCTAAAGCTCGAAAAAATTATGTACATTTCTGAAAGCAGATTAATACTGATTAATTTGAATATAATGTTTTCATAACAAAATTTCTTAATTTGACTTGGTCTCTTACAACTGAATAAATTTGAACTGATATCATGATATATTTTGTTGGAACCTAAATTTAACAAGCTTATAGGCTGAGTTAATTTAGAACAAGTATGAAAAGAAATGGGCTTTGGACTCATAAGATTAATGAGAAAGTAGAGAATAATTGATAAACTAAATTAATTTAGATTGAGGCAAAAATAAATATGGAATAACTCCATATCTCTTTCCGTTTCAAAACAGGAAAATATCCCTGTGATATTCCTTTTTTCTATGACGGTCTAAGCGATATTCCTTTTTTATACGACGGTCAAAGCTTCTTAGCTTAGAGACCAAGTCTCTTCTCTACTATAAATAAAGGCCTTACCTTCTCTCATTATTCATTCAATCAAAAATCAAACACTCCAGCAAATCTCTCACATCTCTTCCCTTCTTCTCTAAAAGTAAGTTTCGAGAGTATAACGTAGATATTTAGTTCGTAGATTCTATAGTTGGGTGTTGCAACTATAGTCTCACGCAGTTGTATCCTGGGATTCAAAAATCTCATCAAAACCACCACAATGCGGGAGATTTATTGAGTTAAGGAAAGAAATCAAATATCGCCTCCGCATATTTGTCTATTTCCAATCGGATTTCTTATTATATCTATTCTAATATGATGTAGTTACCATGTTTCTCACTGCCTGAGAAGCTGCCATGTGGCATCACACATTTATGTCACCTATGACACTCTTTCCAAATAACTCATTTTTTCTTAAATTTTGGTAAGTGTTTTTTTTCAATTCAACATCAATAACTTTTCAAGTTAAGTTTTTTTATCAAGAAAATATTTCTTTAATATAAATTAAATAATCAAAAGAAATTTAATCAAGAAAACAATATTTAATTCATGCGAGCATATGTAGATGCAATATATATAAATCTATTTTCTTAAACAAAAAAATTATGTAAATAATTTGATATTTTACTATCCAAATGATGTCCAATAAAAATATACAATTAACACCACATAAAATTAATTAAATCATACATTGAAAACTCTTTTCACACAGATTTAATCAAGCAAATATATATGTATATTATTCTAAAAAAAAAATATATATATATATATATATATATATATATTCGAAACCGTTCACACAAAATGATAACATTAACTCCATATATATTTAGAAGATGTTTAAACATACTAAATATTTGCATTGTCCACAGAAAAAAAAAGATTAAAATTTATCAAATTAATTAATTCATACGTTTACAATTTGAGTTTCACACAGAATAATAATATTTATTATTACCTCATTCATTTTAAACATTTTCTCCCATAACTTCAGAAAAACAATTAATAAAATTAAATGCTCATAACTACCAATTTGTAACAGTTAATTAAATTCTAAGCAAAACAATTAACAGAAAATAAAATTTAAAGTTCATTAAAAATATAAAACTTAATTTTCTCATAGAATAGTAATACAAATATTTATTTCATATATAAATTACACAATTAAATTATATTCAATTCATACATACATATGTAAATCTTTCATGTAATATATATGAATCATTTTTACTTTAAGAAAAACAAGATACAAGTATTTGATACAGTATATAAATTTATTGTTCAATAATTAATGTATTTTCTCTCTCACATAAACCATTTTTAATAAGTGTTAACCAATAAAAATTCAAGAATTAATGTATTTTGTTAACATTAATTGGAAAAAGTACCTTAAAAAAGTCTAAAACATCTTATATTATGAAACAAGAAAAAAAGTTAAAACATTCTACATACTGAAACAGGGGAGTATATTATATAAGATTTTATTTCGTATTTTTCAATTTGGATTTTCGCGGTCTTACATATTTCACATATTATTTGACTCAGATACAATTTAATTATACAGAAAACTGATGAGTATTGACCACATAAACCTATTCTAAATATATTTAAACAAACGAGCGTTTATACTCTAAGAGGACTGACATATTATACACGAGATCGAACTCATATTTTTTCAAGTACAAAAAAATTAACTTTTCATTATTCAAAATTTTCTTTGACCAGGTAGAGCAGAATATGATTAGTCAGAATTATAACTTAAATAACACGGAACATAGTACCAAACAAAAACCAAGGAATGGGTCAAATTCTTCATGTGTATCATACCACTAGTACTTAGACGAGTGGGATTTGAACCTATTCAATAGAAACTTCTTCTCTCTTTTTTTATAACACCATTTCATGTTGTAATGCAATGAAAACCCTTTAACAAAAAAAAAAAAAAAAAAACACCATTTCATGTTTGTAATTATATGTGTCTAACTTTTCAAAGTCGTAAGTTTACACGCCGTGTTGCCCCACACGTTGAATTAGAGTCAAGGAGATAAGTTGCCAAGCGGAGGTTAGGGATAAATGACAACGAAAAGGTGCAATAAAATATTTTTATGAAGTTTTTCCACATAAATCTTGGTCCCATTTTTTGTTTCTCTCTAATATCTTTTCGAGTCTAGCTAGTATGATTTTTGTTTTTAATCACCAAATTTTAGGGTCATAAGTTTTTTTTTTCGGGAAGGGAAAAATAGGGAGAACTATACAGTTGAAAGAAAACTATAACCAAACCCTTTAACAAAAAAGAAAGAAAACTATAACCAATAAAAAGATGGAAGTTAGTTGATAGCTTAAGATACAAACTATGAGAGTGCGACTCGGTGGTCGGACGTTGACCAGGCAAAAAACAGTGTTCAGGAAAAATAGTGTTCAACACTCGACAAAATAAGGAATTAAGTTTTTTTTATAAAGAAAAATAAGGAATTTAGTTTTGGGACCAAAAACAACAAAAGGAAGAGAACTTGTACTTTCGGACAGAAAACAAAAGAAGCTGTTAGAACAAAAATTCAGAAGCTGTTTTATTTTGGTAGTCTCGATCCATGAAGATGTACAGATTATGGCTTCGAATTTCGAAATTATAAGAAGAAAAGAAAAGTGAGTTTGAACAATCCAAAATTATACAAATTTCTTCAAATGGTTTTGAGTAAATTAGTTTTTGCTTTTCCTTACTTTTCTCATATTTTTCTCTTTTTTTCACCTTCGGTAGTGTTACTGATTAGTTGAGAAATCATATCAAATAAGAAGTAAACAAACTACCAATCAACTTCGAAGCTTCAAAAGATATAATGAGAAGAAATGGAAATGCCGAGTTATCTATAAATTATACCTATATATGCGTTAAGATTGTGATTGTTTATGTTTTAAGTAAGCCATTAATTTGCTTGTACGTGAGGTTCCAGAATTTTAGGAGAATTCATTGTGTAAACATTTCGGTTTTTTTTTTTTTTTTTTTTTTTTGAATATGAATTGAATTGAATATGGAACATTGGATATAAAAAAGGTTTAACATAAACTGTTGGGAACAAAATCAACATATGCTTCACTGCCTGCCCATACCCATTTATATCCTTTTCCCATTTGAAATCTCTTTCTAATTGTGATGTTTTGCAAATATATTTTGTCCTTATTACATTTTACATCCGTGTGGTGTTGTCTCGTGTTTATATTGCATCACTTATAGATTGTAATGACATATTTTGGTGGTTTACTAGTTTTCCTAAATCCTTACACGTCTCGTCGTTTTTAGTCGAACAAAATTATCATTTAGAGACGTACAACTTGTCATCCAATTTATTGAAACACTTCAAAAACGAATAGTGCAACCTTAGTTTTGGCTTTAAAATTTGACCATTTTCTTTTAAAATTTTAATTTTTAGTTATTATGTGATTTTAAAAAAAATGAAATATATATAATTTTCAGGCTATTAAACCCAATGTATACAAACCTCTACTAGTGTCAAACCGGGTTAATGAAAATTGTCAATACTATTTGAAAAATAATTGAATGAGTTTGTAAGAAGTAGATAATTGAGGTCACAAGATTGAATGATCCTTAAAAGGACTCTACTTAAATGGTTTGGGCCTCGCCCTAGGGGATGTACGGGCTTTCGGGCTAATCAACAACAAAAAAAAAAATATGAATTTTATCCAAGAGAAAACACTTAATCAATAAAAAATAACAAATAAGGTATACCAATTGAAAAGACCAAAAAAAAAAATTAAACCAATATGGAAATGGTATACTCCACGTATCAAGTAAGATAGACACATGTTAGATCCGAGATAGCACTCGTCAAGACGGGCTATCAAAGATGTGAGTTTAGGAAACTGGAATGCTTAATTCGACTCTTAGATTATCAAGAAGTTACAAGGAAGCAATCTCGCTAACAAGCCTAGCGAGATTATGGGATGAACAAGAGGATAGAGTAAAAGCTAATGTGAAAGCCTAGTGATTCTAGATGATTTCGGATCCCTTTCTCCATGGGGGGGTCTTCAATATATAGTGTTGATAAGTCGGCCGAATGATGAATATTCTCCTTCAGGCGAGATGGAAAACTTCCTCTTTTGCGATATGGAAAATTCCCTCTTGTTTTTGGATCTTTCCATTCTTTAAGTCGGCATGAAGATTTATTTACATTTCTCCATGGATTGTGCCTTTCTCTTCAAGTCTTGCCTTTTTCTTGAAGATGTTAGGCCTAAAATCGGATTGGGCTTTGTGACTTTACTAATGATGACGGGCTCAGGGAAATGTGCTAATTTCTCCTCTAACAATAAGTCCCCCCGCCAGCTCGGCAGGTCAAATGTAGTTTGATCTCGGCGAGCTTCATGAATAGAGGACGAGCTTGAGAATCATTAGTAAAATACATCACTTCAATCGGATCTTAGTGCCTAGGTGCATGCTGAATGTAGATTCGTGCCGCCTCATTAAAACCTTGGTACGGAAAAACCCAATTGGGACAAAAACCATAAAAAGGAAAAAGAGTACGTTGACGTCATCTAATTCATGAGTAATTGCTTCGAATGATTTTTGCCGCGACCAAAAATGCTTTCTTTCGTAGAAATCAGTAATGGGTTTTAATCGGCCCATGATCTGGTCGAGTTTTTGGTGAAATCGTTTGGGCGGGAACAGGAAAAAGTCTCGGAGAAGCCTTCTCTTCTAAGAATCGTGGAATTCTTATTTAAGGAAACGATTAGGATTTCCTAGGGTGCTTATTCCTTTTTCGTGATACCGATTTCACCAAGTGCCCTTCGAGGGAGAGCGAATATCTCTTGCTGCCCTGCCTGCATTTCCTTCCTTCTACCTTATTCTTTCGCGCTTTCGATGGCACAAATCGAGATTAGTTCATCGATGTCGACGTCGGCCCTTGAGCATAATGCTGTCCCAAGGAGATTTGCGAGACGGTGGGTTTGGCGAAGGCGATGAACTCATCCGTTAAAGGGGAATCCGAGGTTCTAAACGGGGAATGCGGCGACCGTTCTTGCGAGGGAATTCCGCACGAGGATACGGGATCCGATCCTGAGCTCGGTGAGGAGAAAGTCCCTGATTGCGCTAGGCTCGATGGTATCCCTCAAAAGATTGAGATGCCGTGGAGATCATCGTCAAGATCTCTGGCTCGGGATGGTCAATCGGGGATGACCGAAGATATAGTCATCGCTTTGCGGGAGAGGGTGGGAATCAGTGACGCGGTCAAGATTCTCGTTCCCTTACCTGACCAAAGGCCGATGGACGCTCCACCTGGATGGTTTTGCCTCTACGAATGCTTCCTCACGGAGTTTGGAATACGTTTTCCGGTCCTCCCGTTACTTCTCGAGTATGCGTATGAGCGGGGTGTAGCGTTGAGTCAGCTGACCCATGGTGTAGTGCGGCATATGGTCTTCTCGGCCGCTCTGGCGAAGGCAGCCGGGATGAAGCTAGACAGGGAGCTCTTTGAGCGTATAACTGATCTTCGTGCTGGGGTTAAGGAAGGAGGTTTCAAGCGTTTCCACACATCGATGAAACATGACATCGTTTTTGGTGATCATCGAACGAAGATTCATCACTGGACGCGCTACTACTTTTTTGTCAAGGTCGACCGTGCTTCGGTCGGGGATTTCGATCCTAGTCACGTCTTAACAAGAATGGGTCCAGGAGCCAGGGTAAAGTGGTTGTGAATTCTTCCTTATTTTTACGGTTGCTTCGTATGCTAACTTACGCCCCCATTATCTGATATGCAGGAAGGATTGTCCCAAGGAAAGTAAATACTACTCTAAAGGAGAAGTTTAGAACTTTACGCGACTTGAGTAGAGAGACTTGGGCGGATGCGTTTGCCGAGACCGAAAGGAAGAAGAAGGAAAAGAAAGGAAAGGCTATTGCTATAGCGATTCCTCTCTGGTGAGTGTTTGATCATCGCCTTTGAATTTTTACGCCTGGTCCGGCTTTAAATCGCGCTCCCTGATGTCTTCCAGATAAGTTGCCGGGTGTTGCTAGGAAGACAGGCTTAAGGAAAAGGGCTCCGGCTTTGGTGGATGATGATATCCTGATTTCTGATCCTCTATCCAAGCGGATGAGGTCAGATTCCTGCGAGCTAGGTGATCTTCCTCAGTCACTGGGGTCTCTTGGGGGTGTCACCAGTGGCGATTTCTCTTCTCGGACTGTCGTGGCTTCTACTGGTCAGGGCGGGGATATGAGTATCCTGGAGTCTGGAGGTGACGGGGTGACGGATTCCGTCGGGATAGACTCCGATGCTGTCTCCTTTAAGTGGAAAGGTGGTGCTCCTTTAATGGATAATGGCGACTTTAGTGGAGAGATGGTTTGGGGTTGCAAACCTAAGCCATGCTGGGGGGTTCCGCGTGGTGAGCTTGAGTTCAAGGGTGCTTTCGATGAGGCTTCTAATAATCTTATTAGAGCCGGAGGGAAGTTTGCTGCGTTGATTCAACTTTATGACGGAGCGCTCAAGGGTGCTCGGAGCGGAGTTGATCAAATTAAAGCCGATTTGTTTGATAACTTTGATGGTGATGCGGCTGCAGTTAGGTTTCGAGAAGAAAAGATGCTTTTGAAAAGAAGATAGAAGCTCTCAAAGGTGAGGTTGCGAAGGTGTCTGGCCTTGAGGTTGAAAATAATCAACTTCGGGACAAAATTACGCAACTGGAGGATAAAGCCTGTCGGGACATGGAAAACTCGATTGCCGAGATGGCTCGTCTTCGCAAGTCCCGGAAGAAGTGGGCTGAGTTGACGGCTGCTCAAGTGTACGAATCAATGCATAATTGGTATACTCCGAGGTTGGACCGTATAGGTAGATACGTCAGTCAGCGGGATGCAGTGGAGAAGGCGGTGATTAGGATTCAAGTCGACGAGGCTCTTCTTTCCTATGTCAGGAAAATAAAGGGGGTCGAGCAGGATTTTGATGCGGTGGAGAAGATGCTTGCGGCCCGGTTGCGGGAGAGTAAGGCCGCCGGAGACTTGGTCGAGGATGACGAAGTTGAAGCTGATGACTATGCTCCGCCCTAAGGTTAGATCTTCTTTTCATCTTGCTGAATTTTGCTTTGACAGCGCATGGATTGTTCCACGGAATTTTGATCAATATGGGTCAATATATCGAACTTTCAGGCCTACCCTAGCTGAGCTGGCGTTTCCGGGATCCCCATCGCGTCATCAATCGAAGTAGGCGGAGAGGAAGTCGAAATTATCTTTCTTTTTTCTCTTTTGATAGTTTCCCATTTGCTTTTATCGTGACAATTGCCCGGGAGGGCTTTTATCCTTAAACTTTGGGTTTAGTTTTGGACGTTATTTGGTGCTTTATTTGCTGCTTTGTTGGCGAAACAAATTGGCTTAGACATAGTTGATAATTTCACAGCGCGATGAAAGAACCCAGCTTTAGGCCATGTCTTTTAATGAGAAACAATACGCCTTCAATCGGTTGGGGTAGGCTAGTTTATTCGATCGTCATCGGATAAGCGGCTTACCTATGCCGAGATGGCTTGTTAATCTCAAGTGTGTCGAACGAGTGCTTTCGTTTGACGGTGCGGATGCGTCGTGATGTTCTTCGAAGCTTTCGTAGTCTGTCACGATTCTCATTCGAGACACCGACCAATGCGTATTAGGTCTGAGGTGCTGTGATTCGGTAGATCACATGTTTTGGCGACGAGGTCTAGGGGCTCGATTTATGCCAACGATTCCATGGTCCGTTATGTGTAACGATAGCGATTTTGTTCTCGTTCATAGGGGCTGGTGTCGTGCGAGGTGCGTGCTCTCGTCTTTTGTGGGTGATCAGTCCACGGGTGCTGCGTTTAAGTGCATCCGAGCGTTGGGCCAGAACGTCGGTAGTGTTGCGTTATTTCGGAATTATGCTTTGCGTGCGGTGCTTGCGTTTGCCGTCTTCGGTAGGAACTCAGTTACCGGTTGAGGGCAGAAGTCGTTACTTCTGGGTCCTTGCCGAGACGGGAACCCTTCCGAAGAGGTTCGATAAGAAGTGCTTGCATAAAAATAAAAGAGCTATTTATTTTTATTAATTTATAGCTGTGCCTTTATCGAGAAAGACTGCCTACGTACCCATGCCGGGATCAAGCCAATCGTAGTTCATTACAAATGTTCATGTCATGGCATTTGTTTTTTTTTTTTTTTTTTTTTTTGTGCGGTGCGACGCGTCTAGGTGTAGAACCTGCGTAGGTTCATGGAGTTCCATGGACGAGGCAGTGGGTTTCCGTGACAATCGTCCAGCTCGTAGACCCCGGGTTTGATGATCTTGGTGATGCGAAACGGCCTTCCCAATGGAACCCGAATTTGCCTGCGTGCTCGGGTTTGGTAAAGTCGTGGACCTTCTTAGATACAAGGTCGTAGAGCTCGAAGCGCCGGTTTCGCACCTTCCTGTCGTAATATCTGGTTGCTTGTTGTTGGTAGTTTTGCATACGCAGGAGGGCGCGATCCCGTAGCTCTTCGGCGTGGTCTAAACTATGCAGGAGTGAGTCGTCATTCAATGCCGGGTTGAGGGGCATTAACGATCGTCGTAAGCTGGCTACGTGCAGTTCTGCCGGTGCTAGCTTCGCAACCGTGCGACAAAGAGAATGGGGTTTCCCCGGATGCGGTTCTGGGGTGGTTCGATGCGACCAGAGTACTCCATCCAATTCGTCCGCCCAAGCTCCTTGGTAGCCTTCAAGCCTTTTTTTCAATCCATCAACAATAGTTTTGTTTGTGGACTCGGCTTGTCCATTAGCTTGAGGATATCTTGGCGTGGAGTAAGTGATCTTGATGTTCCATGACGCGCAAAATTCTCGGAAAGTGCTGCGACGAATTGTCCTCCGTTGTCCGTGACGATCTCATAAGGAAGACCGTGACGGCATATGATATACTGCCACACAAAGTTTCTTACGTCATGAGCCGTTGGGTTTTTGTATGCTTTTGCTTCTACCCACTTAGTAAAGTAGTCGGTGACGACCAAGAGGTAAGCGCATTGCCGTGAGCGTGGCATGGGGCCGACGATATCCATTCCCCAGCGCATAAAGGGATATGCCGGGATCGCAGCTTGAAGTGCTTGCGTTGGGGCGTTGATCGCCGGTGCGTATCTTTGGCAGGGGACGCATTTGGCGGCGACGTTTATGCAATCGCCGATCATCGTTGGCCAGAAGTATCCGATCTTCTTAATTTTTAAAGCGAGTGATCTTCCGCCGGCGTGGTTTCCTGATGCTCCCTCGTGGGTCTCGACCATGATGCTCTTAGCTTGTGCTTCGTCGCAGCATCGCAGGATGACTTTGTTTGCGCTCCAGCGAAAAAGCTCGTTGTTGCGTAAGAAGTAGTAAGCTGCTTTTCGTCGGAGGCGGCGGGCCGCCCATCGCTCCTCTGGCACGGCGTCGTTGATGAGGTAATTTCTGATTTCATCCTGCCATGATTTGTGTTCTGCTGACTCGTCATCAGTGAGGTTTTCGTCTTCTTCTTCTTCTTGTGAGATTGCCATGACGACGGTTCCCTTGGGGAGTTTGATGCTTGGTTCGTCGATGGTTTCGACCGGGATGACCCGTCGCAGTGCTGATTCGGTTTTTGACGCCAAGGCTGCGAGTGCGTCGGCTTCGGAATTCTCGGAACGGGGATCTTTGTCAACTCGAACGTCTTGAATGCTTGGCAAGTCTTTGCGTTTGTTTGAGATACGCATCCATGCGATCGTCTTTCGTGTCGTAGTCACCGCTGAATTGCTTAGCGACGAGCTGAGAGTCACAGAACGCACGAACGTGTTCTGCTCCGACTGCTTCGGCGAGACGAAGTCCGGCAATAATCGCTTCGTATTCGGCTTCGTTGTTGGACGCTGGGAAACCGAGTTTGATCGATTGCTCGAGAATCTCGCCTGTCGGGGAGACGAGGCGGATGCCGACGCCTGCTCCTTGCCTGGAGGACGATCCGTCGACATGCAGTGTCCATTTGAGGATTTGCTCGTCCTCTTGAGTTGCGAGCTCTGGTGGGATTTCTACGATGAAGTCGGCTAGAACTTGTGACTTGGCGCTCGTCCGGCTTTTGAACTCAATATCGTATTCCGATAGTTCGATTGCCCATCTTGCCATTCTTCCGGATTGGTTGGGGCCGTGAAGGATTTGGCGTAGTGGTTGGCTGGTAAAGACGACGATGGAGTGTGATTGAAAGTATGGCCTGAGTTTTCGTGCCGATATGACTACTGCGAGCGCCAGTTTTTCTAGGGTTGGGTATCGCGTCTCGGCATCATTGAGGGTTTTGCTGACATAGAAGACTGGCTGCTGCTCTCCTCGATCTTCTCGGACGAGGACTCCGCTTACCGCCGTGCTTGATATTGCGATATATAAGAGTAGGGTCTCGCCTTCTTCGGGTTTTGCGAGAATTGGTGGGGTAGTGAGATACTCTTTCAATTGTTTGAAAGCGTCTTCGCACTTTTGTCCCACTCGAACTTCTTGTTTGATCGAAGCAATTGGTAGAAGGGGAGACATTTGTCGGTTGAGCGCGAGATGAATCTGTTCAATGCGGCGATACGTCCGGTGAGTCTTTGGATTTCTTTGGAGGATGTCGGCGATGGGAGGTCGAGGATCGCCGAGATCTGCTTCGGGTTTGCCTCTATCCCGCGTTGGGTCACAACATATCCGAGGAATTCTCCTGAGGTACGGCGAATGTGCATTTTGCGGGGTTCAGCTTCATCCCGTACTTTCCAAGATTCGGAAACATTCGCTGAGGTGCTTGACGTGATCGTGCGCCTGGCAGATTTGACTAGCATGTCGTCGATATAGACTTCCATGCTACTACCGAGCTGGTCCGCGAACATTTTGTTCACTAATCGTTGATAAGTGGCGCCGGCGTTCTTCAGGCCAAGGCATCACTTTATAGCAATCGGTAATGAATGCCGTCTTCTCGCGATCATCGGGATGCATGAAGATCTGATTATATCCTGAAAAGGCGTCCATGAAGGATAGTAATTCATTCCCTGCCGTGGCCTCGACGAGGCGATCGATATGCGGCAAAGGGAAGCTATCCTTTGGGCATGCTTTATTCAGGTCTGTGAAATCGACGCAGACTCTCCACTTTCCGTTCTTCTTTTTGACGACGACTGGATTTGCTAGCCATTCGGGGTATTTTACTTCAGTGATCGATCCGGCTCTAAGTAGCTTTTCCACTTCTTCATTGACTGCTTGAGCTTTATCGGCGCCGAGCTTGCGTCTTTTCTGTCTCATGGGTTTGTAGGTAGAGTCCACGTTTAGCTCGTGGGATGTGATTGCCGGGTCGATCCCTTTCATATCTGCCATTGACCATGCGAAAAGGTGCACGTTCTGTTTGAGCAATGTGACCAGTTGCTCTTTATCTTTTCGTCGAGGTCGCCACCGATGCCAACGCACCTTTCCGGACCGATTCGTCGATATTCACCTCGTCGACGAGGGCCGGCTTTGGTCTCTGGTGGTATGGAAGGCGTGGATCCATTTCCTCGTTTGCGGTGCATGTTGCTGCTAGGCGGAGCCGTCGCTCATAGAGGAAGCATGACCTTGCTGCCCCCTGATTCCCTCTCAGTGTGTAAATTCCTGATTGTGCCGGGAATTTCACACATTGGTGAAAGGTCGAGACGACGGCCTTCATCTCGTGGAGCCATGGGGTGCCAAAATGGCGTTGTAAATGGCTGGTTTATCGATGACGAAGAATTCGGCGGCTTTGGTTGTTCCGCCGACGTGGATAGGTAGGCGGATCGTGCCTTCACTGAGACGTGTTCGGAGGTGAACCCGGTGAGGGAGTACAACGAACGCTTGATCTGGTCTCTGCTGATTTCCATGCGGTTGAGGGTCTCTTTGTAGATTAGATTCACCGTGCTCCCGGTATCGATCAGGATTCTTGCTACGCTGGAGTCACTGATGTGCAAGCTGACCACGAGTGGGTCGACGTGAGGGGTATCCAGCCCCGCCGTATCTTGATCCGTGAAGATGATAGTGGGGATTTCTTCGCGGGTCGGGTTGCGATCGTGCTCCACCGCTGCGTATTCATGCTCCGTGATCGTCGAGATGGAATCGCGATGGATGGGGTTGCTCATTATCATGTTAATCTCTTGCCCTGATTCGTCGGAGTAGTTCGTTACATGTCATCCGGCGTGTTTCCGGGATTACGGGTGCCGGCTTTCGTCTGTGACGAGAGCGGTCCCCTTTTATCGGTGGTAGCTCCCCGTGCTGGTATCTCCGAAGGAGATCGCGAGTTAGGCGTCGGCAGTTTCTTGTAGAGTGGTCACCGGTTCCGTGGAGGCGGCAAAACGTGTCAGAGTCGTCGAGATCGGGCGTCGCGACATCTGTTGCCCGTTTCTTGATGTGATGCGGTTCCTGCTCGGGCTCGTTGTCGGCTGCTGCGAACGCCGTTAGGAGTGATCTTTTTGGATTGTATCTTTTCGTGCCTCCGGGTTCTTCTGGGTTTCGTCGAGGTTGTCCCTCCTATCTCCATGTTTCTCGGCGTAGAAGCGCTGGTCTTCCTCGAGGAAGATGTAGTTCCGAGAGCGGTGGAACGCGTCCTCCAGAGTCGCAGGGGGTTTTAGTGACAAATCCTCCTTGAACTTGGAGTCGTACCAGAGGCCGTTGCGGAGTGCTTCTAGCGGGACGCTATCGGCATGTCGCCAGTGTCGCGAGCTGCTTGTTTGAACTTTCCATAAAGCTGCGCAATGGTTCGCCTTGGGTTTGCGTTGTGGTGAACATGTTCCGAGTGATTCGGGTCATGTGCATGGAGTAATGCTTCAGAAAAGCATTGGTTAGGTCGTCGAAGTTATCGATCGACTCGGCGGGGAGGTTAGAGAACCAGGTCAAGGCATCTTTCGCCATGTGCTCGACGAATACTTGACAGTAGTTGGCCTCCCTTTCATCGTAAGATTTGTATTTCTCCCTCCTCATGGCGAGGTTGAACGCGGTTAGCCACTTCTTGGGGTCTTCTTCGCCGGTGTAAGAGTCGATTTTGAGTCGAACTCTTTCGTGTAGCTCGATCTGGCGGAGCCTGCGGGTGAGCGGGCTTCTTCGGGTGTCGGCGAGTGCTTTCGTCAATTCCGGAGCTGAGCTGGTGGCGCGATGAACTTTTGAATCGACCTC